CTCAGTACCTTGCAAACACTTCACCGTTATCATATAAACTTTAACATGGCCACAAAGCAGGTGAATTGTTTAATTTTGAAATGAGTTTTGACATCATGAAATATACATTAGCATCTGTGAGGGCTTTTAAAATTAACATTGTCATGCTTAAAGCAACATATTGGGGATGTCCTTTTTAAAATATGGCCACATATTTCAGTTGCCATGGCTATATCACAGCATGTAACATGGATGTGTTGGCTGGGGCAATCTCCCACCTGAAGGAACACTCCACATGGTGCTTACAGTTACTGGCACATTTTCACACAGGTTTACCACAGCGGCCAGAGTAATGCTTTGTCACTGAATATGTATAATTTTGATAGAAACAAATAATTCCTCTTAAATTATAAAGGAGCCCCAGTGAGATGGCAGATTCAGAACCTGGGGAAATCTACACTTGCTTGATTTAGGGCTTTAGCATTGTAGAAAGGGCTGGGTGGAAGTTAAAATAATGTGGTTCAGCGACTGTGAGACTTACTACACAGTATTCAGTTATATCACACTGCAATTCAACATTTCTAAATTCAGGTTTTCATAGTTACAAATAAAGTTCCAATTTCAAAAAGACAACTTGTATTTCACAGATAAACATCAGGCATGTTAAATCCAAACAGGCTTTGCTATTTAGTTCAAATTATAGCATTTTAAACCACATTAATTTTCATGGTTTCATATATTGAAATGTTCAAATGTTCCCCAAATGAGCACAAATATTTTTTTATTGACAAAATACATAGATATTTCCTTCTTTGGGTTTTGTCAATAATGAAATAAATTAGAATCTTCCTGGTACAGCCGTCTCCAGTTCCATGTGGTTAGATGCTGTCATTCCCATGTAGCAAATATACGCACGGATATACCCTTCGTTTGTTTTACCATCACAGTCATTGTCCTATTGTTACTGGTTACACATCTCGGCAGTCAACCACATTCTTGTGGAACTACACGACTCAATCAAAATGTCACAGACAATATATTTCAGTATGTATCACCATTACAGTGTCCCACTATATTAAAATCAATTTTCATATCTCCCTAGGTCAACATGATTTAAGAGGAACAATGCCGCAAGTTATGCTCCACCCTACATGCAGTTATAATTAAAAAGTGGAATTGTCACATCCCTTCTACATTACACATCATTAAACACACAGTGAACACATGAATGTCTGATGAAAAATGGGAAGAAATGTATCCTCACATCATACAAGACTGTGTAATATAACAATATTGGACCTAAATGGCATTGTGTATTCATATTAATATAGTGGGACACTGTAATGGTGATACATACTGAAATATATTGTCTGTGACATTTTGATTGAGTCGTGTAGTTCCACTAGGGATGTGGTTGACTGCCGAGATGTGTTACCAGTAACAATAGGACAATGACTGTGATGGTGAAACAAACAAAGGGTATATCCGTGTGTATATTTGCTACATGGGAATGACAGCATCTAACCACATGGAACTGTATACTCCCCAGGGAGTTGAGATTGATAATATGATGTGCCGTTGAGATTGACATCCAATGATAGAGGGAAAAATACCAGCGCCTTGAGCATGCACCAGTTGCGTGGATATGTGCGCTATATTAATATACTATAATAATAATAATAATAACTGGAGACAGCTGTGCCAGGAAGATTTTAATTTATTTCGTTATTGACAAAACCAAGAAAGAAATATCAATGTATTTTGTCAATATATTCTCCCAATTAGATTGAATCCCTACACGTGATTTAAGATTTGTATCCAAGTTTGATGTAGCACTGGTTATACCATGCTGTCTCAGTCCACACATGCCCCAGAACATGTTGAGACCTGTTCCCATCACGAATATCAACATGGTTCAATGAACATGATAACACAACCATGAATGCTCGTCATATGTCAGGTACACATGAGAAAACACTGTTCTACAATGTTCTTCTCTAGATATTCATTGTATGGCTAATGGTTTGTTAATGAAAACACATAAGCACTGTATATTGGCAGTTACAGCTGGACACAGAAACCGACATGGTTGAAGGTTGAAGTAATACACAACAACACACACAACAAATCATGATACGTTATTGTCATGTGCAAAGTTGTTACTGAATATCAAATGTCATAATGACACATGCAGGATGGCTGAATAATGGGATTAACAGTCTCATCACGACACCATTGTTTTATGTCCAATCAGAATTCTGCCAGTATATTTTAGCATATTTAGCATGTATAGAAGCAACATTGTTTGAATAACAATTAATATGAAACACAATAAATCCTAATATTTAACAGATGGGAAACTTATACATGTAATTTACAGACAATAGATGAATGGTTTTACATAAAAAACTGTGATGTCAACAGTCCTAGCTGATGATATTTTTTATCAGAGTATGCAAAAATATGTTATACTGAAAATAACAAATATAATGAACAGTGGGGAGAGTTCTATTCTTTATTTTTAATGTAAGCAACATTTCAGTGTAGATGCTAACACCGTTATCACATCAACTCCTAAATGCCACTGACAATAGTTAACAAATTCAGAGTCAAAATGATTCATGCACAAATGTCTGAGATATGGCCCAAAATAACATTTTGTAATGGGACAGTAATAGTTCTGAAAAGGGAATCTATCTGGCAAACATTCAGCAGCAGCTTGTAGGTCTGTACTGACAAGTCAGTGTCAAAATTGTTCAAAAGGTGCTGCACAGAGTTATGGTTGCCCCAGATAACACAAATCGGCTACTATTAACTTCAAAACAGTCTGTGCCAACAACTTTGGAACCTACAAGCAAAAAGCTTGATATTATTCTGGGAAGATGTTGCTTTTCAAAAAATTCAATCACAGCATACACAATTTTCTTGTTTCACCTACAAGTTCAACATGAGTTTTTGTCTACAAGCAGTTAGCATCTACAAATTCTCCATGACTTTGAATGAATAACTTTCATTACCATTTCACCAACAGCCATAATACAGTACCCCAAAATTGTACAGTTAAATATACACACACACACACACACACACACACACACACACACGCACGCACGCACGCACACACACACATACATACTAACATTTGTATAGCGCCGATATCCAGCTCAGCTGCTCAAAGGCGCTTTGTTTTTCCCTCGTTCACTGGATGTCAATCACAACGGCACATCGTATTGTCAATCTCAACTCCCTGGGAAGCATACAGCTCTTGCAGCCACTAGACGCACCGACTTATTGTGGCATTCCCATCCTTACGAGGTACCCATTCACAGCTGGGTGGACTGGGACACATAGTCACAGTACTTTGTCCAAGTTCACTGCACGTTGCTGTACCCGCAACTGGGTGTTTGCACGTATTCATGTGGCCACCATCTGGTCATATACCAACGGATTCGTGGGTTCTTTTAAGTGCACAGGGTTGTGTACTGTACACTAGGGGTTGTGACAACACTGAAAGAGTCTGCACACAAAGTTGACTCCAAGGTTTTTACACCCGGTCACAGGTGGGCTCGATCCCGTCACCTCAAGCTCGCTGGATCACTAGCCTGGCGCTTTAGCCAGTTCGCCCACCGCGCCCGAAATGGTACTATTTCTTCTTAAAAACCTATTTACAATTACAGTATCTACTTTTCGTTCAACATTAAGACTAGGACTGCATGGTATTGCCACTATACAGGTATATCGCAATACGCTTTTAAAATGATAGGCAATTCAATTTTTTTCTGAGAACCGGTATGTTGGGTAAAGAACTTATATGGCATTTTTGTGATTAGCTTTATGGTAGAAAATAACATCTACACAGACTTTCATTCACAACAACAAAATGTTTTTGTTATTCAATGACAAAATAGCATACTGTAATACTATGAATTGTACCAAAATGAAAACAGAATCCCTGACTATGCAACCTAATGTTGAGATTGCTGTTATAACACAGCATCTACAACCAAACTCCAGCAATAAATTCTCATCTATTCTGATATACACTTTAACAGCAGTTTATCTAATGCACTGTAACCTTTTGTTACTGTTAATAATTTAAGGTTTAAGAGTCCCCTTCGAACCAGGGCCGACGATTATTTCGAATGCTGGTGCTATCTCAATAGGCATACTGCTAAACATACTATTGCCATTGAACATATATGATGCGAGATGCAAGCCAAAACCCACACTCAAAACTTTAAACATCATGACCCATAATAATTATCACTTAATCAATGTGATATTATTACAAATTACAAAAAACACACTCTCATAACACTTTCCAAAATAAATTACTTTTGAATTAAAACATTCATTTAACATTTCCCACTTTCATTCATTAGTTTTTTTCACTAGTTAGGGAAATTGAACAACCAACAATTTAACTCAATCATTGTCTTGTCCTTAAGCATGTTAAGTGGCCTAATTGAATGCGATTTTAATCTCCAAGTGTCCTGGTCACTAAGCATGCTAAGGACAGAAACGATTAATGTTTCAAATCACATGTATTTTCATTGATTGGCTTCAGATTCACTATTTCAGGTATGAGTCATCCAGTTGATTCGGTTCTTGATATCCAGCCTAAGGCTAGAAAGTATGGCAAAAACGTTAGGGTATGGATCTCTGTGGGTCCTGATCAAAATATGACAAAACATTAAATCTTTTTTATCTTTTGTATTTGTTTCATTATACAAATAGAATTTTTGTATAAAACTAACAAACTAAAGTGTGATTTTAGCTACAAGGTTTTCGTTTTACTATTATACTGCTCTTTTACAATTTTATGCTGTTTTACATAAACCTGTTTGCTCAGCTAGATAAAAACATTCAATGGGTAAGTTCTTCCACAATAATATCCAGTAATATCAACACACACCCATTACTACATGTAGTTCAAAAGCACAGTTTGTGCAAAATGGCCACATTTCTGAATAAATAATTTGGAGGAAAATTAAAGAGGGGAAGCATATTTAAAAACTTACCTGGGCTATCCGTAACACTGTCATAGTGACAATTGATCAATACACTGTGATTTCCAGTCTTCCCTGCAGGTGACAACATTGCAATAACATTCCTTAGATTACTATAGACACTTGTGAATTCGCCAACTCCAATAAAATCCAACACAAATGAACCAGTAACATTTTGAATGTCAACTTGTATGTCATGTACAGGATTCCGCACTTGGTTGATTTTGTCGAGTTCTGAAACAATGTATTTTTCAGCCTGAATGTTTGCATAACTGCCTGCGACACGGGGGCCAAATCCGGTGATATCATTGAGATGTTTCCTTGCTCTCTCCTCTGTAAAATATTCATCACTGTGGTTATTTGCCAAAAGTGGTGTTGGGAATGAGTTCATCCGAACGTGCACAAGAAAAACGCTGGAAGAATAGAAAAGCAGGGAAAGCAATACAAGGAGTGGCCCACTAAGGAATAATTTTGACGTCCCGTGCTTAAGTCGTTGCTTGGAATCTTCATAGTTGGAATTTTGCTCGTGTTGATTCACTTTGTTGTAATGATGGCGATTTCTAAGGTTGACCGCGTCGTTGCTGTTACTATTGGACGCCATTTTGAGAAAGTGCCCCCTGTCGGAGAGGAAACTATTATAGCTCTCCACAGTGGTTAAACAGATCGGTCGCAATCATAGTGAGCAACAAAACTGTGCTGAGAGTTTTAAGAACCTTTGATGCTTATAAAAGACGGAGCGCTATACGAAAAACGGAGTTCACGAGTACAATGATAATAGCATCAAAACAAAACATTTAGGGAATTTACTTATGATCAAGAATGTATTTTCTGCAAATATTCACTGGGATTGTTTAAAGCCCTAAATACCACAGACAGTGTATAACATTCGCCCATAGATCTGTAACATCTTTTCCAACCTTCACGTCAATTCCATTTTTATATTGCTCTCAAATTCCCGAAACGACGCCATCTCGCGGCCAACAATTGTAATTATTGAGAACCATGTCTGGTGGTGGGCGCTTTAAACCCAACGAGGGGATTGGATTTGTCCCGATCCGAAGTAAAACAGTTATTTCAGTCGTAATGTTTCATGGGAGAATGAAGGAAAGCTTTTGCTTATCATTTTGAGTGTAGTTGAATGATGTCTGTGTCGGTTATGATGTTGAATGGAACAAAACATGTATTTTGGATTTGGACTAGTCTAGACAATGCGCCTTTCTGGCATAGTTAAGAGAACCCTACGGCTTGAATTAGTTTAGAATGTCCTCATCTTATTTCCTCTTTGTTTTGATTGGGGCGATTGCTCCTTAAGCCAAACAGAGTATTGTTGGAAGTCGTAGACAAATAAAAGTATGACGAGCAGGGTCGTCACCATTGCTCATTTCCAAGAAAACCATATCTCATTCAGGTTGTTTCAACAACTATAGAAATTGACCCAACTCATATTGTCCTCGCCTATCTGTCCAGTAGTTAGGGGATCATACTTACTGGTAAACAAATGTCATATTGAACTACTCCCTGTGAAACTGACTCATGGATGTGTATGTCCCTTTGTCTGATCACTCTAGAGTAACTATTCAGTAGGAAATGTTTAAAGGGAAACTAAACTTTTTCTTGGCCAGCTGGTACCATTTGTCCAACAGGATACCGTTTACCATCAGCCTCCCAGTTAAGTGGGTTGCCGTTGTTCAAGGGCATGCATGGTTGAAAACCAGGGGAATTCTCCTTGACTTCTCATATTTGATCAGATTATGCTTATTAAAATCTTTCCCTTTACAGATTTATGTGTGGGTGAATGTGTATGTTCAGTTATTAAGTTCAGTATAGAAACTTTATGTGTACATATAATTTTTGAATCAGTAAAGTTCAGTTAGTGTTTTCAAAACAGTGATGACTCTTACTTTTTCAGGCAAACGGTATACTATACAAGAATTAATTCTCCCTTCTTTTCATCCATGGTTAAACATAAGCCCTGTACATAACATATGTATTAATTGTTAATGTTGATGCTCAGTTTAGGAATTTAAGAAAAGTATTAATTAGTGGTGACAGCACTTGAATTACCTAGACTCAATTAAGTTAATCCCTGCCTCAAAGTACATAGCAATCAGTGGTTTGCATTTGGCATTTTTGTGTGTCTGGTGCAAGTATTCAGTCTATGATTGGGTTGTAAAAATTTTGATGTGTGAAATGTTTGCTGATAATATGTTGATTAATTATTCATTGTTGTCTTACCAAGTTGAAACTATTTAAACAACCATGGATATCATGACCATAGATGTCATGTGTGCTGTCTTAGCTGACCAATGAGGCATGACACCAATGTGTTATTATGAACAACTTTCTCTGTACAGCTTTAGGTGTATGGAATGATGTTCCTGTGGGTGGATACTGAATGCTGAATGTGTGAGAGGCCTCAGTGGTTACTGATCAAACTGTTCCATTTGAATAGATTATCTGGCAATAGCAATCAGTTATTCCAAAGTGCCATCATTTTATTTATTATGTTTAGGAAAAGCTGCCACTGAAATAACTCAGTATTGGGATATATAATATTTTTGATATAAATAATGCAAATCAAATGATAAATCATCATGTCTTATGATGATTTATCTCAGATTTCACATTTTTTTACCATATTTGGTATCAGCTGTTTGTTTCCCTGAACATATACAGTACATTTTTTACTGTGGATAATACTGATGTTCATGCTTTAAGTTTTACGGGGCGGTTGGGTAGCCTAATGGTTAAAGCGTTAGTTCGTCATGACGAAGACCGGGGTTCGATTCCCCACATGGGCACAATGTGTGAAGCCCATTTCTGGGGTCCCCTGCCGTGATATTGCTGGAATATTGCTCAAAGCGGTAAAACCATACTCACTCACTTGAAGTTTTATATGCATTTATCAACAACAAAACATGTCAGTTTTACTGTACCTCTTTATTATATATCCTTTGTTATGATAGACAGTTTCTAATTTTTGTATCCTCCAATAGTAGTGTGCAGTGAGAAGAGCACTGAACACAAGTAAAACCTGTTGAATTATAGTCCATAATAAGTAAAGTTGTTTTCTGCTGAGAAACAACAGATCCATATTTCAACACTTTCAAAGTTGAAGTTTTGTTAATAGTTTTATTTCACTTTCAGGATGATTGACTGAATGATTCAAATTGTGCTGCACTTCAGTCCTGAAATCTCAATATTTGTCAGTAGAGTAATACTTTAGACCAATTGTGATCAATTATGCAGACCTTGTATTATGTTTGTGTGTTCATTGTAGCAGATTTGAGATGGTTCTGATTAATACCTAATGTATTTCATGTTATTTTTGTTGAAGATGTGGCAACGTCAATTTCGCACGAAGATCCTCTTGCAATAAGTGTGGGAAAGGTAAAAATGGTATGTGCCAGTATTGAAGTCTCTATATCTAATATGTCTCTTTTATAACAGGTGTGCAAATGGATCAGTGCTTAGTTTCATTGTGTGTCATTGTACCCAGGCTGTAGATCATTGCTAACAATGCAATCACTGGTCAGACTGTAGGTCATTGCTAACAATGCAATCACTGGTCAGACTGTAGGTCATTGCTAACAATGCAATCACTGGTCAGACTGTAGATCATTGCCAACAATGCAATCACTGGTCAGCAACATACTACAGTGACATAAAGATCGAAAGTCATGCCGTTACATGAACCATCTTTTGGGTGCATTAACGTACAATTACAAGTGACAAGTAGGAAGCTGACATTAGCTAAAAAAGAGAAGATTTCTTGAACTTTATTGCTCTGAAAGGAAATATCCACTTTAATTCCAGACAATGCTTAGGAAAATATTTTGACAACTTTATCAATTCACACTTTTGAAAGCTAAACAAGATGTAACTCTGTAATATCTGATGAAAGGTTGAGATTGTTTCTGTTTCAAATGTATATCCCACTGCAGTGAGAGGTACACAGTGTCTAGCTTTCAGAAGCAGCCATACAGCTCTTTAACTGCTGTTTTGAATGCCCTGTGTTATCCTTTTCAAGGCTGGACAAAGAGTGAACACATTTAGACTCAGATGGAAAGTCCTGCTGATGTGAACTGGATGTTGTCAGAACTTTGTGTAACAATAGTCATCTGATTTTAATGAAATTGACACAACTCTCTCTAAACAGATACATTGAGTGAAATCTGAATTATCTGACTTCAGACAAGTCAGAAAACAAGATATTTCAGCTGGCACTCTATGGATATGTATTGACAGTTTTTTGAGAGTACAGAGCGGTGGGGTAGCCTAGTGGTTAAATCGTTCGATTGTCGCACCTTTAGACCCAGGTTTGATTCCCCACATGGGTACAATTCGTGAAGCCCATTTCTGGTGTTCCCTGCCGTGATATTGCTGGAATATTGCTAAAAGCGTCATAAAACTAAACTCACTCACTCACTTTAGTACAGAGCTTATCCCATTGTAAATCCTCAATGAGAACAGCTCTTCATAGTATTAATGAATGTGAGACAGATCCTTCCAAATTTGTTCCAGAAAAGAAAGATGGTGCTACATTTAAGAAGGGAGGACAAGAGATTGGAAAGGCCATGGCAGAGAAAAGTCATGGCCTCTTCAGTGCTGATGACTGGCAGTGTAAAAGGTAAGTGGATAAATGTTGAAACACTTTGAAAATTGTTTCCTTCCCTGACTCTTCACAGTGCTTTAGAACAGGGCAAAGGTAGATCACTCCAGAGTATTGGGGCACAAACTTTAATCTGTTTCATTTGTCTCTATTCCAGTACTGTCTAAAAAAAAGCTTTCATTTTAGTTATGTCAGCAAGTGACACTAGAACTTTTTGCCTCAATTCCACGCTCAGATTCACAGTGTTCACGAATGGCGTCTGTCTGACCCACTGAAAATTCACAGGACCCATAGAATGAAAATTAAACACACATTTCAGATTTAACATTTCTTATAATAGGCATTGAAATTATTAACAAACATAAGATTTATAAACAGCAAACACGTGTCACATGTCACATATATGACACTGGGGCTGGCAGGTTGTAGACTTCCTTGGACCTTCGTCGAATCTGCCAAATTTGTCCGAGGGTCTGATGCTATTCGTGAACACTGGATTTATTTCCTGATTTTCAATATAGGAGCACAATTTTTCCTTATCGTGACTCATGATCTTTTGCTTATCTCCCTTTCCTTGCGAAGGGTAGTGGATAGTGGTGTTCCGATTAATTGAAATAATCGAAGATTGGTCATAGTGACCAAACAACCAAGCAATGGATCACATTTTCTCATAATTGAACATAGACAATTTTGGAACTACTGTTTTAGTGTTTGAAATACTTGACGATGGAACATATCTTAGAAGTTGTCAGGTCCTGAAAACATGTTTAATTCTTAGAAAAGTGACTTCACCAACTGAAAAGTCATGACTGAGTATTTCTCTAAGACTCCAGGAAGTTTATGTTCATGATATATTAGCCATCACTTTAAAGTAGCAAGTTGCATCATTGTTATACTGCAATAACAACCTGGATAGGAAAATCTGAAAAATGACGCTCACCAATTTTTTCGATGATTGTTCGTTGGTAATGAAGCAATCATCAATTGTGAGATTTCAACCAATTCCCAACACAAGTAGTGGAACACTTGAATCATTTGTAGTTCCCGAAAATAAAAATACACTCACCCACGAGTTACCTCCCTTTTCCCACGCAAACAGTCATGTGACCAGCCTTACTTGTCACTCTCTCCCTTTTCGCCCAAGCGGATGGTTGGGCGAGCACTGGAGTCCCATATACGGCAGATATCCTTTATATTTAGATCCTATTTATCAAATTTATGCTGTGTATGGTATTTGGCTATAACTATCATGTATTAATTGTATAAAATTTGAAGAAATCATGGGCATCTAATACATGTCTAGCCTTGACAGCAGGATAAACGATGTTTATCTTGGAATTTTTCGCTGATAAAAACCTGTATGTGTACCTGTCTCCTTCGATACTACAATGGAACAATGATCAACACAGATCGTCCGCATATATAGGGGGAAGAATGATGTATCATCACTGCAAATTGCCATTCTGGACAAGGTTATTGTCATCGCTGATGCCCATCTCTGAGGATGAGAAGCGCGCACAAGAAGAAAGAAATGGCGGTGATACCCATTTTGCTGTCGTCTGTGAGTCGCGGCGAAGTCAAGATAGAGTTATCTCCCTTGCTTCCCTGTTGCAGAAATGAAGGGTATTTTCCCTTTGGAATTTCCTCGGCCCCGGGACTATTTACATGTGTAACGAAGCCCACTGATGCATTAGCGGAGACTTTGCAGTGCATTCTGCCTTTTCAATGCAATCTAGACGCATCAACAAGCAGATCAACTTCACAACCAAGTTGCTCACACAACTAGGATGGCTAGTGAACCTGATGAAGTCCGAGTTGGAACCAAAACAAGATCTTCAATTTCTGGGGATAAGATTTATCACAACACAGAATCGAATTGTGATCCCAGAAGATCGTTGGGTCAAGATACAAGCCATGACTCCTCAAGCAGTCATCTCTCCGTTAACACTACGAACATGGCAATGTCTACTCGGTCTACTAACTTCAGCGCAGGACTTGACTCGCACAGGAAGGTTACAACTAAGGTCGACCCTATCTTGCTACCAGACAATCTCAAACGTACCTATTTTGGTGGACTTGCAGGTCGAATGTATGCAAAGGGACCTATTTACAAGAGCCGGCCTTCGACACACATCTTTATGTAGATGCATTGCTACAGGGATGGGTTGTGCATCTCAACAACCAAGCTGCATCAGGGAAGTGGTCGAAAACAGAACAGCATCTTCACATCAATCTGCTGGAAATGAAAGCTGTGATCAACGCCGTACAACTATGGTCCAGCTCGCTGATCAACAGAATGCTGATGGTCCACACGGACAACTCTACAGTGGCATTGTCCATAAATCGGCAAGGATCAACAAGATCGCCAAGCCTACTTCAGCTCACATTCCAGTTGTTCAACATCACAGAGGATGCAAACATCTGGATAAAGGCGTGTCACACACCGGGAGCCAAGAACGTACTAGCAGACGCTCTTTCCCGACTACAGATGTTTGTCTCACCAGTGCCAGATCCCCAAGCCTGGGCAACAGATGCACTGAGCATATCATGGGAAGGACTAAACGCATACACGTTTCCACCTACGATCTTACTACCGCAAGTGCTGTTGAAGATCAAACAGACACAGGCGCTACAACTGACTTGGTCGCGCCCTATTGGCCAGGGAGAGTCTGGTTCCTAGACCTAATAGATGATTTCGGAAGTCCAACCCTCAAACTACAAAAATGGTCGAACCTACTCAGACATCCGCACACCAAACAAGTCCACAGGAACCCAACACTGTTCCAGCTACACGTGTGGACCGTATTAAAAGAGGATACCCCGCCAGAGCAGCGAAAGCAGTAACTTTAGTGTTACGCAGATCTACTCACAATTTGTATAACGACAAATGGCAGAAATTTGAACAATATGCAAGGCGGAAAGGCTTCTCAGCTATGAAAGCCTCTCATCCTCAAGTGGGGGAATATCTATGTCACCTTAGATATACAAGACATCTGAAAGGTTCGACATTATCCACATATATGGCAGCCATCAGTACAGTTGTCACTATGAAGTTAGGCATCAAACTGACGAAAGTACCAGAATTACTTGCTCTGCTGAGATCTTTTAAACTGGAGGACCAGCAAAAGAAATTCAGAGCACCAGCCTGGGGTCTGAATGTAATTCTGTGACATCTCATGAGTGATGACTACGAACCTCTAGAACAGACTACTTTCGAGCTACTCACACAGAAATTCTGTTCCTACTTGCCCTAGCCACGGCAGCTCGAATGTCTGAGATACATGCTCTCGACTTTGGACGAACTAGATTTGACACGGGGCACCGTGCTGCAGTACATCTAGGACTTAGCTGGGACTTTATTGCAAAGAATCAACTACCTGGTCAACCAGATAGAGAGTTCCATGTACCAGCGCTGTCTACGAGCCTAGGATCAGAGGACACCCAGGACTTACCCTTGTGTCCTGTCAGAGCCATGAAGATAAATCTTCAAAAGACTAAAACAAGGAGAAGGAAATTCAAGCACCTATTCATCCCCTTGTCGACGGAGACATCAGTGGAAGTCTCAAGAACGACGATATCAGTTTGGATGAGAACCGTTATACTAAGTTATACTTTGTAAGCAGCAGGAGTAGAACCTCCAAGAGCTTCCAACCCACACGAAGTCAGAGCACTGGCGTCAACACTCGTTCTGCATGGAAATTGCTCTATATCATCAATTATGGAGGGCTGCTTCTGGAAGTCGGATACAGTGTTTGCCAACCACTACCTCCGAGACATAGCCACCGAAGAAGTCTCCAGCATTCACCAGTTTGGGCCTCTTGTTGTAGCACAACAATTAACAGTTCCTCAAAGGCGCCTAGTTGAAAATCTCACCCTTTATCACGTTGACTTGTTGATAAATTTTACTTTGGAAAAAGTTCTAGTTTGAAAGTCCATGCGCACAGTCCATGCGATAAAGGACGAATATATGGACAGCTGATGAATCCAGGAAGTGGCTTGACCCACCACCAATCCGTAGGATACTATAAGCAAAAAGATCATGAGTCAGGATACAGAAAAATATGTAATTTTTTAAGTAAAATTGATATTTTATAGTTATCCTGACTTCGGATTTCACAGTAGATCCAGGTGCATGGGCAGAAAAATCAGGCTAGCTATTCTCGAAACGTTCGTAGCCCTACGAATTTCTTAAGCCAATTCTTAACACATTGGCTACGATCAAAGTTAAGAATTCTTAGGTTACGAACGTTTCGAGAATAAGGGCCCAGGAGAGAGTGACAAGTAAGGCTGGTCACATGACTGTTTGCGCCGGAAAAGGGAGGTAACTCGTGGGTGAGTGTATTTTTACGTCCGCTCCGGGAACTACAAAGGATGCAAGTGTTCCACTACCATTCGCAAGGAAAGGGAGATAAGCAAAAGATCAGAGTCAAGATAAGTATAAAATATCAATTTTACTTAAAAAATTACATTTCTTTTTTTGCTGTAAAATTTATATACTCTACAGTCAGGGTCACTTCAGTATTACCATGATCAAAAGCCATAGTTTAGCTGTTGTGGGTATCATTTTGTCAAAGTAAAATGCATACACTAACATTTGGGACCGCTGACATTGTTTTGACTGTTTGCAGTTGTGGCAACGTGAACTGGGCGAGAAGAATGAGCTGCAACATGTGTAACTCCCCCAAGTATGGCAAGGTGGAACAGAGAACTGGTAGGTGAACACATTGAAGACTTTCGTAAATACTGCAAGTTGTCTGAGGTTTGACAGTTTGGGTAGTCAGGCTTCTTGTCCTGGTTTATCAATGTTGCTGTATTTCAATTTTCGTAAATTGAGGCTCATGATGAACTTGGGATTTTCTGATCCAGACTTGATTATTTACAGACTGCCGTCTTGTGTCTGGAATAATGGTAAGTGTGGTGGTAACATATATGACAACAATTAGTGGCATTGTTTCTTCTTTTCAGGGTTTGGTGGTGGCTACATGGAGAGGGATGAAGTTGTAGAGTATGTGCAGAGAGAAGACTCAGAGGAGGAATATGATGAGGTGAGGGGCCCCACAGAATCAGTTCACAAAATGTGCAACACAACTTAAAGCCTGAACTTACCAAAGGCTTGACAAGGACAATTCCCATATTTCACTTGAGGATATTAATCTTGATCTTTTTATCCCCCGCAACAATGAAGTTGCGGGGGATATAGAAACGAGTTCCGTGCGTCCGTCACACTTTGTCCGAAGCATATCTCCTAAACTGTTTGTGATAGCTTAACCAAACTTGGTACACATGTCAACCATGATCCCTAGATGTGTCTTTTGGGGTTAGACCCAGGTATGAATTTTATGTTTTGCGGTTTCCATGGAAACGTGACTTAGGCTGTGACTATGAGGATGTCATCTTGTCCGGATCAGATCTTCCAAACTATACATGCTAGCTTCATCAAACTTGGTACACATATCAAGCATGATCCCTAGATGTGCCTCTTGGGGGTTAGACCGAGATGTGAATTTTATTTCTTATCCCCCGCAACGCCTTTTGGGGGGGTATTAAAATGGACCCCTGTCCGTCGCGTGCGTCCGTCCCTGCACATTTGTCTTTTCCGGAGCAGAACTCTAAAACCGTTCAATATTTCTTCACCAAACTTGGCACATGGATAGATCTGGTGGTGTACTGGTGCCTTTTGGTAGTTTTGGAATTCTGACTAAAATATTTTTGGCATTTCCATGGCAACAAGTTCACTTAGACTGAAATTAGTGGTAGTGCTCTTTTCCGGAGCAGAACTCTAAAACCGTTCACTATTTCTTCACCAAACTTGGCACATAGATTGGTCTGGCATTGTACTTGTGCCTTTTGGTAGTTTTGGATTTCTGAATAAAATATTTTTGGCATTTCCATGGCAACAAGTTTGACTTAGACTGAAACTAGTGATAGTGCTCCTTTCTGGAGCAGAACTTTAAAAAACCTTTCAATACTCTCTGTCCACTTTTCTATATACACACCTAAATATTTGACATAATCATAACTCGTAGACATAATCATGAAGAGTATTTTGCCATTGCGGGGGATATTGATGACTTCGTCTTCTTGTTGCTGTTTCCATGGAAACATGACTTAGGCTGTGACTATGAGGATGTCATCTTGTCCGGATCAGATCTTCCAGACTATACATGCTAGCTTCATCAAACTTGGTACACATATCAAGCATGATCCCTAGATGTGCCTTTTGGGGGTTAGACACAGATATGAATTTTATTTTTTTGCTGTTTCCATGGAAACATGACTTAGGCTGTGACTATGAGAATGTCATCTTGTTGCATTTTCATGGCAACAAGTTAGGCTTCAACTGAATTTGGCGGTAGTGCTCCTTTCTGGAGCAGATATTAAAAACCTGTCAATACTCTCCTTCCACTTTGCTGTATACTCCAAAACATTTGACATAATCATAACTAGTAAACATATTCATAAAGAGTATTTTGCCATTGAGGGGGATATTGATGACTTTGTCTTCTTATTCCTTTAGTTTGGAAGAAAGAAGAAAACTTTGCGCAAGATGTCAACAGATGGTCAGATGAAGCAGGGAGAGAGAGGAGGGGGAGATGCTGAGAACAAGGTATCACATAATTCCTGGAGTGAAGATCTCAGCTTTTTCTCCAGCTACTGTGGAATCAGAAAAACTAAGGATGTAAAGGGTGGTACAGCTTGTTCAGCTTGACCTGATCAAGTGAATACTAATGCATTGCGTGACCGTGTCACAACTGGTTGGTTCAATTATTGTGAAGGGGTGCACCTTTGTCAGTTGATAGTCAACATGTCCGCACATTCGAGATAAGGACGCCGTCTAACATTCTCTGCTCCCCTATTTAATGAAGTTAACTCGACCTGCCGTTGTGCCAATTGACCTCCCAGGTCATGCATGTGTAGAGTAGCTCGGGTCAAGCTGAACAAGCTGTAGTATAGTGGTTAGCTGGGTTCCTTCTTCAAGTTAGAGATCCATGCCTGATCACCCACATAGATAAACTGTAAGAAAATCTTACCAATATGTGTAATCCCTCCATTACATTGCTTGATTGGAATGTATTACTGGACATGAACTTAGGCTACTTTATCCACACCTTCCATGGCCACAAGAGCAACTTTGGTTGTATACTCTCCTGGGATCTGAGCCTACAATGGGATGTTGACTGATCTGTTGATTGGAATAGAAAAATGTGCACTGGAAAAGCAAACATACCAGTAGTGTTGAGTCTTGCTCTCTATGAATGGCCTATTATTAATCATTTTACTGTTTTACATTTATTGAGGTTTTGTAGTTGGTGGTAATTCATTAGCACTTGTACTGTTTGTTGCCTAGGAGGTGGATGAAGATGAAGACGATGATGGTGGAGGTGATGATGGAGATGATGATGATGATGATGATGATGATGAAGATGATGTTGACCTTTCAAAGTATGACTTGGATGCCAGTGATGATGAGGAAGAGGGACAAAAGGACCAGAAAAATGGCACAGAAGTAAAGTCCCAAGATGAAAAGGAAACGTCAAGGTCATCATCTAGGTCAAGGTCATCCTCAAGTTATTCTTCGGGGTCTAGATCATCATCTCGATCAAGTTCATCGTCAAGATCTCGATCAAGGTCTGGTTCTAGGTCAAGATCAGCAGATGGCAAAAGGTTCAAGAGAAGCTATTCTAGGTCCAGGTAACCATGGTAACTGGTAACCAGGGTAACGGTCAAAGGTCAATATCAAAATCATCTTGTTTACATTCTTGTGTGTTCACGTTTGTTAACATGACAGATTTCATGCATGTTCCTTAGCAATAGAAACGAACACTTATTTTTCTTTTAATTTTGAGATTGATGTCAAATGTTTTCATTTTGCCATTTGGTTTGGATGGTAAACTTTCTTTTCACTGTTCACAGGGTAGAACAGTTTTGTTGTGTATCACATAGCACTGTTTAATGCATGCCAGTAATGATCACATATCCAGTATTGCTGCATATAATTGTTCTAATACAACATACACAACCCTTTTGACATGGAATGCATTGTCTGTCTTCGAAACAAATATACATTTACCTTGGAATTACTAAGACATGCCTTGATAGGAACAAAATCCTTATTCCACAATCTGATCAAATTTTTATAACTCATATACACTTTGAGTTTTCCTAACGAGGCCAGGGAATTGTCCCCTTTTATATGTGAAATGTTGTGAAATTGTCATTGTACAATACATTTTGCATCACCTGGTATGAAACATTTCATATTTTATTCTTTCTATTTGTTCATTAGAGATACTATGTAGAGTATTCAGGTGTAGATTGATATGTTTTCCTTTTCAGATCCAGGTCACCATCCAAGACGACATACAAGAAAAGTAACAGAGGGTCAAAATCGTCTTCAAGGTCACGCTCCAGGTCACCCAGGTCAAGGTCGAGAGACAGAAAGAAGTCAAGTCGGTAGAGGTTTGGAATAGGAGAAAGTCTCAGTGATTACACACTCAGAGATTTTCTAGTATTAGTATTTAATAATATAATATTTGAGGTCATGAAATTGTTGTTTCATCAATATTTATGAAGAGATTTCTATTACTTTCTACTGTGAAACTTCAGACAACTCATTCAAACAGTATTCATTTATTACATGTATATTACCTTATCCATGTACACAGAGTACTGTAAGTCAAATGTTGACATATTTGTTTTTCAGATGCTGACAAATAGAGCTGTCGCCTACAGATGAATGAATCCATCCCTCAATATCTTTCATGTCCCAATATTTAGCCCACTTTTGGCTGTAGGGGTCTATCCTTGCGTTGTTTTGAAATTATGAGAGAAGTATGTTGAGGTATTAGTCATTGTCTTAGAAAGGAAAAACTGTTGAAAAAATTACTGAGGTATTTTGAAATGAATCAACTGGCAAATTTTACTAAATTTTGAAAATTTAGACACATGGGAATTGTATAAAATCTGTCGAAGAGTGCCAAAGACATTTCGAGTAATTATCTGTTAGGATCAGGAATATTGGTTTCGACAGATCCCTAAACATTTTTGTTCTGTTGGGTCATTTTTGTTCTGGAAGGTAGTGCTCACATGATACTTTCAACATCGATGTTGAAGGAGGGGTTGTTAGGGAAGTATTGTGTTCTCCTGGAAATCATATTTGTCAAGCCATGGAGTATTACAACTAACGGTTGAAATGAAATTATCTCTTTGCAGTTTTCTTATTTACCTGGGCACTGTACTCTGCATTGTTACATAGTGCTGTGTTTTGGACATTGATTGAGGGTTAGGTTTTGGATAAGTCCACAATTGGGTGTCATTGTGCTTATAACAGGTAATAACCTGCCTCTGTCAACCTTGCTGTTACTGATGGTGTACTGAAGTCCCACCTATTGACAAAACTGTGACTAGTATCATCGAGGGAGGGGCTGCGTTTAACAAGGCTATTTCAGCACGGACTGATAATTTTTTTATTGAAGGATTTCATGATGGTTGTAGTGCTGAGATAACTTTGTTAGGTCAGGTCAGGTTCTTTCTACAAAGTGCTCGTAGCCCTGTGATGATTGTAAGCTTCTGTTCAACTACGATCACCACAGCAACAAGATCACTTTGTGGATTGGATCCCAGGGTCTCCGTCTCAATAAAACAATTAATGTAAGTGTCAATTTGAAACAAGGGGCGGTGGGGTAGCCTAATGGTTCAAGCGTTGGCTCGTCACGCCGAAGACCCGGGTTCGAATCCCCACATGGGCACAATGTTTGAAGCCCATTTCTGGTGTCCCCCGCCGTGATGTTGCTGGAATATTGCTAAAAGAGGCGTAAAACATCTTTGTAATCTTAGTGCTATAATCCTTTTTGTTTAGAGCCCTGAGCCCAGTTATAAGAGTCTATATTAGTGCCATGACTTTTATTCTGCGACAGTCATAGATCTTAAATCTCTTTGTGGAGAAAGATGCAAAGGCAATCTGAGGACAACTGACATAAGGCTTGTACCTGTTTGTTATGATAGTGCCAACATTTCTTTCATCATGTTCAAGAATGGGCATCAGTCAGTTGTAAATTAACCAGGTCTCCTGCTGAAATGATCATGGTGCTCTCAGCCGGTGTGGTTTTGTTGACATGTAGTCCCTTGTAACCAGATGTTGTTACTGTTTGTATGTGAGATGGAGTTGTTTGGGAAGTATGGGCAATGGATAAATTATCGTTTTATTGTTTTGGGCTCTGTGTTCTTGATTGGCTTCAGAGGTTTCATTCATACATAGCTGGTTTACATTTCCCATCAGCATCGATGAGAGCTTGATGTACAGTTTTACTGTGGCCTTAATAGTTCTCTAGTTCCAGAACTCTTAATACAGGCACTTCAATATGTTGAGGAACCTAGTAATTATAGCTGCACTGTTTACACCAGTCACATAGCATGCTTATGTACTATTATATGTATAATGGAATTTGCAGAGAATAAGGTAGTCTTTTGTGTGTTTGCTTCTGTTATTCCTACTGGTTTTCATTCATTCAGTTTGAGTGTTTTGGTCCCAGCTGAGAACATTCTGAAACCCTTTGTTTATGGACAGGTTACGGGATAGGTATGAGTTGAATCATCTTTTTGTAGATGTCTTTAAGAAATCCCAATGACTTGTTATGTTTTCCAATATCAAACAATATCATTTTATCATTCATTTGCACTAACAACTTTTATGTCCAATTTGCAAATATAGTGCATGTATACTACTTAAATGAAGTTAAGAAACATGATTCTTTCATGTTACTATAGTTACTGTCATTACTTAGTTAATCTGCCATGTCATGACTAATAAGCTATAGTAATATGATAGAATTGGGTGTTCTTACGAGTGGTATGAAGTGAGAAATGACAGCTTTCACTCACTCACTTGCTTGGTGTCCAGGAATGGGAAAACAGGTTCACAAAGCATTGATACTTGCTAGGAGAGTAGAATAGATATGTACTGGAGAAGTGGTAGAACCAGACCTTTTGCTGGGTTGTATTGGAATTTGTAGTTTGAGCAACTTTCGTACATGAGTGTAGGTATATACAGTGTGTAAATTGTAGTATGCTGGTAGTGCACTTATTTAGGTAGCTATTTTTGCATAATCAAAAGAAATCATACACAAAACATGATACATTATTTTCTGAATGCTTCATGACATTGAGTTGAGAAGGGAACTGTGGAAGTTATGTCAGTAAATTTCTTGCTTTAGATTTGGTTAAGTTTAAGTATGTGAGCTATGTCATTTAGTGTAAATAACCTATGAAATGTCTGCCTGGGTAAGTATGTTTATATGGCAGTGTGTGGCACAAAGGGACATGTTACTTTCCTCAAATCCCATACTTTTCAAATATAAACTTTCTTTACAAGTTAAATGATTTGAATGTGGATGAATGGTTTGAAGAATTGGATAGAGTTACTAAACATGTATGCTTAAAGTAGTTAATCTTGCATCATTAAAAACAACCACATGGAACTTTAAAATTTCATCTTGGAATAACACCATTTGCCTCGCTGTAGACTGTGAAGCTTGACGTTTCATAGGGTTGTAATTACCATCAACAGTATTCTTTGACCCATTCAGCAGTTCTGATAGTGACCTAATTACAGTCAACAGGAACACAATGATTGGTAGATAAAGTACTTCCTATGAAGATGTTATGTAAGCTCTACTTAAGGGAGGGAATTAAATGCCATTGTGGATGATTTGCATGCTCAAGTGAATGTAACTGTTATAGTTAATGAATTGTCTTGGCCAATTTGATTTATTTGAATAAATTGTCTTTAATTTTGAACAAGCTTTGTTCTGTGTGGCTGCAGCTATTTTTGACAGGTACACCAGCTGACAGGTGTAACACTGTACACAAAGTTCAGAACTCACCATACAAGTTCTGCAGCTCGGACTGCTGTCAGAATGCAGATGGTACATTAGAGCTACTACTTTACAAATGAATGGTAATGAGTGGAAATCTTACAATAAGCATCAATGGCTTGTGTCTTCAAAACAAAGTCCCTGCCATAACTTAAAAGGATGTTGACAGCAGTGTTTCCAGTGAGACCATTTGGGTCAGGGGTGAAGACTAAAGTGTCTGGATGATTATTAAATACAGGATGAGCCATATACGATATTTGTTCTGCAGGGATAGGACAAGCATATACAGTGGACTCCCTGTAAACCAACATCCCTGAATTTGGAATTCCCTGTAAACTGACATTTATTTGGCCCTGAATTTGTCCTTATGTAATATCATATAAGGAACTCCCTCTATTCCAAATTCTGACACTCAAATCCAGTCCCAAAACATGTTTTTAGTGCAAATTGACTGTCTGTGAACCAACATAATTTCACAAGAGATTGCATCAACCAAAACATGGTGTGTATTTGCAATCAACAGACTTGCATGTGAGGTGGCCTGCAAAGGCGTAATAGGATTAACTGTTAATTACTTGCTAATTACTCACCAACTTCTAAAATGCCAATCAAACAGATAATTACGTGTTCAGTGGATTCATAGAATGCATTAAAGTAGTTTTATTATTTTGACATAAATAGTAGCACAGACTCTGTACATAGGATTAATCTATAGGTAATAAGTTAAAACAAAGAAGTCCATGATATGTTCTTCAGATCAGTATTATGGTTATTGAAGATATCAAACTGCTTTGGTGGACTATTTCTCAGACAAGACTGTCACCAGCAGTCTGAAAGAACACTTGAGAGGGAGTCTTGCTTTGTAGCTGAGCAGTAGCCACCATACATTTTCATCAGATCCTCTTCCTCGGGGTCATATTGTGCCTCCTCCACCACAGCCTGTGTGCAAGGCTTGTCTCTCTCGACATGGTACTGCTGGTCGAGTCCAGTGCAACTGATGATGATGCCTGTTCTCTCATGTTTCCTGAATGCAGTGAGTTGGAAACAAGCACATGGGAGTATATGGGCGGAGGAGGAAGGGCTTTGGATGGCTTCGACGTAATGTTCTGTGAGCGATCTGTTTGTCAAAAGAATATTCAAAGTGTCAACATATTTTCTTTGGAAAGGATTTTACAGTATATGATTAAAAAATGGCAATATTCATTCCCAAACATTCATCCAGGATAAAAAAAATTCATGTTTTCAATTTTTATGCCAAAAGAATACAGTTTTTTTTTATCTAGTAAGTCCCTGCAGAGTATTCAAATAAGACAAAAAATATGAAACAGACATGCAGTGGTTAACTGAATTAAGGCTGATAATGTTGAGATTTGATTGGCTAACTTGCACTCCACAATATTCCAGCAGTTTGTAAATTATCAAGTCATGACAAGACAATCCACTTATTGACATCTTGTGATATGATCAATGCAGTTGGGTTACAGAGATATGTTTTTTGTTTTGTTAACACCACACCCAGCTATATGGCAGCGGTCTGTAAATAATAATCTGGACCAGACAATCCAGTGATCAACAGCATGAGCATGGGTCTATGCAATTAGGATACGATGACGTGTGTCAACCAAGTCAGCAAGCCTGACCACCTGATCCCATTAGTCCCCTCTTATGAGAAGCAAGGCTTGCTAAAGATCATTTGCAACCCGAATGTTCATGGGTATACAGAGATGTGTATTAACCGAGTCAGTGAGTCTAACCATCTGACATTCATAAGACAGAACAATATTGTCTCTGCTCTATAGTTTGTCATGGTATTCTTCATTTATATGGAATTTGAGGCTTTTTTCGTTGTAATGTTCCGGTTATCTCTGAAATATTTGAAAAATTGAACCATTACTAATCTTAATAACCAAAATAATTCTGATTACCCACTAAAACATACAGATGTATTTTTCAAAGCTGTGAAACAAGTGAAAAATGCCCACCTGTTCATATTTCTTAAGAATTCTGGTCTCAGAATAAATTGGTTCAATTGTTCAACTTGCCTGCATATTACACTACATATTATGCAATGATGTCAGTCTGATTGTATTAGAGAGGGACTCTTTACTGAATAAAGACTGTCTGTCTTAAACAATGAAAACAGTAATTAAAGCATTTCTCTTCATACTGATCCTGTTTCCAAAGTAATCCTGATAACCCAAAAGCAAAACACCATGTTTACACAACACATTTAACAATGAGCACTGGAATGAATTCACTGAAGGAGGATATCACTGAAGAAGCCCTGGAAATATACATGATATTTTTTTTAACAAATTCCCTGCACAACCTGAGGGAAACAAATGTTTTCATAATACTAGTTTTGTTGGATCACCTGCCTGATATACATAAATTACACACACACACACACACACACACACACACACACACACACACAACCACACACCTGCTGATGTGCTTTTGTTTCCTAGTCAGCTTCTAAAATGGGTGGGGCCTGCTTTACATGTGCTGACTGCATTATCACCAACTCTATGTTGTGGTGTACATTTGTATTTGTGCTTCATTACACAAGCAGTCTGGAATTAATTAGTGGTGACATATGTTTTTGTTTTTAACACTGGCTTCAGTATGCATATTACAAGTTATAAATATAAATACCTGTTTGCACCATACTGTGCACATTTACACAGGGTGCACATCAGACTTTAGGTTCAGGGTGCACATCAAACTCCATTATGGAAGTCCATTCTTGAATGAACCATCATAAATAGCGTGGCTCACTGATCAAATAAGCTTCTGGTTGTAACATTGCTATGATAATGATGACTGGGAGAACTAACAACCCTCACTCACTTCATGAAGTACCAATAACTCACAAAATGTGGATCTCTTTGTCTTGTGTAGAGGTTTCTGAGCCTGTGTAGTCCAGGCCTGTATTACCGGGGTAGCCCAGCCATGTGTCCCTATATCAAACACCCCTCTGCACAACTCCTCCATCTCATTGGACAAATAAAAACCTTGCTGTCTAAACAGGCTGTATTTCTGAAACGTGTACATAAAATTGTACAATGATGAGAGTACAAACTAAAAATATCAGTGAATATCAGTGAACTTTGCCTACCTACTCACATTTCTTCAAAAGTGTTGCTTGTTATATCAGTTGTTCAGCTCACTTGTACTGCATGCTTATGGCGGCTTACACGTGGCTGTTCTGCTATGCCACTGCAGTTATAAATGTCACTTTATCCTGTCACTTAGACATGCTCTATTCCTTATGCAGTATGAGATGGATTTGCAAAGTATATTTTCATTAGATTTGGATTCTGCTGTGTGCTGTTTATTTACGTACTGTATTTTGCCTATTTGTGTATAGCTTGACATCTATGAAAACAATGCAGAAAAATGTGCAAAAGATCCTGTAACAGATAAATATCATAATAAAGTAATATTTTTCCTCAAATCGTCTTATGTCTTTATGAACAGTATGTGATGTAGTTTGTTGAAAATATATCAATATTTAAATCTCAACACATACACAGCACATGTTTTGTGCCTTAAAGAACAAGATCTCACTTAACAACCCAGCTGACTGATAAGTGTGGCGGTTTGTTTAATCTTCTATATGGCACCAATCTACTCATGTATGTAACCTTGGATGGAAGGTGAAGCTTTGCCTCTTTGGTGAAAAGTATATCTTGAGTCCTGATACCGATATACCCAGAAACAAAACATGAGAGTGCCTGAAACAACTGTCCCACTCATTCCTTCCCCTGCATAGCACAGAATATTTAAGGTTTCGCATAAAACCAAGAATAGAAGAAATGACAGGTACTCTACTTTGACTTTGTTTTCAGACAGGTGTATAATTTTCAGCATAGGTAGACTTGACAGGTACTTCACTCCTTTCTCAGTCAGCAAATTCCCTGTATAATGAGAAAACAGAACATAAGTGCCACTTGTCTGAAACAATGCACGGTATACTAAATCCCTCAAGTGTTTTTGTTGATAAAACAATGTTAGCAGTAGCTTGTTAACCACAGGGGTCAGGTAGATGTCTGTTGATGACAGGTTAAATGTGACAAGTATCTATTACAGTTGTTCATGTTAACTGGACAGTTATTTTAAATAAATTATCATAAAGCTACATGAAGTCAGGAAAAGACAGATTTATGTTAATAGGTCTTTACCAAGTGAGTATCTGTACTTAATTCCCATACACCCATATTCCATGTCGCCAAATTTGATAAATGTCACACACACACTGATACTGTATCCTGTATGTAATATTACATGTTTTTATGTATACTACAGTTTTGTCAAAGGCAGCAGCAATTACTGTAAAAAATTCTTGATAATGTGATATCATGGTGGGGAGTGTGGGGTAGCCTAATGGTTAAAGCGCTGGCTCGTCACCGAAGACCTGGTTCTGAATCCCCACATGGGCACATGTGTGAAGCCCATTTCTGGTGTCCCCACGTGATGTTGCTGGAATATTGCTAAAAAGCGGCCTAAAACCAAACTCAGTCAGTCAAAACTTATGGTGGGGGAAACGGAAAATGAACTTCACGCAGTGTACACATGTGGTGAATCGAACTTGGGTTAAATGCTTTAAGCACAAATCTATCCCATCGCCCCAACAATATTTAAGCAGTTAAAGACTGCCTGATTCTTTCATGTTACTGCAGTTAATCTCTCACCTGAAATGTCTATATTCCTGAGCACCTGCAGACCTTGTTTGAACATCCGAGCTGGTGCAGTTAGTTTTCGCATACCATTGTCTGTCATGGCATTACATCGAAGATTAAGTATTTGTAAACTGAAAGAAACATTTACATTTTGTCAAAACCTTGATCATCATCAAATACATGTATATAAAATTGAGATATACATGTACTTTGATTCACTGATTTGATTACTTTACTTCAAGTTCAACATACCACTACAATTCTGCAATTATTATTTTCATTGTTTGTTCTGGATCTACCGGTACCTGTCATCTACAGGTTTTATAATTTAACTGTGTTTATCATGAATTTTTATCTTTTTAGTGATGATATGGCTGAAATATTGCTGATGTGACTATAAATCTTAACTCACTCACTGGCTCTACCTTGTTTGTCATACACCACATGTTTTTAGACAGTCATGGCAGGTTTGAGTGGACATGCAAGGAAAAACTGTTCTTAGACCATGGAAATCTTTAACAGTGTTAGATTTATCTTGTAGTTGGCTAGAAGAATATACTTGAATATTTCACTGAGCAGAGACAGTCTGCTCTGACATCGCTTGGTGCCAGGAAACAATTTTGAAATGTGAAGGCAGCATTTCATGTCAGATACACAATTCATAGCATTTAATTAATATATAACTAATTTCCATTTAAATGCATATTGGCACGACAGTGTTTTATTGTATTGATTACAAAGTTTAGAGAATATTTTGAATCTTTGATCAGGGATTTACCTTGAGTCCTGTATTTGAGGGTCCCTGGGACCCATACTCTTAATTTTCAGGGGACCTGGACTACAAAACGGGGGTCCCAGACACTTAAATATTAAACATTAATACTATAAAAGAATTGTTGTAATTCAGTTACTGTTTTTGTATTGTGTATCATGATCATCACATTGTTACAGTAATTAAATTACAAATGATACCATAGCCCGGCTTGTAGACTAACACCTAGTCTCTGAAATGAACATATTTTACAGAAAAAAAGCTCATAGTAAAAAAAATAAAATATACATTTTCTAGGCTTTCTTGGATATATGTGCTTCAGGGTCTGTATGACAGACTACCCGGCTTGTAGCAAATCAAAATTTTTACAAAAAGTATTTGGACGTTCTCTGCGTCCCTGTGGATGCGCTAATAACTTTTGTTGTGTCCATTTTCAATTTTTATGCGTATAGGATGCAGGAATTCGCGTCCCGTAAATCTTTGTTTGATTGCAGTTTCGAATTAAAACCTTTATTCTCAATATTGTGACATATTGTTTTGATATTAAAATTTCGGGGTAGATTTACTTATACTGGAACCACTAAACATATTTTCTGCGCATGATTGGAAGGAAGTTTAAGGTTAGGGTTAGCAGGGTTAGGGTTAGACTCCTATATACAACAACCGAAAGTAGCTAAAACAATGGTACCGGTATAAGTTAAGTGCTCCAAAATTTCTTACATTAGACTGTCTTTATTATGTTCAATAAGACATCTCTTTTACACACATGCATACATAACAAAACTGTTTGTCTCACATCGTGCCTGGACGGTGTTTATCTCTTTCAATTCAAATGCAATGATCTGCAGAATAACTGAACTAGGTGGTTCTTAATCATGTTTATATTGTAATCTCCTCAACTATGACCCATCTGAGTTTAAGCTGTCTGAAAACTTCATGGAGATCAGACACATAGCATACCTTTCTATGGTCTCTGACCATGGCATAACTATTTCTGTTAGCATTATTCCCCAAATGTTGAAGTTATAAAAGGATACCAATCACCTGTGTAGTTGTGACAGATGCTGCAGCAGCTCATGGTCATCTCCAAGACCGCAACAAGAAACATCTAGTTTACTCAAGTCAGTGAAAAGACATATTGTTTCCAGGTAATTGTTTATAACAAGGTGTTCACCTGACAGAGACAGACTGTCCAAAACAATACTCCCATAGGCAGCACTAAATGGGCTTACGTTGGCTTCAAGACTTGAGCTGGTGCCTGAAAACTTATCGAGAGAAAGTGCTTTTTGAAATATTCTTTCACCAACAATATCAGGGAAGCCCAAGAACGAGTCAACAAAATGAAGGTTGTTAGCAACAAATATGATGCACAGTTCCATTAAAGAGGTGACAGGTTCAACTTGGGTAGTTTCATCGCTTTGAGATGTGCCACAAATTTCTCTTCTATTGCAAAGCTTCTTCATTGTTGGTAATGTCATTTAGAGAGAACCGGGCTCATTTACACATGGCTGTCACCAAAAAGTGTATTTGTATCTCCCGCGGTCACAGACATAAGACTGTTTGCTACACGCCTTACATTTGCTATTGAAACAAATATATCGCAAATATCGGCAAAGGGTATGCTGATAAAAAGTATAATAAATCTTATGACTTTATAAAATATCCGCATCAGTTGGTATCGACGTATGCCTCTAAATAATGACTGCATATCCTTTACTTTACATCTAAATAACATGTGTTCTAAAGAAAAGTGTTTGTATCCTGACTTGCGCAGTGAGAGACATTCCAGAATTCCCACTTCCTGTGTTTACAAGCGAGTGTTGCTGAGTGGTCTCGGTGGTTGTGTTTACAACATGTTTGACGTAGCACTCGGAAACGCTGGGGCACAGATTCTGTTAGCTTCGTCAAGTGATGACAAACATCCTCCAGAAAATGTCATCGACGGGTAATTAATAATTTTGGATCAACGAAAATGCTTTGCTTCTCACATAACAACCTGATCATACCAAAATGAGAATGAAAAGTTCAACTTCGAAATCATCTCAGTGTTTCACTGGACTTTCACTAATTACCATTGAGTGGACACAAATATTTGTCAGATAGTACGACATTGCAACAGGTTGAGTGTCAGTTCGTTTCCATTAATTATTTCTCTTTGTTTTGTTCAGGGTGGGTACTTTCAACTTGATAGCGAATGGTTGTGATTGAGAAAAAACACCTTGGATACGTGATTCAACCCGTTGCATTAGTTAAATCATTATTTAACAAACTGACCGTTTATTTCATTTGTGATCAGTAATTATGTTTATAATGTTTTTGTAGATTTGACAGTCTCTGAAATGGAAAAGTTTAATATTAAGAGGGCATTATTGGACGTAACAATTTGGAGTTCAACAAACCTTATTCACCATTCAAGTAACAGTTTACTTGTGTTTCAATTTAAATATTCGTTTAATTTGTTCATCAGGAATCCAGAGACCTTTTGGACAACAACAGGAATGTTCCCTCAGGAATTCATAGTAAAGTTTTCATCAGTCATGAATATGACTAGACTTAGCTTCTCTAGTTTCAATGGTGAGTACCATCGTTGAGGTGCCCCAATCTGTGTTAAATACATTGTCTCTTTTATCAAGTAAAACTGCTATAAATTGAAAAAAGTGTCTTTTCCCAAATGTTCATGCAGTCTCTATCCTTGAGTGACTAATCTATGTCCACTGGGTGTATTATGTCTAACAGTAACAATGTAGATATGAACATTAGAATAATGCATCCTTCTTATTTAGAGAGTTACACTTTGTGTGTACATTGTCATTTTGTTGAAATACACACATCACAGGCAATGTAAACTGTAGTTTATGATTTCAACAACACTTTGTGAATTTGATTGTAAGTGTTTGCAAAACATCATGTGTGTCTTTTGTTATATGTTTCAGTCAAAAAGATGGTCATTGAAACTACTGAATCAGAATCTCCGGAGAAGTTTGAAGTAATCCTTGAAAAAGGTTGGTGTACAGTAAAACATTATGGCATTTCATGAATAGGACAATGTTTTCAAATCATACTTGGCTTTTTTAAATTGGACCTGTTGTAGAAATACAATACAAAGTGAGCTTATGTCACAGGTTTTCATTTATGTTGAACTCAAAAGGATTTGAGAGAAAGTTTGACTTTTGTGGTGTTTGATACATCTGAAAAACATATCTCAACACCATAAACAACACTAAAAGAGCATGCTTCATTAGATTTGGTATGGAAATTCAAAGTTCATTTTAAATAAGCAGTAAAGTGTTCGGGTTATGAAGATCAAGATAAAAAGATAACATGATAATTTATATCGGATAAATATTATAAATCTACATTTTATTGTTATAGTTTTCAATATGGTTGTAAATGCTGCCAGTTATGGCAACAGTTGTACTGTTTGTCAAATTGTGAAGAAACTTAGTTAGCAGTGCACTTTTTGACAACCTGCACATTTTTCCAAAGAATATTTTGCACTCAAACTGTAAAATCATCTGCATTTATTCATACCTGTAAGATCAGATATATGTGTGTGAAAATTGTTTCATTGCATAAATGTATTGTTGACATGGTTAGTTATTAAATGAAAGTCATCGTGTTTGTTATTTTGTATTTCAGAGTTGGAGTCGACAGATCACCAGCTTCAAAATGAGGAGTTCCCAATGAACAACAAACGAGCTCAGTGTATGCGGGTTGTCATTGAATCTGGCTATGACCACTTTGTGTCAGTACACAAACTACACGTTGAAGGAAGTGCTCTACATGGTTGATAGCAAGTGGTTCCTGCACAGACTTTCACATTCCGTCCATCATGTGTACAAATTTTATGTCATAATAAATAATTAACAAATAAATGGTTGTGTTTTGTAAGTATTTGTTTTGTTTCTTAATACTGCACCCATCATTATTCTATGCATATAATGGCAGTCCTTAAACTATGCGAGTCAGGACAACTTACCAGTGGTTGATGTTGTGAACACCAATCAAGGTGCAGTGACATACATCAACCCAGTCACCAAGCCAGAGCACCCCAATCATTGAGCCACCTCTTATGAGAAGCATGGGTTGCTGGGGAGCAGTTCTTACAGACTATATCCCAGAATGATGTTAATCTCGACTGGATGCCATTCATCAGTGTACTCTAGCCACTCACGGTTTCTGTTATCATCTCTTGTAGAGGTTCTATGTGGTGAGGTAAGCTAATGAATGAAGTAGTCCTTATCCCACAGTTAAACCTCAGTTGTTGGCAATCTATAGCCTGTTTTCACATTGTCTTGTCATTTCTAGTTAAAATGTTTTAGATTTAACTACTAGTTTTACATGGATATCTGTGATACACTAGTAGTTTTTACTGTTCTTTGTCAACAGGCTTTTATTTTCTAATTTTATTGATCTATATGGCTGAAATATTGCCTATGTGACGATAAATATTAACTCACTCACTCCAACAGTTAAAGCACTCACTTGTTACTAGAAGCTCTTTGATTAATTTGCTTCATTACAAACAGGGTCCAAGTTTATCCCCAAAGATCTTCAGCTGGGGATAGTGCTCACAGTTGGTCACTTTGTCTCCTGAGGGTGAATGTCCAGAACAAGCATCACAGATCAGTAGTTCTTATTCATCTTTACCCGTGAAGATCCGGGTTTTAATTGATCTTCAGTAACCCATGCTTGCCGTAAGAGGCAACTAACGTGAACGGGTGGTCAGGCTCGCTTATTTGATTGACATGTCTTCGTGTCCCAATTGCGTAGACTGATGCTCATGCTGTTGATCACTGGATTGTCTGGTCCATACTCGATTAATTACAGACCACCGCTGGAATATTGCTGAGTGCAGCGAAAAACTAAACTCACTCACTTACTGTCATTAACCTTCACTTCTAGGTTTGTCAGCACCAATTTAATGTTCACTCAATTCATCAAAATGGTGAACATCAAAGATCTGCATCATCCCTAATGGAGACCTTTACACTGTGATATAACCCAAACATTGTTCCCTGCAGTGTATAACACAACTCACTCTCATTTAGGTGACAAAAACCAGTCCATATGAAGTTTTCACATGTATTTTTGTAAATGGTTGCATTTTGAAATGATTAAAGGAAAAGCTCAAAACCTTCCAACTATGGCCTTGAACGAGAAAGTCTAACATCTAACTGAAGAAGCAGGCTTGGTTTGGTGGAACTTGGGTAATAATATGAATCCCATCTTTGGGTAATATGAATCCCATCAAAGTACATGTGCTCTACCGTGGGCACTGTGAATGTGTGTAATTCATGATCTGAATAGAGTTACTTCCCTTGAAAGCCACAAACATGAGTTCATCGGCGCGACCAGTGTTACAAGTGCTCCGACAACTGGTCGCCAATCGTGTGGCCGCCACGGGGTTCGAGTCTGTATTGAAACAGGTGAGAGACCGAAACAACAGGGATCTATTTGTAGGCATTCGGCCTATATGCTTAACCGCGAATACCAGAGTTCGACCAGCGGCTATTCTAAAGATAGACTTACCAGGGCTCGTATATAATATTATAAATATTTAATTTAACACAATACCGCAGTTGGCATACAATGCTCAAATTTAAAATTAGTGTACTGCAGTAGTCACATACATATTATAATAATTGTACAGCAACGAAAATAATACATAGGAACTACAGGCTTTCACACTGATAAGTTTTTAAACTGTGAACACAACCCTTTTCTTAACACTGAACTTACCTGTTTAGACAATGGAGAATGTCTTTTCAATTCACCTTTTTTCGACATCTTATGCGTTTTGTCAGCTTTGTAATACACACATACGTATACGGCCAGATTAGTGTGGTGGACGGAGAGGAGGGGCGGTGTGTCTGTGAACTGGTCGTGTCTCCCGAGTTATCCAATCCCCGGGGTTCACTGCACGGGGGCGTGGCAGCCACGCTGGTGGACGCTGTATCCACGTGGGCGGTCATGACTACCGGTGAGAAGAAACCCGGTGTCACTGTCGACCTGAACGTTTCGTGAGTTGATCAATTACCTATTACCAACACAGATCGTTATTACTTTATATTTATTTTATATCAAGTATTAAAACAATTATTGGATATAAATGATTACCATAGCTTTTCCTTTTTACAGATTTCTGAAAGCGGCACCCACAGGCGAGCCTATACTGATCGACGCACGTACTCTGAGGGTGGGCAAGACCCTGGCATTTCTGACGGTGGACATCTTGAAGAAAGACTGTGGGACCTTGTTGGCCCAGGGAAAACACACGAAGTTCATGGGAGTGTGACCAGTATGCCATGGTGTGGTCCTGGATTAAATGGGGGAAAACCCCTCACACCAATATCTGAATGAGTTGAGGGATGCGTGTATTTGAAGTATGACAGACAAGGTGTGAAGCTTCATAACATAATTATACACCCAGAACAGCTTGTGCTTGTTTGTTTGCTATTTAATGTCTTTTCAGCAATATTCCAGATGTATATTTGCAAATAGACCCCATGATCAAGTGATTATCGTCATGGATCCAGGCAGCTGGGTTACCATGATATGCAATCAACAAAATATTTCAGCCTGGCCACCCGATCCCCTCCTACAACAGGCATATATCACTTGGAGTTATGGTCTTACACGGGATCCTCAATGGTCAAAGTTGATGAAGGACGTGATCTACATTGGACACGTCATCTGTTTCTGGTGTGTTGAGTCAGCATGTAAGCAGTATCGAGAAGTAAATAAATCTTGTTTTCCACAGTGTTTGAGATATTTCTGTCAGTATTTACTGTAAAATATGCCATTGTATACCAAATGGACAACAAATAATACAGTTCGTCTCCGTTCCACTGAATGTAATGATACGACCAGACATTCTTCTCATACAGTGGTGTGCCTTTGAATACGATAACCACCATGATGTCACGACTGGTAAGCACCGTTACAACCACCCTTCGTGTGTTTGCAAACCATTAACCTGGTGTTTAGTGACATACGTTCAGACGTTCATGTTTTGTAGGAGAGATGTTTATCCTGCAGTTTCACATCACGTGGGGCACTATGAACACCTGTATTTTCTATATTACACTACCCCCTTGTACCACGTGTGAATGGCTGCGTTAGGTTACTATATGGTCTTCCCATGGAAACTGAACAGAACAAAACTGCTGTATCAATAGATTGATGTATTGTGAAATATGCGGATCGGTGGTGTAAAAGAATGTTATTGCCAAGTGTTTAGTACAGTCCTCTATTTACATTCCATATTCAAACAATATGATTAAAGGCATGTGACAAACGCTTGAATGTTTTGTCAAAGGCGCCGCCCGCTCAAGGTAAAATTGTTTGGACAAGGCGTTATTGTATTATAATGTAATGTTTGATATAAACTGAAATATAACGCGCCAGACCTTAGTGTGATGGACGAGGCTCACGTGGGCGATGACTATTTCTTTAGTGAGCGACGCGGCATACATTCAAGGGAGATCAATCCGACAGCCTTATCTAGGTCAACACGACCTGGTTCATGATACTGTCATTACAACTACTTCACACCTTCACTCTTAAGTTTATATATATAGTAAACTGTCTATTAATTCCAACCCAAAACATTTCTTTCTGAATTATCATTACTTAATATCAAAATATACCAAGATGATTACCTCATCTCTTGTAGAGGTTCTATATGGTGGGGTACGCTAATGATTACAGTGATATGTAAAGTAGCCCTTGGTATCTTTACCTCATGTCTTGTAGAGGTTCTATATGGTGAGGTAGGCTAATGATTACAGTGATATGTGAAGCAGCCCTTGGTATCTTTACCTCGTCTCTTGTAGAGGTTCTATATGGTGAGGTAGGCTAATGATTACAGTGACATGTGAAGCAGCCCTTGGTATCTTTACCTCGTCTCTTGTAGAGGTTCTATATGGTGAGGTAGGCTAATGATTACAGTGATATGTGAAGTGGCCCTTGGTATCTTTACCTCATCTCTTGTAGAGGTTCTATATGGTGAGGTAGGCTAATGATTACAGTGATATGTAAAGTAGCCCTCGGTATCTTTACCTCATCTCTTGTAGACGTTCTATATGGTGAGGTAGGCTAATGATTACAGCGATATGTTAAGTAGCCCTCGGTATCTTTACCTCGTCTCTTGTAGAGGTTCTGTATGGTGAGGTAGGCTAATGATTACAGTGATATGTGAAGTATCCCTCGGTATCTTCACCTCGTCTCTTGTAGAGGTTCTATATGGTTAGGTAGGCTAATGATTACAGTGATATGTGAAGTAGACCTCGGTATCTTCACCTCCTCTCTTGTAGAGGTTCTATATGGTGAGGTAGGCTAATGATTACAGTGATATGTGAAGTATCCCTCGGTATCTTCACCTCGTCTCTTGTAGAGGTTCTATATGGTGGGGTACGCTAATGATTACAGTGATATGTAAAGTAGCCCATGGTATCTTTACCTCATGTCTTGTAGAGGTTCTATATGGTGAGGTAGGCTAATGATTACAGTGATATGTCAAGTAGCCCTCGGTATCTTTACCTCGTCTCTTGTAGAGGTTCTATATGGTGAGGTAGGCTAATGATTACAGTGACATGTGAAGCAGCCCTTGGTATCTTTACCTCGTCTCTTGTAGAGGTTCTATATGGTGAGGTAGGCTAATGATTACAGTGATATGTGAAGTAGCCCGTGGTATCTTTACCTCATCTCTTGTAGAGGTTCTATATGGTGAGGTAGGCTAATGATTACAGTGATATGTAAAGTAGCCCTCGGTATCTTTACCTCATCTCTTGTAGACGTTCTATATGGTGAGGTAGGCTAATGATTACAGTGATATGTGAAGTAGCGCTCGGTATCTTTACCTCGTCTCTTGTAGAGGTTCTATATGGTGAGGTAGGCTAATGATTACAGTGATATGTGAAGTAGCCCTTGGTATCTTTACCTCATCTCTTGTAGAGGTTCTATATGGTGAGGTAGGCTAATGATTACAGTGATATGTGAAGTAGCCCTCGGTATCTTTACCTCGTCTCTTGTAGAGGTTCTATATGGTGAGGTAGGCTAATGATTACAGTGATATGTGAAGTAGCCCTTGGTATCTTCACCTCGTCTCTTGTAGAGGCTCTGTATGGTGAGGTAGGCTAATGATTACAGTGATATGTAAAGTAGCCCTTGGTATCTTCACCTCATCTCTTTTAGAGGTTCTATATGGTGAGGTAGGCTAATGATTACAGTGATATGTGAAGTAGCCCTCGGTATCTTTACCTAATCTCTTGTAGAGGTTCTGTATGGTGAGGTTGGCTAATGATTACAGTGATATGTAAAATAGCCCTCGGTATCTTTACCTCGTCTCTTGTAGAGGTTCTATATGGTGAGGTAGGCTAATGATTACAGTGATATGTGAAGTAGCCCTTGGTATCTTTACCTCATCTCTTGTAGAGGCTCTATATGGTGAGGTAGGCTAATGATTACAGTGATATGTGAAGTAGCCCTCGGTATCTTTACCTCGTCTCTTGTAGAGGTTCTATATGGTGAGGTAGGCTAATGATTACAGTGATATGTGAAGTAGCCCTTGGTATCTTTTACCTCATCTCTTGTAGAGGTTCTATATATGGTGAGGTAGGCTAATGATTACAGTGATATGTGAAGTAGCCCTCGGTATCTTTACCTCGTCTCTTGTAGAGGTTCTATATATGGTGAGGTAGGCTAATGATTACAGTGATATGTGAAGTAGCCCTTGGTATCTTCACCTCGTCTCTTGTAGAGGCTCTGTATGGTGAGGTAGGCTAATGATTACAGTGATATGTAAAGTAGCCCTTGGTATCTTCACCTCATCTCTTTTAGAGGTTCTATATGGTGAGGTAGGCTAATGATTACAGTGATATGTGAAGTAGCCCTCGGTATCTTTACCTAATCTCTTGTAGAGGTTCTGTATGGTGAGGTTGGCTAATGATTACAGTGATATGTAAAATAGCCCTTGGTATCTTTAACTCATCTCTTTTAGAGGTTCTATATTGTGATGTTGGCTAATGATTACAGTGATATGTAAACTTTGGGAAATATGAATCCCATCAAAGTGCACGTGCTCTACCGTCGGCACTGTGAATGTGTGTAGTTTCATTATCTATTCAAGGGAGTTACTTCCCTTGAAAGCCACAAACATGAGTTCATCGGCGCGACCAGTGTTACAAGTGCTCCGGCAACTGGTCGCCAATCGTGTGGCCGCCACGGGGTTCGAGTCTGTATTGAAACAGGTGAGAGACCGAAACAACAGGGATCTATTTGTAGGCATTCGGCCTATATGCTTTAACCGCGAATACCAGAGTTCGACCAGCGGCTATTCTAAAGATAGACTTACCAGGGCTCGTATATAATATTATAAATATTTAATTTAACACAATACCGCAGTAGGCATACAATGCTCAAATTTAAAATTAGTGTACTGCAGTAGTCCCATACATTTTATAATAATTGTACAGCAACGAAAATAATACATAGGAACTACAGGCTTTCACACTGATAAGTTTTTAAACTGTGAACACATCCCTTTTCTTAACACTGAACTTACTTGTTTAGACAATGGAGAATGTCTTTTCAATTCACCTTTTTTTGACGTCTTATGCATTTTGTCAGCTTTGTAATACACACATACGTACACGGCCAGATTAGTGTGGTGGACGGAGAGGAGGGGCGGTGTGTCTGTGAACTGGTCGTGTCTCCTGAGTTATCCAATCCCCGGGGTTCACTGCACGGGGGCGTGGCAGCCACGCTGGTGGACGCTGTATCCACGTGGGCGGTCATGACTACCGGTGAGAAGAAACCCGGTGTCACTGTCGACCTGAACGTTTCGTGAGTTGATCAATTACCTATTACCAACACAGATCGTTATTACTTTATATATATTTTATATCAAGTATTTAAAAAAAAATTGGATATGAAAGGTCGATTGATTACCAGAGCTTTTCCTTTTTATAGATTTCTGAAAGCGGCACCCACAGGCGAGCCTATACTGATCGACGCACGTACTCTGAGGGTGGGCAAGACGCTGGCATTTTTGACGGTGGACATCTTGAAGAAAGACTGTGGGACCTTGTTGGCCCAGGGAAAACACACGAAGTTCATGGGAGTGTGACCAGTATGCCATGGTGTGGTCCTGGATTAAATGGGGGAAAACCGCTTACACCAATATCTGAATCAGTTGAGGGATGCGTACGCGTGTATTTGAAGTATGACAGACAAGGTGTGAAGCATCATAACATAATTATACACCCAGAACAGATGGTGCTTGTTTGTTTGCTATTTAATGTCCTTCTCAGCAATATTCCAGATGTATTTGCAAACAGACCCCACGATCAAGTGATTAACGTCATGGATCCAGGCAGCTGGGTTACCGTGATATGCAATCAACAAAATATTTCAGCCTGGCCACCCGATCTCCTCCTACAAGCATATATCGCAATGGATGTATGGTCTTATACACGGGATCCTCAATGGTCAAAGTTGATGAAGGACGTGATCTACATTGGACACGTCATCTGTTTCTGATGTAGTGAGTCAGCATGTAAGCAGTATCGAGAAGTAAATAAATCTTGTTTTCCACAGTGTTTGAGATTTTTCTGTCAGTATTTACTGTAAAATATGCCATTGTATACCAAATGGACAACAAATACAGTTCGTCTCCGTTCCACTGAATGTAATATGATACGACCAGACATTCTTCTCATACAGTGGTGTGCCTTTGAATACGATTACCACCATGATGTCACGGTCTGGCAAGCAGCGTTACAACCACCCTTCGTGCAAACCATTAACCTGGACCTAGATTTTCGAAGCTCTCTTAGCGCTAAGATAGTCGTAAGTTAATGTTAATGTATGGCACTTACGGCTGTCTTAGCGCTAAGAGAGATTCGAAAATCTAGGCCCTGGTGTTTAGTGACTTACGTTCAGACGTTCATGTTTTGTAGGAGAGATGTTTATCCTGCAGTTTCACATCACGTGGGGCACTATGAACACCTGTATTTTCTATATTACACTACCCCCTTGTACCACGTGTGAATGGCTGCGTTAGGTTACTATATGGTCTTCACATGGAAACTGAACAGAACAAAACTGCTGTATCAATAGATTGATGTATTGTGAAATATGCGGATCGGTGGTGTAAAAGAATGTTATTGCCAAGTGTTTAGTACAGTCCTCTATTTACATTCCATATTCAAACAAAATCATTAATGGCATATGTGACAAACGCTTGAGTGTTTTGTCAAAGGCGCCGCCCGTTCAAAGTAAAATTGTTTGGACAAGGCGTTATTGTATTATACTGTAATGTTTGATATAAACTAAAATATAACGCGCCAGACCTTAGTGTGGTGGACGAGGCTCACGTGGGCGATGACTATTTATTCAGTGAGCGACGCGGCATACATTCAAGGGAGATCACTCCGACAGCCGTATCTAGGTCAACACGACATGGCTCATGATACTGTCATTACAACTACTTCAGACTCAGCACTGCCTTTGAGTTATCGATGAGTTATTTTTCCTTATCTGAGTGCTTGAACATTTCGACTGTGTAAGCGGTTAGTATTGATCAAAGTAATGCAGGTTTTATCAAATTTTAACACGTGGGTAAAATCCACATAGAATCAGTGAAAGGGAATTTGGGATTCGAACCAGTGATCATATGATTCCGGCACTCGAAGACCCTGTCTTAAAGTCGTTTTCTCGAATACTGAGCAAATTTATAGCGGATCCACCCCCACTATTCCTCTGTAGCTTGGAGATACGAATTTGCATATTTTCACCCTAGGTTCTACACATGCATGGTGTTCTGAAACGGCCAGTGCACAATTAAGTGATGAATGTAACATATACTCTTAAACACATTGCTTAGAGTTTCTTTACTTTCAAATGAACTAGACTTTAGCTTGAAAAGAGCCCACTATAACGGTGTTTGAAATAGGGGATTATTTTAGTTGTCTTATTTAAAACGTGTGGCTGAGGCATTCTCCAACTACAGAAAGACTTGCGGGGTCATTTGATTCTTTAAAAGTTCGCTGTCTTTCATTGGTGAACCAGCGTGGCAGTATTGAATCTGATGAGTTCTTTTGTGGTCACCCCGGGTACTGAACAGGGACCAACAGTTTTTAATGAAATAGGCCAAATGACGCACTTGACGTGTGTGTTATTGGGCCACCACAACCTTGTGTATTGTTCATGGTATAAATCGATGCATTGACAGACCGCCACGATAAAGTTGGAATCTTTCTGAGTGCGGCACAAAACAACATATTCACATCACCCCAACTCAACAATGTGTATGCCTCAACAGCGTATAGTGAGCATGGTTTTACACAGCTTTTAGAAAAATCCCAGCAATTCCACACCTGGGGACACTAGAAATGGCCTTCACACACTGAAGATGTGGGAATCGAATTCGGTAGTTTAGCGTGACGAGTGAACACTTTAATCATCATTCTAACTCACCGCCTCCGCGTGCTTGGTTGTGTGAGGGTAACCAATTATATCACAAAACAGCTTTCTTTATATATAATATTTTATTGATCCCGTTAATATTCATTGTTATGTAAACTGTCAGACTGCCCTCTACTGAGTGTTCCAGGTGGGGTGGCGAAGTCACTGACTTCCAAATGAAACAGAGATGGCTGGAGAAACCTTGGTCAGTTTTAAACAATACTGTAACTGTTCTATCACAATAAACGTCATTGATCCCCTAGTTTTTGTTGAACTGATACTTGCCGGATCTGAATAGCCACTTTGGTCTCCTAAAAAAATTCTTCTTTGATTTAGTCTCAATTGTTTGTTGCGGGAACATTTTGATTGACATCTCTACCCGTGGTGACCTCAACGCCGGCGTCTTCTGTGTCACACGACGTGGTTGTGGAGGCGGACTGTCCGGAGTGTCTGGAATTATTGATTGAACAAGTACGTCACAAGCTTGATATGGTGGTGTCTAATGAAGCTGGACAATCTATATTGGATTTGTGTTGATCCATTTGTGGACATAGATGATGCAACTAAACATTATGTCAAGGGCGTCGTGTACAGTAGAGGGCGTTGACCAAAGAGCAGAGAGCATATAAGTGCGAAAGGGCACGGGACCCTATTCCCCTATAGGATCTTTGCGCCCAAAGTGTAATAAAATCCCTTGCTTCAACACTGACATACCGCAGTCGTAGTTCGTTTGGTCGAACAGAACTGTGAAACCACCTCCACAGTGAGAGCACAGTAGGAGCACCATAGCCTTTCCATGTGAATGGTTATGGGCGAAGAGGAGTATTTAAAACGGCGACACAAGCGTTCTCCACACGGATAAAGTGTAATACCTGCTTCACGCCCATTCTTGTTGTCGAATAACGCCTCTGAACTTCTTATTAATGGTGTAAATTTATCTCACCTTGAAAACGCCCTGGGTGCCCTCTGGTTATGACTTCAGCAATGTGACCTTGGTCAGACCTCCTGAGTGCCCGGATGAGGATGTCAACAGCAGTTGGCCCAAATATGGGCAGTAGGTCGAGGAGCCTGAGCACCTGGTCGGAGACGGACTTCGTGTCCAAGATGTAGTGGACGACTGTTGATGACAGGAGGCCTGAGTCCCGCAGGTAGATGAGAACTAGAGACACCAGCAGGTGCTCCACCAGGATCGGATAGCTTGCCTCCACTATAGCCCGGTCTGCAGTCGGCAGCACCTCCACTACAAACACAAGAAGAAGTCAGTAGTGGGGCACAGTATCACATTTGTCGCTTGGGATGTGGTAGTGAGTGAGTAAATGGAATGAAACAGATTCTGGTCCAGGCTCACCGACCGACCAACTGTGGTACAATGATCCATGTCGCCTGAGTACGGTGACTGTATGAGACAGGTTATACATTTTGGTCCTCAGTTTAGGTAAGCATTGAGTAATTGGGATAAAAGTAGACTTGCACAAGTCTCTAAGGTAACAATTAATAGTTTAAATGATAATTTCCTCAAAAATACAAAATAACAGACTGTACACTTATCTGGACTTGCCTCTTCGAAGGATAGAATTACTATACACTCATGCGCTCAGCATTCAGTACAGCCTTGGAGCAAGGCTAGAATGAATGTTATGTTATGTGATGGTTGTTTCAGCATTGCTTTTGGAAGAATGAAGTAAAATCTTATGTCAGCTGGGTAAGCAGCATAAGGAAGTTCAGCAAAATCTATACTGAGAATTCTATATTAGCAATTCTCCGTTAGACCTATCATCAGATGTCGAATGGTGGCTTTCAGTATGTAGCGACGGTTATATGTTGGTCCAGTCGTCTATCATACGGGACCTCAACGTGGCCCTGCATCGTGAGTTCCAATCCCGCATTGATTATGTTTTTTATTTTGTAAATACCAAACCCGCGTTCGTGGGTTTAACAAGGCGTGAAACTTGCATCACTTTGGGTTATCCAGCATATCAGGCTAAAAGGCTTTAGCCTTTCATAAACGATGTGTTGGTCCTGAGTATTTCTGAATTTAGGAACATTTGCTCATATCTAGGCTAGCAGTAGTAGATGTAGGAGAAACGAACGCCGATCTCAGACGTCAGCCTAGTAATGCCATGTCCACAACGCCTGTTTAAGCGAACACCTCTTACATTAATCAACACAACTACTTACCTCCTAGAGGGTTGTGCAGCTGGCAATCTACACACGCCTGCACGAGTTGTCCCAACATGGTGGAGCGTCTGCCGTCCACGGTGTTGCTGTTCCACTCACTGATGACCGACCAGAACAAACCGCTGAAGTCTTCATAGAAATCCAGGTCTTCCCGTAGTCGTGTGAGCGTCTCATGGTTGGGCACGAGGCACTGCGAGAACTCCCACACTCGGTCATCTGAAATATGGACAAGTTGAATTAAGCAACACTAACGTCCCCTTCAAGTAGCCCTATCCTTCTGTCAAATCACTCCTTACGATCAAACACTAAATGACCTATCGGTCCCTTAAGCGAAATACGCATTATGTCGGAAGGTGCACGTTAAATCTCAAAATAATAAAATTAATCATCATCATCATCATCATCATCAAGTAACAAAGTGCTTGTCGCAAGAGGCAACGAACGGAATAGGGTGGTCAGATTCACTGACCCAGCGTTAACCCAAATGGGTAGATTGTCTTCATTGAATACAGACTGCATTCATATGGTTTGAATATTGACGATTAAGGCGTTTAACAACAAAGAAAACAAAATGTGGTAGGGATCTGTAAACTGATCTTGAACACTGACAATGCACATATGCGCTACGTACATGAATGTACAACCATGAATCGGAGAATTCATTAGGATGTCATAACTGCACAGTTTTATTTGTCAAATCACTGTTGTCACCAACATATCGTTACAGCTATGACCCATGTATGCTTTGTCTGCTTTGAAGTACTGAGAGTGGTTGGGCTGGTTCGGGTTTGTTTTCAGGACTTTCTCGTACCAAGGAAAGGTTGTAGGTTACAGCAAAATCCCCGGATGTGTGAAGGCAGTGATTTGTCTTTTGTGTCACGCAGAGGGCACTGCGAGCTGATTTCGTTAAAGTGTTGAATCCTTTTGTTCACATCCGAGATCGTCTTGTTGGCCAGAACGATGTCTTCCCTGTAGCTGCAGATCTAAACAGGTATAGATAGAGTTGTTAACGCAATGATAAAAATGATATAAGGAAATATCAGTAAAAACAGCATCTAACCCTCTTAGCCACGTGAGCTGTGCTAATTTACAGAGGGGTACACGAAGTACGTGATTTAGATTATCAGTTGTCGGACTTTTTGTGGAAAGTAGTAAACAGTTATACTTCACTATGAAAGTGTGGTCTCAAATATAACATAACAACTTTGTAAAAGGCAATGCTGCAGTATTAAAGTGATGGTGACATTAGCAGTACTGCAGAGAAAGAGATTTCGTTAAGTAGTACTGCAGTGTAAATAATATTATGAGCAGTACTGCAGAATAAAGAGTGATATAGAATATAGAGTGATGTACACAATATCAACATCTCTTATCATGTTTCATGCTTTTAAGTGATATTTTATTAAATGTGCGTGGTAGTTGAATTAAGTAGAAAGTAGATGAATTTTGAAAGAGCTTGTATCCAGTAAATGTCAAAATAAAATAACCTCTTTGGCCAACATATTTGCCAGTTTATCCCTCTGTTGTTCGGTCTCGCGATATCTCGCGACAGGCATTTCTTTTGGTGACAGTTCACCGAATCCGGCATCCACGTGACCGGCCCTGCTGGAGTTGCCGAACACGTCATCGTCCTGTAATAAGCAAGCACATGTTCTCAGTTCGATCGGTTTAATGTTGTCACTACGACAATTTGTCGGCTTACTGACAAGGCACGGCAAAATAATTGTAAATAACATGTAAAGAACTCTACCACTTGAAGCCTGACCACATTTGAAGTAAATGCAGGCTGGCCTCGCGGATCCAGGTTCAAGAAACGGTCTCACATTAGTGAGACTTTTCCTACTGGTGTACAGTGAAGGTGCAGTGGGTAAACTCCACACAAATACTGTTGAGATCAGCGTTAACGCCACGCCCACTCACTAAATCACCAAATCTATTTGTGTCTAGTTATATAGGTCATTGGAAACCAACGCCACAAGCATAACAAAAGCATACACTTTACAATAAAACATTAACGTGACAGCACCAGAAAGTCAGTAGATCAGGGTTCGATTACCAACATAGGTACAATGTGAGGCCCACTTTTGGTGTTCCCCGTCGTGATATTGCTGGAATATTGCTAAAAGCGGCGTAAAACTAAACTCACTCATTTGTCTCGCTATTACAATGTGCGGTTATTATCACCTACTAGAGGCTGTGTAAGGAACTGTTTACTACTGTGACACTCCCCCATCAGAATATACAACTACAGTCGGTTCAAACCTGCTCTGTGTCTGAGTCGATGTCTCCAACGGACAATGACGTTGACGGGAAGGTTGTAGCCGCGTAGTCAACTGCTAGTAGTTGACTGCAGCTCTTGGATTTGGTCCTGAACTCTGGCGGTGGTGGCAGGACAGGAGCCTCTGCGACACTGTTCAACCTCGACGTCCGCCCACACCGTACCTCATTCAGTTCATACTCAAGCTGAGAGATAGTATCTCTGTATTCTCTTTCCTTCAGTTTCACCAGTGCAAGTTCATTCTCGAGGGAGACAACTCTGTTTTCCGCCTCCATCCTGGCCCACTGCTCTTGTGCCATCTGTGTCTCGAGCTGCCCCATCCGACCACCTCCAGTTCCTGACTCACTAGGCGGAACTACTATTCCGTTTCTGAAACTACCGTTAAACATTTTCTTGTCAGTCACCGTGTTACTGTCGTACGCTTGGATGCCGTGACTGTATTCTGGTTGATACATGGCCGCACCTCGTTTGTCTTACTCAATCCTGGTGTTCAAAAACTTCTGGCTTTCACAGTTCATTTCCCCTGACCAAAGTTTCACCACAACGAGAGTATTGCCGGAATGCACCAGTCAAACCTTTATCTGCATCTGTAAACAGGGTTTACATTATACACACACTAAAAACACAAACAAACAGCTGACGAGCTCAGAGTAACATCCTTATGGAGCTACAACATGAACGCAATTCACTGTCATGTAATATCAAGTGATACTCAATTTCAGCCCTCAGACATATTCCGGATGTTTGACAGTGACCAGTGACCTGACCGAATCTGAACCAGACAATCCAGTGATTGATATTATGAACATCGCACCACTCATAGCATAGGTAACTGGGAACCCATTCCAAGAAGGCGCATCAACTGGCACGCAAAATAACACATACACTCGCAAAGTGGATATGCCCGAAAGCATTTACAAAATATTGCAAACTTCATTAAAATGTTACCAGGCTAAAACAGTTTCCGAAACACTGGAAACTTGAAGTCCGAAACACAGAAGGATCGAATTCATCAGTTCGAATAATTACTCGTTTGTTTCCTATAACCAAACATTAAACCAGAGTGTTTTGTTCGGCAGTTTATGTACACGCTGAAGGAAAAGACGTGATATAATTTGTTGTTATAGTCCGAATTAGTAGATATATATTCATGTATGCCGTTCCTTGGCTTTACTCTCATTTTACACACGTAGCCGATGCTAATTCCGATTCTAATTAGTGACTGTATAGTGATAGGGTGTATGTTCTTACCGCTGGATTTGAATGCATGTCACAGTGGTACCAAGGCATCCCTATAAACTGTAGAGTTCTAGTCCGGACCAACATCGTACATAACTCTCTTTACTGCAGCAATTCTTGAAACGCTTATTCAATGCGTTTGTTACATGCTTGTACAAGACTCAGTCCCACCCATACAGGACGTACCGCTACCCGCTTAACTGAGCCGGTGATGTCTGTCATCTCACGCCGGGACAGCTGTAGCTGCGAGGCTGACATTCCGGGTGACATATATTGATTTTTCCAACTGCGGTTATTGATCTTTAACAACAACATTCGTCTTGTCAAATGTGTTGACACGCATGGATAGCCGTGTTTGAAATAGCGATTATAACATCTAAATGGTGATGAACTCACGATAAGGGTATATTCATGAAAGTGTAACTACACATATAGATCGAATATACGTCACTAATGGCGAGATCTGGTTGGATGCTGGCAGGTATACCCTTTCAGCAAAAACATGTGTGCTGCCGAGAAGCATTTGTGAAATTAAACCTGATCTCTACTTATCTTCCTAACTCATCTTCACTATCAACAACTTACCTCATGAATAGGAATACCTATCCGGAATAGGAACACATGCAGGGGGAGATAACTGCTCTTGTTTACAAGATCGTGATAGGTCTGTCATCCATCCATCTTGTTTTCTATCACAGTTTAACCGAGTTAATCAATATTCATGAGGTTCTTGGCAGTTCGTCAAAGCTGACTGCTTAAACATGTGCGTTGTAGTTTGACGCTGTAGATGCTGGCCCGGCTTAACAGGCCGACGGCTGTCTCGCATCGGTGGACAATCAATTTGTCTTTATATGTGATCAATAGGTTCCTGTTCTCAGTTGAAGTATTCGATCTGCTTAGAAGGCTGGAGGTAAAGGCATGATGAAACTTATCAGAGTATGGAGACAGGGATGACTGTAAAATGTAACTCCCATGTTCACATGGTGCATTCTGGTTTGAACAATGGATTCCACAGAGGTATGCATAGACTTTGTTGGAAACGTATGTGGACCTGCCTACTCATCTATACCATATTCGTACAGAATCTTGTATAAACAAATTTTACTTGTTTCAGTATTTATTGTGTTAAACGGGACGTGTGGGTACTAGATACTGCAGTTCGGTGTGCAGAGTTACCTCCCATTGGTGTTCGAGAAACTGGTGATCGTGGTTCGAAAACGTCCCTGATTATGACACTTGTTTTGTCATACGTCCTGGGGTTGTGAAACATCTGGCTATTCACCCACACGTAGCTCACATGTAATTAAGATCCTCTTCCAAGCCGCCTTCCTTCATACCCACTAACTCAATCTCGATTCATAAACCTTTAACTGGAACCTGTGTCTTAGGCAGTGGCAAAACTACATATAGGCAATAAACAACTTCGTGCACACAATGATTTTATTTGCCAATCGTGACCATTCATCGGCCCGACCTTTGTCAAAGGAAAAGCAATATTGGAGAAACGCTAAGCTTCCGATAAAAAACAGCGAAAACTATGCGACGGTAAAGTTCGGGCCGAGATGAGAAGCACACCCAGAAATACAGAGGTGTTTAAGGTAAACACGATGTGTGCTTCTTTACTCGACAGTCCATTTCCGCCACTTTGCATGGCATGTGTATATTACACAGAAGAGTTTCTACAGTTTTGAATCGGAGTTGTGACTTGTATTCAAGGTTAGGCTCTACAAGAATATAGACTTTTCACACTTTGAAAAGGATCAAATCGTGGATTCAATAGAAAACTATGATGTGGGGTCAAATTTGGTTTAAATATCTAAGCTTATTGTAGCGTGGTTTCTAGGTTTCAGTATGTCATTGCATCTTGTGGATCCCATACCTGCTATTGACAAGTGGTGTTTATTTGTCAATGACTCGTTTCATGATTTCCAAAATGGTTGATTGGTGCCATGAAAACCATTTTTATGGTTACTCATGTATCAAGTGCATAAAGTTAAAATAAAGTCGCTGTCTGCCTAAAGAGGGATTACGACATATTATTTATCCAGTCTTAAATGGATACAATTTCGTATTACAAATCTACATTTAAGTAAAGTTGTGAATTTTTATGATCCTTATCAAAGTGTGAGTAGTATATTTGAGTCTACTATCACAACATATACTGGATGATACGATGATTCAACATCAAATATACTGAGGGAAACAAATAAGGGAACGCCACTTCATGGCAATGTTCCTATACTTATTCTCAGATTTCCCCCCCCACTGCGCTATTCAAAGCTGGTGATTAAAACTTGATGATATTAAAGGAACGCTTGATATTTCCGAGTTCCTGTCTTTGTTTCTCTCAGTATATATATATATGTATAAAAGTGTCTCATATACTTTATAGGCTTTATAAGCGTTTTGTGAGAGTAACACACACATGAACAGATTCTATCAGTCTCATGTGAACATTATCTTTGTTTAGAAGGACCACATCTAGCACTAGCAATAACATTCAATGTACACTACATGTAATATGTTTTTCATAGTACAAAAACTTTGAAATACAAGATGTACGATGGTAAAAACATACTTTTCGTTTTTCAGTAAAGACTCAATACACGTTACGGTTTCGCCCAACCTGTTCTAATGGTGATGGTAGAAAAGATTTCATGGAATACAGGTGCCACTGAGATTGTCATAACTTTGCAAGCGATAAAAAATCTAAAGATTGAATATTTATACCTTTCATGAAACGTTGGGTCTATGGGGGCATGTGGGTTTCTCATTTCTTCATGGTAAATAATCCTGATTATATTTTGTTAGTTTTAAAGTTCAGTTTCCAAATTGAGTCCATTGTGAAATCATTTCTGCAGCCCTATCTCAACATGTTTGACGACATTGGGTCACAAAAAGTAAACAATATATATATTACTACTCAAAACAAGTTAAGGGTCATGCGATATCATCATGTAATGTTACTGATGAGGTTGGTTGCATTGCATATGAATGAAATTTTTACATTCCCTGGATGGTACGTCATTGAAAAACATTGCAGAACCTGGATAAAGGCTGCAGATAACCGTGGTGCCAATAGTCATCATGTGGTAGGGTGTTAAAAAATGAACAAATTGAAACATCGAGTACTTCACAAAAACGCCACCACTGTTCGTGGAATTAGTGCTGTGCATGCTTATTTTCCCTATAAAACTTGCAATTGTCACAGTGCTATTGTCACTTGAAATTCAACAATGGCAAGACGTCAACTGATCATGACAGACAGAGGAAGAGCTCTTGCCTGGCTTCAAGATGGTGAAACTCAACGCAGTGTGGCTCGGAGACTAAATGTGAGTCAGAGTGTCATTGGGAGGTTATGGCAACGGTTTCGTGTGACTGGAACGCTGAATAATCGACCACGTTCTGGCAGGTCTCCATCAACAACTCCTAGAGAAGACCGATTCCTGACAAATATGGCCGTCCGACAACGCAGAGTAACTGCCAGACAACTCCGTGACCAACTGAGAGCTGCCACAGGTACCCTGGTATCTGATGAGACCGTCAGGAACCGACTGAGGAGGAACAATCTTCACTCAATCAGCGACACAGGGCGGCATGACGTGACTGGTGTAGACGCCATGTCCGTTGGCAACGTGCTCAGTGGGCGTCAGTTCTTCTCTCCGACGAGTCTAGGTATACTCTACAGTTCAATATGATGGTAGAACTTGTGTGTATCGGCGTCCAGGAGAGTGTTTTGCTGACGTCAACGTCAACCAACGTTTGCCATTTGGAGGCGGGGGTATCATGGTTTGGGGTGCATTTTCCTTTCATCAAAGGACACCTCTCTATGTCATTAATGGTAATTTGACAGGAAATCGCTATCTACGGGAGATTAACAGGCCCCTTGATTTGCCATGTTTACAACGTATCGGTGTTGGATCCATATTCCAAGATGACAATGCCCGACCACACCGTGGCCGTGTCGTGACGGACTTACTTAGACAGAACAATGTTCAGCCCATGGAATGACCGGCATATTCAGAGGATTTAGCCCCTATTGAACATGCTTGGCACGAGTTAGGACGTCTGGTGAACAGTATGAGACAGAGGTGTACTGCTTGTCTTACTGCTCGAGGTGGTTACATCCGTCATTAGTCCAATGTTGGCGTTTGAATTTTCACTTCTGACAGTAGGTCACTTTGACCTTATTGATCAACAATCACTGACATTCCTGCTGTTTTTGTCTCCCGTTGTTGTTATCATGAAATGTTGGCTCGAGTTGTTATATGATCGCTACCTTTCACTGTTATTTATATTTGTAGTTATGGCCATTAAAAGTTGTGACCCTTAACTTGTTTTGAGTAGTATATATCATAAACAAATAGTTTGATATTCCAACGTATATCTTTAACTGTATCATTAATAAATATTCAAAACAGAACGCTGATGGTATAACATGTCATGGTCATTATCTTGATGCCATCCTCAACTAGTTTAATCATGTAACATATGTTAAATTTGGGATTACACTTTAGAAAGTGTAATCCCAAATATAACATATGTTACATTTTACCACTTTCTAAATGGCATTGTGTATTCACAGTTTAATGATTATCACATTCCCTTAGCGAAGGATTTCAACACGCACGTATGAGTGACCTCTTGGACTTTATACCAAACGATAATGTTACTTATATTCAAGATGACCGTATTGACTACCCAACTGATGATTGTGCACAAGGAAAGATTTATGTTGTGTTTACAGTATTCATGTCTTAAACACAAGAGTGTTTTAGGATGTGGATGCCAATTTCAATCGAATGACACATAATGACACAAGTGTCATGGACTATATGCTTGCCTCTACTAATTTATTAAAATATTTCTCTATTCTAAAAATTCTTGGGAGGTATGACCCCTGTCACTTTACCCTCGCTTGTATTTTTACTTAAGGAAAACCCTGACGATTAGCGATGTGCAACCAGTAAACAAGTACATTCTATTTCCATGAAATCTCCAAATGTATCTGCACTGTTAACCTTAGATAAGGTATGCATGGAACTGTGAAAATATGAATATCTTCTTAAGTATATTTCAGAATATTTTCCTTGACTAAATGACCAACTGCATCAAATGTGATCTTCACAGAGCAAAGTGTACCACCACAGCCCCCTTGCTGGGATGATGAATCACACTGCCCAAAATAGAGAAAATATCCAGCTGTTAGACAACAGAGATCTGTAGTAAACAACTTTGAAATTTACAGAAAATTACGAAATTAATTCAAAAATTAATTCAAGAATTAATTTAACATATACTGAAAGCCATTAAAAACGCAATTGGTATTTGTTGTCCTGAAACTTACAAAAGTTCTATTGAAGATTTTTTCCTGCGATACAGAGGATGTAGGGATAAAAGGCTGTTATTCTGGCCCATTTCGAGTTTCAGTCCCGGAGCATTCCTCTCACATGAACCTTGATACTTAAAACTGAACCTTTGACATTTCTCGTAAACACAACCACATTCATGAAACACGTGCACATGCATTACCTGCACCCAGGCCCTGTAAAAGCACAAGGAATTGTCGAACTCAATCACTTCGAGAAAATGACACACTTGACAAAAGACGATAGGAAACAGGTTATCGGTATGGTCAGCCAAGGTGCTTCAGATGTGATGATTGCCAGGCACTTTAATGTGCATCCATCCACTGTAAGTCGACTCAGACAACGTTTTTGGGCTACCGGAAGTGTTGCTGATCGTCCGCGACCTGGTGCACCACCTGTGATAACAGCTCGACAAAACCGCAATATCCGAGTTTCACACTTGCGAAATCGGTTCCAAACAGCTGATTATTAGGCAAAGAGGACAATTGGGACAAATCAACGTCATTTCAGCGTCCAAAAGGTGCAAGGACACCTTTCTGCCTTCAACATCCGGTGTCGTCACCCGTACCGTGGTCCAACCTTATTGCATCGCCACAGACTTGCCAGAAAGCGATGGGCAGCAAATGGGGCCAATCTTGGCAACAGGACATGGCCAGATGTCATTTTTTCAGATGAATCCAGGTTTAACTTATCCTTTGCAGATGGACGTCAACAGATTTATCGACGTAAAGGTGAAAGACTTGCGCCAAACTGTGTCCTTGAACATGATCGTTTTGGAGGGGGTGGTGTCATGATCAGACCACAGACCTTCAGAGGCTGCAGACCATCCAACAGGTGTTCCTGAGAAATGTGTGTCTTTCCATGCCCCAAAGACTGCGAGCATGTCTTGCAGCGCACGGTGGACACACAGGATATTGACTGAAAGTGACCCTCGTTTGTTTGATGTCGTTATTGCGTCACTGATGTTGTTGTTGACTGGACATTTTCAGTTGAAATTATTCACAGATGTTCACTTAAAACATATCTGCCAGTTAGGTTTATATATGGTGAAATTAGTGTGAGTAAAGAAAGTATGAATGTCAAATTGCATTTTTAATGGCTTTCAGCATATTTAAAAGAACAAGGGAGAATATTGCAAAGGCTGAAAATTTCTTTATGTCAGCTTCTGTTATATGACGGATTATATTCTTACCATCACCTGCTGAAGGGATATGAAGATACTCCAATATAAGTTGTGTCCCTCATATTACAAAATTGACATTCACAAATCTTCAACCTTTATGTGTATCACTCTTTAATGCCATTCAAAGACTTTGAGAATAGTTTAAGCAGCAAAGAACGCTCTTTGTAAATGCAAGATTTGACCCCAGATCATTCTTGAGAATCCTTAGGCGAGGAAGAAAAACTATGCATTATCTGGAACTATAACACAGGAACAGCGGTGTACACATTTTGAATCTTTTTAGTCTAATTAACGTGAGTATTCGAGGTAAATGATTTAACTTTGTTATGAAATTTATTACTGGTATGAATATATATTTTGAGTAAAACAAAAATAATGTGTTATTCCGTAAAGGTGAACATTTTTGTCATTTAGTACGGTAGTACGTAATGGGGGAAAAATAGATATTGTTACTTTTTTACGGGTATTTCCATGTTGTGCTTACACCTACACGTTTTTGGACCAAGGCACAGAGTTATTTCACTACACAACCTCAGAAGGCATGTATGTCAATACATATCTTTGAAAAGAAATCTGGAGCAGTTTCATGTTTAAAATCTTTGATGCAGCTATTGTACCTATACTTTGTTATGGGTCATCTGAAATGTTCAAACAGTTTTGTAAAAGGTTCTTGAAGTTGACTAAATGGCCTAATAATGTTATTGCACTTGGTGACTATGGGAGGATCCCATTGCAATATATACGTATATGTCAAAGTGTGTCATGCACTGATTCAGTTAGATACATGGAAATATTAAAATCTCTGGATGATGTTCGAAGGGCTACATTAACTGTAGATACATTAGATGTGATCAAATCAAGGGCAGCTTATGGGCATTAATCTGTATGAAATAAATAGAGAATACTAAACGATGTCCCGTGTAATACCATATTTATGAAACGAGTGAATGGTTTGGTATGTAACGAGCGAAAGCGAGTCAGATACTAATACCATTGACGAGTTTCATAAATATGGCATTACAGGGGACGTAGTTTAGTATTGTATTTATTACTCACCCAACATCAGCAAAATAATATCGAGCAAAGTAATTCTTTCCTAAGAATTCGAACGAGTGTGATGACTCTCAGCTTTCCGCGAGTCAAGCAAGGTCTAATACTATTGTGACAGAGGTATTAGCATTGTGACGTCATAACTGTAGTTCTCGTCACGATATGGCTGAAATATTGCCGATGTGACGTTAAATTTTAACTCACTCACTCACTCACTCACTCATAACTGTAAACCACTTTGACGTCATACGTACGGCATCACGCGATGTTATTACACAATGTGTAATAACATTGTAAAATTATTAAACAGTGATATCTTCAACGGGTGAGTAATAAATCAGGATATTTCCCCTCACATCTCTGTCATTTGTGATACATTCTAGGCAGTGAAGCAGACTTATATACAGGGAGACAGTATTAATAGAACTGATAATTTCAACAGACATTGTAAGTCCCTGTATTTCTGGATTGACAGGGCCCTCATAATCTTTGTTCCAATAACATTGTAATCCTTAATTTCAGGTTCGTTTCTTATCCTCTAATTACCGTATCAACCTTTTCTCAACTCACCCAGTGTCCGACACCCTGTCATTAGGGATTGACATCATATTTGTTCTTCTTTGATCGGAAGATTTTGAATGGCGACCTGTTGAATGGCGACTTGAATATGCTTTTCTTTTTCTTTGGTCCATCAGTATCATGAGATGCGTACAGAACCATCTCTTCACGTGAACGACCGGGAGCTGGGGAGGAATATCGCATACAGAACCTTCGGGGGTTGGACGTTACAATTTGGTCTGCGATGTGTACTTGTCCAGATTTCCGCAGAGCGTCCACGAGGATGTCCAGAGCCTGGTGTCCACACACGGGCAGGACTTCAACAAACCTCTGGACTTGGTCTGGACGTGGCTGGGGATTCTGCACATACTGAACTATGTTCGGGGTGAACTTCTGAGAGTCCCGTAGATAGACCAGAGCTGGTTCGACTATGAGGTGTTCCACCAGGTATGAGTAGGTCTTCTCAATGATCAAACGGTCTTCGGTTGGCATCGGGCGCACTATAAATAAGCATAGAGACGCTATTATGCTTAACGCATTCCGACTCATCAGCTACCGATATAGAATCAAGACATCAGTAAACTTACAGCTGAATTCGAGGGCAACCATATTCTAATATAGACTTACCAATCCATTATACTAATCCTGAAAACCGAATTAACCTCCTGTTGTTCCCAGCATTGAGTGTCTGAAAATGTTATTAGTACTAACCGTCTAATGGATTGGATACCCTACACCCATCGCATGCTTGTATGAGCTGGTCCAACATGGTGGCGCGATTTGCCTGGGTACTGTTCATGCTGTTCCACTCGTAGATGACAGTCCAGTACAGATTTGGCAGGTCAAGTCTGTAGTCATGTTCATCAGTTAACTGACGAAGTCTGCAGTGATTCAATCCAAGATGTCTAGAAAAGGTTTTCATTCGACTCCACTCTGAACCTGAAGGAACAAGTACGAAATATTTTATTTTTAGCTCACATCCGTTTTGATTGTGGACATATCTGATGGAAAAAGATTTACAATTTTACAGATTTAACTCTGTCATTGTCAATCCTCACACCTTGCCACCCGCGACAAATCATCTCCGGACTATGAAGAAAACAGTGATGCTATTTCCAAGTAACCCCGAGGCAATTATAGGTCCGTCTCCTATTCTCGCGGGTTTCTTATTCTCGCGGTAAACACGTTTTCTTTCTGCCGAAATCGCCGATGCGCGACACTTACCGGTTGTTTACATCACCGACTAGTAACTAGGAAGTGGCCCAAGTCTGTGAGTGATCAACATCTTGCAGTGTCACGAATATTGGGGAATTTATACCAACTTGGACATATCATTACTTTTTCCCGCCCTTTCCGGCAGGATTGCTCTTACATACACACAATGACGTTAATTCATGGTAATACAGCGAGAATGGGGAGAAGCCTCGTTTCGTCAATGGCGGATGGCATTGTTTATCACCGGGCTCACGGTATCATTCTGCCCAGTATTCAAATATTGAAACAAATACAATTCCTAAATCCTGACACCAAAATGGCATATGCCAAGATAACCAGTCATCTCCAGGAATAACTCACTATTATCCACCGAAACAGAATATGTTGGGCGCACAAGGCAAAATAGAGGAGAAAGCTATAAAGGGATCAGTGGAACTGAAGGATAACACCAGGTGTTCGACAGGTGTAAAAGACAGCTAACAAGGGATCTGTATATACTCACTGACTGCGTCCTCGATGTTGACACAAAATCCTTTAATTAGAGCCGGAAGTGATAGACACGTGGTTGTTGGTGTGGGGCATTCGGAGGAAGCTTCTAATAATTGTTCAATCTTTTCCCGTAATTCGCCAACATCCTTCTGAAGGTTGTCCTAAAAGTTATTTGAAGCAATGCAAACCTAAATTTAAAGTACCAGAAGGGTCAGTTATTATAACTACCGCGGCAAATGTAAAACTGAAAAGAAACAGAAACAGAAACTAAGATGGAAAAGGTAATAATGTTGGGCTGATCGTAACATTAAATTGTAATAATATTACGGCCAAACAATTCATCATTACATCATAATGAGAGTCATAAAATATTCTTGAAAATTTAAATCTTACAATACTAGTGTCACTGAAGCCAGTGTCTCGGGTAGCAATAGTGGTTGTTGATTTCCACCTCCGGCAGGGACAGTCACAGCATGGATCATTGTTCTGTCAATAAAACGTATCATTGCATTGGAAATATTTTCATTGCTTGCTGTTAAATAACAATTTGCTTAAATTACTTCATAAACCTTCGTCATTATGCCTTACAAACAGCAGTTTAACTAGATTTAAACGTAAATGCCATGACACTTTCACTGGATATGTCCGTTAAGACGAGTCGACAGACCTCACATATCTTCACCACATGTTTGTGTCTGTGTTCCTGTACACTTACCCCAAGGTCATCAAGGGACGCACCCCTTCTAAGAAAAACATGCATATTAAGGTTGTCAAGAGATGTCTCCTTTCGATAGACCATCAGTTCCTCTGTCAAATCTTGTACACGTTTCTCCAGGTCCTCACAGTTTCTTTCAGAGGTTGCTGCTGCAGTACTGGCTTCCTGAAGCTTCCTCTGCAGGATGACATTTTCTCTCTCCAGTTCTACTCGTTTTCTGTCCGACTGGTCAGACATTTCCCTAATTAACTGCGTTAACTGGTCGACTTTGGCGACTAACCTCTGTATTTCACTGTTTTCCTGAAAATATATGTGCCATTTCCACATAATCAGCATAATACTTAGGGACTAAACCCACAAGATCATGTGTATGCATCTGTCACTCTCGGTGTGTGTGTGTATCTGTGTGAATCTGTTTTCACCCTCTTTTAACAATATTTCAGTTTGAGTGGAGTCGAACCCGGGTCTCTCTGTGTTTGTGTGTGTGTGTGTGTGTGTGTGAGAGAGAGAGAGAGAGAGAGAGAGAGAGAGAGAGAGAGAGAGAGAGAGAGAGAGAGAGAGAGAGAGAGAGAGAGAGAGAGAGAAACATTGACCGCTAAGCTACATCACCGCCCACGAGGCGACATTAACATAGGTGCCATATTTCTACCACGTATATTCCGTACTTGCATTGCTTTTCGGGGATATCCCTTTCTTGGTCCTTTTTCATTTTCAGTGAAGGTTTCGTTTAAAATATTCTTCAGGCGATTGAGTGTAGACTTCATCTTCCGAAAAGGCTCTTCCTGGGAAAATACAAGCATTTCAAAAGTCAATATTACACTCTTTATCTTACCAAACAGACCCTTACCCAAAAAAATGTATACGTAGGTTTTATCAATATGAAAAAATGAATTAAGCCCTTTTCGAATACAGTATCACAACCTATCGTAGAGACGATCTCTGCCGTAAGTGTTTACTTTGGATTTAGTCGGACGCTTAATCGCGACTTCTGGATTGTTACCTTGAGTGAGCTACGTAGACACAGACAAACATGCCTCTGAAGTTATGGAAATTAATGTACACGTTCGGTTCATGGATTTGTCGCGAACTGAAAACAGCTCCAGTTATGAGGCGTTGAATTCACAAGTACGCATGAATGACAAGGTATTAAAAACTCCTTTGACTGATTTTGTTACACAGAAGGAAAGATTGTAATGATAACCCGAATCACAGTGATGGGAAAGCGCTATCTCGTCACATATGTTAAACTTGGGAGAAATGTACATTACTGAAAAAGTGTAGGCCCAAATATAACATATACTGAGGGAAAAAAATAAGGGAACACCACTTCACGGCATTGTTCCTTTATATATTCTCAGATTTAAGGAACGCTTTAATTTTCCTGTGTACCTTTATTTGTTTCTCTCAGTATATATTACATTGGGCTACTTTCTAAATGGCAATGTGTATACAGAGAATAAGTCGGCTTCGAAAACATCAGTGAATAAATTTAACAAGTGCAAGTTGCTTAGGATGAGGTTCCATGACAGTCTCCATCTGCCAGATATTCCCAGCAACCCTGCTGCAAGGCTGGCATCACAGGATAATGTTTGTCGGTGCGTCTGACACTTACAGTTCATAGACATGAATCATAAGGTATTGTGAATTATTTGAAAAGATTGTGCTCTTGAATTATACAGGAAGGTAAAATGTTGCATATATGACGACTACGTTGTTATCAAGAGGAAATGAATGTGTTGTACCTTTGTATGGGTTTCGGCAGTCTCAACCTGTGTTGTAGCATGTGTACCACTCGACATGCAAATCTTGTCATTCCCATTGACAGCCTCTCTGCTCGACGTCGTTCTGCTCTGGCTACTTGACACGGTCCTGTCATGGAAACTCATTGTCTTGTTCCCGCTGTTCAGTGATGCCCGTTCTCCTCCACTTAACGCCTTCAAGTGCTGTGTTGACGTCATGTCATCCTTTCTGCTTGACGTCATGATCTACGGTAGTTTCGATGTCAATCTGTCCACTTTGCTGGTCGTCAGTTTCTTTTGTCTTCCTGGTTCGGTACCGACAAAATTCAAGGTCGCAAAGGTCGTATTACATCTTGAATAGAAGTCGAATAGATATCTACAGCAGAAAGCAAAGAAAATTAAGAACCAAACTCTAAATGTAATAAACATTATTCTAAAGATAAGACAAACTTAAATTCATCGGTTAAAATGATAGTACATGTCTAAGTCATAAACACACTCTTTTTCAACCGGACCAATTCTAAGGTGAAAATACCAGTGTATTTGTAACCCTTGTGGTTCTGAACATCTTTCTGAACCACTAGAGTGGTGTCTTTTAGAGTACAGAAATACATAAGGTCAAAATGGAACTAGCAATAGAAATGTAAAAACGTAGTCTTTGTTAAACTGTTTACATCTTGTAGAATGCTACTCATCATAAATATCATATATGTTGACAATAGTGAATGTTGGACCAGAGAATATTGTTATTAATAGAGCGCGTTCCAAAGCAAAGGTGCAGTGTAAGAGAACGATCGGTATCCAAAGGACTTCAGTTTGTAGGATGGGATGACCAGTAGATTTTGTGTGTTTGAGCACAAGTTGAGTGCGGGGACATACGGATGTTGGAGTTCAGACAAGTTACTGTAGGGGGGAGTCAAACCATGGAGGCACTTGTATGATGCTTTAAATTTAAGTAACGTTCTGAAATGGGCTAATACAGAAGGGGAACCTGTAGAATGTCTTTCAGAGATGGTTAAGTTGTCATTGGTAGAATGCACAGAAACAGAGGAAACAGAATCGAAATAAACCCATTCTGTCCCAGTCAGCTGCCATCCAAAGTCTTGTTCCCAGTGATAAGGCCTCCAATAACATAACTATTATATGTAAACATCACCACATAAATTGTTTGATCAAAGGGCTTGGTAAATGTGACATATCAAATAACCCCACATATAAGGCCAGTAGTCTAACTGAGGAAGAAATCTGCCAAAACCATCCATCAGTGTTATGAATGTTTGGCTTGCCTCGGGAACCTGAAGACATATCCAATCCAATTGTGGACTGGATGATAAAACTACATATAAATCTGTACAAGGAAAGATATATTGTTGGATCCGTTCTGTCAAAATATTTGATTTTTTCAACGTTGCATACCTATCCCACATGAAAAACGTAAGGAAAAACGTCGTTCTTTAATCCATTATGCGTTTAGTAATAAAGGTGGTGACGACAGCTATGCCTACATATTTATCTTCAGGGGTTCAGGGCAGTTTGTCAACTGGATTGTCTGTAATACTGTTAATGTGGCGTCAAACAAATACATCCTCGTGATATGGTCAGAACTGTACACGCGACGCTGCCCCCCAGCAGGGATTTCTTATGGATGTGGACAGGGCTTTCTCGTTTCTATCATAGGTATTAAAGATTTTGTTTCCGTTATGCATCGTTGGTGAGCACCAAACAAAACGTTGCATTATGTCCGGAGTAAGTGCATATTTCAGTTGTATGATAGCTGTCTTTAATCACCTGAGTCTTGAATGTATGTCTCAGAAATATTGGGGTTTCAAACGTCAGCCAACCCCTTGAATGTACATGATAAGTTACTGTTAGATCTCAGAAATACCACATTAAATATTGTGGCTAGAATGGAATTCGGTCGGTATTCCCTGGAGGTAAATCAGATACTGGACAATGTTACTCATTCAACAAAACAACCCTATTTTGAAACTTATGTTTTATAGCAGATGGACTATCAGAATAGGGACATACTTTGGGGTCTTGAGTGTTAACCAAATCGTATTTCTTATTTTTGATCCATATAGAATTGCCGTATCTCGGCTTCGCTTTATCTCCATATTTAATGGGTAAAGCTGAACATTCCGGAAATTAACCCATAATGTTCATTGTGTATTGTTCCCACTGTGCAAAATGACTATAATATTTGCTGCTTTTGCCCATTTTATACAGATTTAGGATTTAATCTTCTTCCCAACTACTAGTATCATATTTTACATCCTCCAGAAAGAAAGTTTGTCCAGCTGTTGACATTCCTCAACATTCATACTGTTCATACCTTGGTCAAATATACCTTTCCATTCTGTACAAAACTAACAAACATTTTGTGCGTCCACCAGAAATGTGCATAATACTTACATATGTGGTATAATGGGCCGGTGGCCTACTTCCTGAAATAGAACATTACTCTTATATGTATGAATTCAGGATATCTCTAGTTTCGTTTCTATTTCTAACTACACGTCATGCGTTAAATGACTATATACATCAATGTTGCTTTTCCCGTTGTTTTTCTGAATATATCTAGCATATAAACTTGAGGGCGATGGTTACCGCCTGAACTCATTCGTTTCAGCAACACAAAAGGTGTTATTATATATAGCTTGCACTGAACTGCACATTCGGTATAGTGTATCAGGCGCCATTGCGGAACGGGTCACAATGACATTGCACTCACCCTCGAAGCATGTACAATGACAACGACAACCTTACCGCTTTATCCTCTCGTGTATATAAGCCTGTTGCATGTTTCACTCGTTACACTATATACTGTCATCAGTTACAAAGGTTTTAAAGATAAATAGAGCCAACGCATATACTACAAGGGTCAACTGAGCCCCTATGCTTGACGAATGCAGTGGTGTGAAGTTTCACCCTGATAAGTGAGAGACGATTGCTAGGATCCTCTAAGATTCAACGATAAATGTTACCTCTGGATACGGATTTCCAACAGTGAATGTCAATTTTGAACTTTCACCACTTCCTTCTTCTCCCCTCGTATTAACTCTGATCATTGATTTCAAAGTCTTCTGCCATTGTGCGCCATAGTAATACTGTGCACGCTTACCTTGACTTGCTTACCCGTAATATACAGTACAACCAGAAATTATTGAGAATTTAAAGATTGTAATTTTTTATATTTTTTCACTCATTACTCACGTATTAAATGTGAATATTAGCAGAACATAACTCCAGATTCAAAGACAGGTGAACAGTTAGTATTTTGTCAAGTCACCATGGGCAGCAATGCAGGCTTCAATGCGGCGGGACATACTACTGATCAAAGAAGTTAGAAAGTCGTGGTCCATGCTGTCCCAATATCGGACCACCTCTTCTTTCATTTCAGCAATATTTGTCAGATTTTTCTTATTGACACTTTCCTTCATAAGTCCCCAAACATTTTCTATTGGGTTTAGGTCAGGGCTATAGCTTGGCCAATCTAATAATGTCATATTTTGGGTCCGAAACCAGGCCTGTGCATGCTTTGAACGATGTTTTGGGTCGTTGTCCTGCTGGAAAATCCAAACATTTCCATAGAACACGTGAGCAGATGGAAGTAAATGTCCCTCGAGAATATCTGTGTACCGCTCACTGTTCATATTCCCTTCAAATAGACAGAGGGGCGTTGCCCCTAACACAGATATGCCACCCCACACGTGAACTTTCGGACTGTACTTTGGGCGCTGATACAAAGGTTTTTCAGTTTGTTTGGTCCAGAATTTCAGTGTGTTAGGAAACAGCCACACAGAACTTTCATCTGAGAAAATCACATTGTCCCAGTTAAAATTTCTATGCTATAAGCACCAGTCCAACCTTCGCTCCTTTTGTTCAGGTTTCATGATCGGTGATTGAATTCGTCGACTTTTCTGCCAACCCATTGCATGCAGCTCAGTTCTAATTGTCTCCTTACAGACAGCCACAGTTCCTCTATCAATCATATCCAGCCTTAAGTTTTCTAAACTCCTTCGTTTGTTTTTAGAAACAAGAATACCAAGCCGCCTCCTGTCACCGACAGTCAATTTTCTGGGCCTACCTGTGCCTCCCTGGTGCTCAATCAGCCTCAATGCCATATCCATTTGCAATATTTTTCTAAACACGATAAACTGTGGACAAAGGGATGCCTTTTCTACTTGAAATCACTTTAGCTGATCTGATGCCCTTGTAATAATACTCTAAAATCAACTTCCTCTTCTCTAAATCATCCATACTGAGGATCACTGAAAATGTCGTCTGCTATCAAGTAAACAAAGGGGGATATCTCTTCACAAACTAATGAACGGAGTTGTCTCTTTTTAATGAAACCAAACACTTGATAGCTGGTCAAGGTTGTTTATACTAGAAATCCAATTAAACATATTCCTAAAATTCTCAATAATTTCTGGTCATACTATAATACACAGTGCACTTGGGGATCTTTGTCAAAACAAAGATACGGGGAAAAAACGAACAGGATTCAGTTTCATTATTTCAGCATGACGCCATTTTGCTAGGGCCAAAGGAAACATTTGACGTTGACAATGAAGTGAATACCTGCAGGGACATCTAGTAGGATACAGCCATAATGCTGTGCTTACTATTTCCGTGTTTTACATCTACCGCCCGCCCTGTATTTTCAGACCGACATGACAGAATAGTTACTTTAGCTCCGCCGCTGTGGAACTTATCAAAACTGATAACCCCAGGCCATCTTGACCTTTCTTCACCTATATTTAAAAAAACGTTGTTTCCAAGGCAGTGAATCTCGTTCTACGTTATGCTTTAATATAAAGACTATTACCAAGAGATCCAAATCTAAACAACAGAAAACGCTACATGATTAGTGAAAAAGACTTTTATGTTTTATGTTTTTCCTGTTCTCTCTCCTATTCGATAAGAAATATAAAAATACGGATCGTCTAAGGTGGATTGTCGATAAAATGAGAGCGCTAACAGCCTGACGCACAGACGCAAAACATGTGCAACAAACGGTTAGCACGTGAAACGAACCAAACTTTACACCCTGCAAATTATTAGCATCCTGTCTACCAACGATTGTTGTGTGTTAAAGGTAGGATTGACGTGTTTTTGTCGTTGCTTAGTGTCCAAAATGGCCTTATTACAAATATTTGACTTATCGAGTTTTGACCAAACAAACCAGTTTTTGATATGTCGATCAGAGTCCACCATTGCCGGGGTATCATGACATGCAAACAAGCCGGGGTATCATGACATGCAAACAAGCCGGGGTATGTGAGTGTCGTATAACGCAACAGTCAGCGACATTGGTGCTGTATGGCAGCTGTCTGTGATCACCGGAATCTGTGCCGGAGAGACGAGTGTGAAAGCAGTAGCCCAAGTTAACCTACGGTTATTGTGTGTTAACGGTAGGTTTTACGTGTTTCTTTGTCGCTGCATAATGCCCAACTCGGCCATATTACAGTTATTTGACTTTTGTCTAATCCTTTTTTGACACCTAATCAAGCAAGTCTCCGATCTCAAACCCGCGATTCAAACATTCCCTAGGTGCAATCCATCGTGTTAGTGTCTGCCTAGCTGTGCGTGCTGGTATATATAGGAATAGGGTTGAAAGGTTGGAGCTGTTACAGTCTGCCCTCAATATCAGGAGATGGTTTCGGTTGATATGCAATCTTTCTGCTAGATGCTGCCCTCGATATGAGTGGAACTAAAGTGGTACTGAAATATTCTGAAACGGGGTTGTGGTACAAGGGAGATTATCCTTCATATAACATTAGTGGCTTTTGGCTCAGTAAGCCTCGTCTCCGGAGCCCCCTTCCGTTCAAATATTCCAAGAACACCTCAAAGAGACTTATTGAAAAGCATGGCTTATCAATACATAGCTAAGATACATAGCGTTCACTGACATGAACGCTATGCAGCACCTCCATAGGCCGCAATGGTGGAAATCCTTTGTCGCACTTTCGCGCACTCGTTACGACTTTTGCGCACGAAAAACTTATATGAATTACTTCTTTGTACTTATACCTACACGTGCGCCCTATTTTCGTTATCAAAATATCCAAAAATATATATTTACAAGCCATCAAACATCTCAGTCGATCGCTCACATATGAGCGGGGCGATTTTGAATCACGTGACCTGTGACGCGTAGGGGATATCCCTCCCAAAAATAGTAACACACGTGTTCCATACCTCGTTGCTTGTTGACAACACATTTTCATACATTTTAGGCAATTAAAACGATTGTATGGAGATATTCGTTTCAATCTAGACTGACTGACCACCCTGCTTTTTCAACAGCTGTTTTCAAAGGAATTGCTGGTGAGTTTTCACAGTTCCATGGATGTCTCTGTACTACTCCTGAATATATGCCTACAAAACACAGTTTACTGATAAGACTTATTAGAATTTAGGAATTAAATAATTAACGAGTTCACGAATCGATTATCTATAAATTTCATTTGTACCATATAACCTTAAATATTTCTCATTTCACATTTCTCCTACCTTCATCATCATATTTATTTCCTCCTTGGATAGGAGATTAGATGTTGATTACATCAAGGGACAGTGTTTTCATCATGAATAAGCTGCGTGTACGAAAACGAAAACAAACTGGCTCCTTCATCTTTCGTATTTGTTAAAGTAATCCATGTGAATTACATGTGCAGCTTAAATGTAATAATTGCTTGCTTAACGCAACACCTATGATTTTAAACCCCTTATAAGCATTTATATTCATATAATAATTATGTTTATTTGTAAGATCACGAATCCCTGGCTGTGAGGAGCAATTGCCAGTTGCGCAGACTGGGTGTACATTTATACATGCAGCTACCACACGACGCTGCTTATGACTTCAAATGTCCTCACGAAAGTAAAAGCATGAATATGTAACGATGAATACAACTATTTCACACCTTATTGCATGAATACTAAGTGTATTGTTTATCACGATTTAGTGATAAGACCCCGTATATTCTGTCTAGATTGTGGTCAGTTTGCGTCACGACTCTTGGCAGCCATGTTGCTTCCTCTCCTGTTCTGTTTGTTTGGTGCTACATACGGTGAGCATTACAGCAATCGTGATCGGGCTGTAGGTTCGAAGAACAGAAGGATTGTGTTTATTCTGATTACATAGTAAGCCGCTCATGCCCTTACCTTTAGCTCCAGTATATGGACAGATGAAGCGCTGACCTGGTGATCTTTTTCCAATACATAGACAGGTGTAGTAGCATTGACGTGGTGTTCTTTATTCCAATATGTGCTCATGTAGACATGTCGCAGGAGGCGTCTCGTAGTTGCACACAGCTTGAGCCTTAGTGTCAATGGATCATGAAGTTGTAGCAAACTATCATACTCTTCAAAGAAAGTAGAGGATCATGAAATATAAATGTAAATAGCAAGTATTAGACCAAGATAAGTGCTGAAGACAAACACCCTATGCAAGTCTGTAAACACCAACACACATCCTATAGTTTACACGTGCTGCACGCAGTAGCTTCCACGCGTCCGTAGGTTCTCGTTCCTGATTTTGACCGTTTTCCGGAAAGTCGATTGATCCTTGTTGACCTATTTTTCCGTCATGTCTCAACTGGACATGAATGTGTGACACATCGTGGCATATTACGCACTCCTAATCCCAAAGACATCAACATTGAAATTTCCCATCTTACTCTATCATGCTTCGAAATCGTTTGTGGTCATAACGTCTCCTGTCAGGCGTCTCTGCCGGTTGCAATTTGTTATCATTATACAATTGTAACTTGAAACTAATACTGATATAATTTTTAGAAATTTGACGTTATTTCGATCATTCCTTAGATTACAAGAATACAGCTGACGTCTTTCAGTTGATATGTTTTCACTGTGGCAATGCAAGGGTGTAAACATTAGAAAAATACGGGATCCAGTTTGACAAGTATCTCATTTGAGTATTCTTGCGAAGTAGGGATCGCCATAATCTTTATCGACCAAGGGCGCTTATCTGGTACAGTTAATGGTTTGTATCAAGTGTAATGGAACCATTTGTGATAAGAATGACTGAAATACAGGAGACAATTTCTGTTTGCAGCTCTTCTCTTCACTAATTCCAAGTGCTACGGAAAGTATGGATGTTTCAGTAACTCTAGCCCCTACAACAACGCCAGAAGGTTTCTCCCCGAATCCCCCGAATCTCAGGGCATCCAGTTCCTGCTGTACACACGGAAGAATAGAGGAACTGCGCAGATCCTGAAAGAAGCTGATTCCACAGCGTTCATCAGTCCAACTACAACCATGCACATAAAACCATGATGATCACACATGGCTACACGGACAATGGGCGATCCACGTGGATCAACAAAATGGCTCAGGAATTTCTGACACACGTATAGTATTTAGAAAATATATAACGTGATAACGTGAAATAGGGGTAAAGAGTTTTGCGCATGCATATGTGTGACTGTTGATCCCAACAATTGCTGGTTTCTAGTGAGTGAGTTTAAGTTTTAGGCAGCGCTCAGCAATATTCCAGCTATATGGCGGCGGTCTGTAAATAATCGAGTCTGGACCAGACAATCCAGGGATCAACAGCATGAACATCGATCTACGCAATTGGGAACCGATGACATGTGCCAACCCAGTTAGCGAGCCTGACCACCCGATCCCGATAGTCGCCTCTTACGACAAGCATTGGTTACTGAAGATCAATTCTAACCCGGACCTTCACGGGTGGTTTCTAGTGAGATACCACTCCACAGGTTAACATGGATACCCCAGTGAGACACAGACTGCGAGATGACCAGTTGTTTTATTACCTTAATGCTGAGCAGCAGGCAGGGTAACAATAAGTACCATTTCTTTGGGTATAACTTGCTTTCCTCCATCATTCGTCGTACAATGTGTGACTTGCTTGCTAAAAGCGGCGTCCAAATCATTCGTCGTCCATCATTCGTCACAAACAAAAAGCAGGACATGTATTCAGCAACCCATGCTTGCCACAAAAGGCGACTATGCTTGTCGTAAAAGGCGACTAACGGGATCGGGTTGGTCAGGCGCGCTGACTTGGTTGACACATGTCATCGGTTCCCAATTTCGCAGATCGATGCTCATGCTGTTGATCACTGGATTGTGTGTGGTTCAGACTCGATTATTTACAGACCGCCGCCATATAGCTGAAATATTGCTGAGTGCGGCGTAAAACTGGACTCACTCACTCCTCCCCATGTTTGCCACATGTACTACTGTTTCAATGTTTCAACCCAGCCACCCCAGAGTGACTGTACTTACTAACCACTGCGTCTTGCAGGATGACTGTAACGTCATCGCCGTAAACTGGCAGAAGGGGCTGCAAAACCAACTACCTCCAGGCCGCTGCCAACACCAGGGTCGTCGGCGCCGTCATTTGCCGACATGATCAAGACGCTTCATTCTGCAGGCGCCGCCTACTCCAGTTTTCACCTCATCGGTCACAGCCTAGGTTCCCACATCAGCGGGTACGCCGGAGAGATAGTTAAAGGTCACTTGGCAGGATCTGTAAAGGTGTGTAACATGTAAAGTTCCGGATGACATAATAATAATGTTTACTGAGAGCGCATCTGATTGCAAATAGTAATACTCTTAAGTAAAAAAAACCCTGGAGGCACAGTACACATTACTATTTATCACTCTCTGAACCGCTGTGAATATATGTTTTCACAGGGTTTATAAATGTTTTAAATTTCTTCACAGATCCATTGCTATCACCCTAGCGTAATTACTCACTTACTTACTGTTCAACGGAACACGAATTGTTGCAGGACAACTATCGTGAAGGTTGTCGATTCAAGCTTTGATGTTCAACAACACTTGTTTCAGGTTTGGATCCGGCTGGGCCCTCCTTTGAGAACTACGATCCTCGTGTTCGCCTGGATCCATCCGACGCCAACTTTGTCGATGCCATTCACACAGATGGAGAGTCGCTGTTGAAACTTGGTGAGGCGTGTAGTATTGTTGATCTTGCAATGTGTGCAATCATTTCGAAGATCCCAGTGGATATTGTTTTCTTAGGCTCACACTAAAGTGATACAAATGATAATTCAAAACATATTTCCACACTATCAATATTTGAATCAACAGAAAGCGTGTTACACACAATCTGAGGATCCCTGGTTCTTGAAGCGTTTAGAAAGAGGTCGTGTCAAATCGTCATTCCTATATCAGTTTTAGATCAACTCTGTAAGTATGACCATGTTGTAAAATACACATGCGGATATCGAGATTGTTAACCACCAGGATTCGGCCTCATGAAGGCTATTGGAGATGCTGACTTCTATCCCAACGGCGGTTTGAACCAGCCAGGATGCCCCGTCAACGCCGGTAACCACATCTTCAGCCTCGTCACAGGAGGCATGTCCAGTAAGTTCTGTTTCTGATTGCGATTGCTAAATGCCACTTTCAAATAATCAGGGCCCCGTTTCACAAAGCCATCGTAAGGCTATCACTGTCGTAACTCCTACACTGAGCCTTGATTTTCGAAGTTCTCTTAAAGCGCTAAAATAGTCGTAAGTTAATGTTAATGTATGGCACTTACGACTATCTTAACGCCAAGTAAGCTTCGAAAATCTAGGCCTTAACCAACATAAACACGGCAGTCGTAGCCGCTACGATAACTTTGTAAAACGGGGCCAGGATCTACTTTGAGCAAAACTTCAACCGCTTCAGTCTTAGATAACCGTATTTCATAACCTTTGAGGTATACATATGGAAGCTAATTAAAGCACCTAATATATTTCATCATAGTGATGAAGCTATCGATGGTGATGATATGTCCATAATGCCATTGTTTAGTAGCACATTTTCAGGCAATAAAAAAAACAGGGTTTCAGTTTGAAGGGGTTGCCAAACGCAGCCCACATGCATGTGAAGCATGCTACCCACTTATATCGTGAAAACAGAATCTCTGTCTGTTCCTTAAAGGGTATAAAACTTGTGAATATGCCTTCCGTTTCATCCATCCAAAATGGCGAGGTAACGATTTTCAGTGGGATTGAGATCAGATAGTGGATATGTAAGCAGTTGGCATGTAATTTAGGCCATCGCGCGTCAGCTTGGTTACTGCTACTCTGTCATCAGTAGGTATCCTGACTTATCCTGAAACACCAACAAACGGGTGCTGTCAAGGATCAATCAAGGCCAGGGCAACCCAGGAAACCACTCCTGCGGAAGATCGCAATCTGGCCCGTTACGTGAACCCTTCGTCACGAACACTCGGGCAACTCCGGGTGCCCAAGACCGTTCATAACCGTCTCAAGGCTCTTGGTTTGAGACCCCAACAGTCATGAACATCAAAGACAACGTCTGCAGTGGAATCTAGAGACGGAGACAGATCCATTGGTCAGACGAATACAGGTTGCTGCTTCATGTTACGGATGGTCGTCTGAGGTGTGGAGACGCTTGTGCTAAGGAACATTCATCCTACTCTTCCCTTTGGTGTTGTGCCTCATTTTGATAGCAGCCCATTGACCCATTACCCGACCCATATTCCTGTACGACAACGTCAGGCCACATCGTTTCCGTGCTGGTGAACAGTTCCTGCGGAATACTGCTGTTGACAATCTCCCTTGGCCTGCAAGGAGTCCTGAACTGAACCCCGTCGAACACATCTGGGACATTCGTGGTCGTCGTTTGCAAGCAAGTATCCTTTCTGAACAAAATAATGGTGAATTGGAGGCAGCATTGCCAGAGGAGTCGCGGCAACGAATCTGCAGGTTCATTGTTGGCATGATGAAGAAGGGTTTTATGCCAACCACTCACGTGGCGGATGTACGAGATACTGGCGTCAAACATCTCGGTAGATTTCAAATGGCCTATGCAGACAGCGGGATTCGGCACATGTCATAATAGATCGCGCCAGGACAATACTTATTAAAAAACTAGAAGGATGAAAGTTCTGACACCTTTCTGTTCTAAAAGCAATGTTTATTTAAGTTCCATGTGTATATACACGATCAGGCTCTTCTGATAGAAAGGATGTGTTTCTCAAATGTTCGCAACCCCAAGCTTGACTCATCAGTGGCACAACATTGTGTTTGATCCCTGTTTTGAGTGTCGACTTACCTTTGCATCTATTCACTGGTGGTACAGGATACGCTCACCTTTTGGCTGACACCTTGCGTTACCATTGCTTCATGGTGATTCAATGACATATGGTTTTATTGCAGTCAGAATCGCACAAATGAGATTATTTATGATTATGGAAGGGCAATTGTCGCCAAAAGTTCCACAAGTACATAATGTATATAATGAACAAAATGGGTTTCCACATATGCTGTTATGAATCAAGCAAACACATAAACACGAAGTGAATTAAAGAATTATTACTTACAGAGCTGACAGATGGTGTCGCCTGCAGCCACAGTCGCGTGCTTGACTTCTTCACATCCTCCATCAACAACCACTGTAGCTACACCGCCTACCCCTGCACACAACAAAACTACAACCAAGGCCATTGTACGTCATGCGGCAGTCATGGCTGTAGTCACATGGGGTACCACGCCTCGCCGTCCAAACACGGATCGTTCTTTCTCAAGACGTCGGCCCACGGACCTTACTATTGCTAAACGTTACACGCGTAAAATACACGAATTATGGAAGTATTTTTGCGGATGTCGAATCCTACAGTTATCTCTCAGCGTTTATATTTTGTTTTGTCATTCAATGAGGGGCCATGGAGGTCAACATGGAAGTTAGTATAGGGTTAATCATATAGCTAGACTCCCAAAGAAAAGAAACAGAAAACTCATTAAAATTGAATTTTTGGGACACAGTGACGTTTTGCTAAATTCTTTGACTAATTTTAAAGGCGAAAACGTTCATGTATGTATGGGAGGCATCTTAAGCGCCTATGTGCGTGTGTGTTGAATGTAGAAATATATGTACTGTCATGAAAACAACAGACAAAGTTCACGTGTCCTCTGTGTGAGAGAGATAAAAAGAGATTTGCCTGTTCATGAGCCGAGGTAGTGGACATGCTTTGAAAAAGTGATCAAAACATTAGGTGTGTGTCATGATAAGGTGGGAATGAGCGCGTGGGGCCTAATACTACCACAACCATCTATCGCCCCCAGACCAACAACACCATGGCGATGACTACACTGTACGTCCTGCTGGGGATTGTCGTTCTGGGACAGAAGAAGGTAGGATACACGTTTCTGTCAGAAGTACATATCGAGTGAACCACTCTCATTCCGGACTCCGTGAATTTGGAAACTTATCGAGGACTTAATGTTAGGGATGGCTTCATATATGCAAACGGCAGTACCTGGTTGGGAGTCCGGGTTAGATTATATCGTCAGTAGGTGAGGTGAGGTGAAATGGGGTTTAACGTCGTACTTAAGAATATTTCGCTCATATGGTGACGTGCATGTGTGTATGTGTGGCTGGTTTCATAGTGCTAGCTCACTGGAGATACCATGCCGCAGTGAAGCCTGAATACCCCACTCAGACACATTATAATCAGACTCCGATCCGACCAGTCCTTGTACCTATTAATGCCGAGCCTCAGGCAGGGACCAACAAGTACCATATTTTAACGTCTTTTGGTATGACGCGGCCGGGGATCGAACCCGCGACCTTCAATCGCCAGTAAACATTGCAGAGGGTATGAGTTCACTTTACGAATCCGTAGGTCAGGATTGGTGACTTTGTCTATTGCGTCTTATCGTTCCTAGAAACATCAATCACTGGATTGTCTACAAGAATATTGCTGAAGTAAAACCAATATCTCTCAAAATGGTTTACATATAAGCGACATCATCCGGATAAACGGGGTTTCACTGTATATCAATAATCATGGAAAGCGATATGAACAGATATGATAAAGTTCATTGACTGTGAAGTTGTTGTATACATTGCTTCAACACCATTTGATTAGATGGTATGGCAGCTTAAATCTGTTTGACTTCGAGAATAGCCGTTGTTATAACTCATAGGTTTTACTATTCTCTATCGAAATATTTCACTCACTCCATTCTACCATGACGACGAGAACACATTGAACCAGTAGTCCTTTAGAACACATTATTACACATGGATACACAGATCCGCCACCTTGTAACATTGCGACTGTCTACATTGATAACAGCTGCAGCAAGCACAGTCTGCAATGATTACACTATCAATCATCGCCGTCCACATAGATAGCAGCTGCAACCATCACTTTTCACATTGATAACAGTTGCAACCATCACTATCTACATTGATAACATCATCAACTTTCACTCCCTACATTGAAAACACCAGCTGCCAGCTCTGTTTTCATTGATAGTAGCTGTAGTTAGAACTGTCCACAGACATAACATTAGCTGCCAGCAGTACTATCTTCATTGATAGTAGCGGCAGTCAGAACTGCCCACAGACATAACATCAGCTGCCAGCAATACTATCTTCATTGATAGTAGCGGCAGTCAGAACTGCCCACACACATGACATCACCTGCCAGCAGTACTATCTTCATTGATAGTAGCTCTAGTTAGAACTGCCCACAGACGCATAACGTTAGCTGCCAGCAGTACTATCTTCATTGATAGTAGCGGCAGTCAGAACTGCCCACAGACGCTGATGACATCATCTGCTAGCAGTACTATCATCATTGATAGTAGCGGCAGTCAGAACTGCTCACAGACATGACATCAGCTGCTAGCAATACTATCATCATTGATAGTAGCGGCAGTCAGAACTGCCCACAGACATGACATCAGCTGCCAGCAGTACTATCTTCATTGATTGATAGTAGCGGCAGTCAGAACTGCTCACAGACATAACATCTGCAAACAGGGCTGACTTTAATGGTGACAGAGCAAGCACTGACTGACTGTGATGATAATAACACTCTAACATTTCTCTTTATTATTTTCAGGAATTTTATTTGGAACATCATCAGTTTGTTACAATGAATTGGGATGTTTCTCCCTTGACAATAGTTTTGACAACTCGTTTGGAGAACTTCCGGATTCGCCTGATGACGTGAACGCCACTCTGACCTTATACACAAGAAAAGTAAAGGTCAAGGCCAGATATTAGACTACAAAACAAGGACACTGTCGTAAACAGTTTATTGGACGTTAAAGAGAAAACAAAAAATAATTGTCCATGGATATCGCAGCGACGCAGATGAGCCTTGGGTGACTAATTCAACAAAATACCTTCTTCTTCTTGTAAGCATTTTCTGTACATCCCAAACAGTTCTGAAAACAAACAGAACATTTTGTCTCAAGATCTACTCACGAATTGAACAATACCTTTTCCAAACGCTATAGTTCGAATTTAATCACAAATTTAAAACAGATGGGTTACAAAGTGTTAAACTCTGCCTGTCCATCTCCGTCAACCATCTACGGATAGAAACCGCAATTAATTAAATGATTAACTATATGCGGTGTTTTAGACCACTTTATGACCCATGCCCCTTTTCTGATGTAACTAGTATTTGTAGGAAATTCTTCATCACCTTTATGTGTTATTTACCTAAGGACAACTTCAATGTCATCACAGTAGACTGGAGGTCAGGTGCTCATAAATTCTACCCCAAATCAGTGGCGAACACCCGACTGGTGGGCGCCATAATTGCAAAGACAGTCGAAATTGCGCGCGACCGGATGGAAGCCAAGATGGCGGACGTGCATCTGATTGGCCACAGCCTGGGGTCTCACATCAGCGGCTACGTCGGGTCACGTATCGAAGGCGTTGGAAGAATTTCAGGTTCGGATTTGAGTCATACTGTGGCAAATGCCATAACAGAGCATCAAATTCTAAAATGGGCATTGATATCGTTGTCATCTGAAAGTGTAAGTCAAAATAAATCGAAACCATCTATTGCAATTCGCTCCATTCCTTTCCCTCTGATGGTCCGCTGACTTTGTATAGTCTGAACTGGTGGAATCTTCATTGACAACAGCCTGTAATTCCCTCGCTGAGATCGTTATTTAACATGATTTGTCTCCAGGACTGGATCCTGCTGGACCGCTATTTGAAGGAACTGATCCTGCAGTTCGTTTGGACCCGACTGACGCCATCTACGTTGACAACATCCACACCGATGGTCTTCCTCTGTATGATGCAGGTAACATTGATTATGACGAGTTATTGGGTAAAATACAGACTAAGCTGGTTGTAACATGATATGGCTTGGTTCTTTTGACAAGTGACGAACATAACGAATGCATTCAGTGGACATGTCAATGCAAGTCTTAAATCTAAACTATTCAACATATATAAACTGGTGCAGTAAACAAATGATTTATGTGATTAATTTGTTAAATATATGTTACCCACATGTTAAGTTGTCTTTTGGAAGGGTGGGGTAGCCCTAGTGGTAAATGCGTTTTGCTCGTCACACCGAAGAACCGGGCTCGATTCCCCACATGGACACAATGTGTGAAGCCCATTTGTAGTTTCCCCGCCGTGATATTGTTGGAATATTGGTAAAAGCACATAAACGTAAACTCACTCACTCACTCACTCACTAAAGTATGTATAAAATAATGCTGCAATATACCTGCAGGATTCGGAACGATGTCAGCCTGGGGTCACGTGGACTTCTACCCTAATGGCGGCGGGGACCAACCCGGATGTCCAGCACCGGTCGAACATGGGCTACTCGACGTTGTAGAATTCAAGTTCAATGGTGAAAATCTGCTTTTCTGACTTTATGAAGGGGTGTGTTTGTTTGTTGTTTAAAACCTCACTCAACAATGTTTAAGTTATGTGACGGTGGTCTGTGAATAAAGGTGTTTGGAACAGACTATCTGAGGATTGACATCATGGCTGACGTACAATCAACAAAGACATAGCCAGACCATACAATTCATTATGCGGCATCTTACTACAGGCATAGGTTCGTGGGAACAATCGGTTTCATTTGTGGTTACAATCAGTGAGCTATCAGAAAGTTTTTCGTCAAGTGAATGCAGTTTGTGACTAATTTATAACTTATGTCAAATAATAACTATGTGTTCGGCATGACTAAATCATACTTAACAGAAAAGAAACATGGTTTTGTTTTTCTCTGCATTTGGTTTTCTAAATACAAGCACCCTGTTAGATGTGACAACCGAAAGATCCGGGTTAAAATTGGTCTTCAGCAACCCATGCTTGTCGTAAGGGGCGACTAACGACGGTGGTCAGACTCGCTGACTTGGTTGACACATGCCATCGTATTCCCAATTGAATAGACTGATGCTCATGCTCTTGATCACTGGATTGCCTTGTAGAGACACGATTATTTACAGACCGCTGCCATATAGCTGGGAATAGCGAAAGAACAAGTAATGAAGAACAACAGATGTGACATGACGCATACATATGGCTGCTTGGTGTATAACTGTCATTCCTACACTGACCAGTCTTGTCACATCCGCTATTACAAACTATTTTTGTCCAGCATTTCCCGCATCAGTGGGCTGCAGTCACTTCCGGTCACATGATTACTATGTTGCCTCCCCTTGCTGACGCCAAATGCGACTTCACGGCGCATCCATGCGCGTCATACAAGGACTTCACGGACGGCTCGTGCAGCTCGTGTGGTTCGGGCACCTGCCCACAGATGGGTTATTTCTCCGACAGGGCCAACAGACAGGGCAAGTTCTACCTCACGACAGAGAACACATACCCGTTTTGTCGTAAGTGCCTCCTTTCGTCCTGGTGGTGGCGCTACTGGATAGAACGACGACGATAGTTTGATATTGATAGCATATATAGTTTGAACCTCTTCCAAAGGCGTACATGTGACGCCTCGTGTGGCTATTATTAAACATAAATTATAGATGCCATGAAGGATAAAGGACTCCGTAATTACAACAGTTACACTGTCAATAATTGTGTGTTACATTAACACAACTTCCAGTTTGATCATATTTCAATAATTGATGTGAAAAACATCGAAATATACCAGGGGATAGTTCAGACTTCCGAAGTACAGCTCTGTTGGAAAGGTAACTTTAGATATGACAATGCTATTCTGGAGGCCTGACGTACATTGTGATAATATTCGACTTTATCTTTTGGCAGATTCGACATAGGCATCAGCAGGAACTCGCTCTTCAAAAATAGTTTTGCAGAATAAAGTAAAGTGATAACATGGCACGTGGATTACGTGAACTCCATGTAAACAACCTCGTCTCTGTTGAATTTGAATGAAACTTGCTTTGTAGTGCACCATCACACAGCATAATGAATATTCATGAATTATGCCACCTGGTACGGTAACGAAGGACTTTGTAAACAGCCGACGTATAAGCTGATACTTTGTGACAACTATGTTCCCGTGTCAAGATAACAAGTGTTCTGAATTGCAAAAATAAAAATTATAATAATCTCGGCAGATCTGAATTTCTTTCACAATGTGACCTTCAAAGAACAAAAGGAAATGCTCGACAGGGAAGATGCGTTCAAGAGCCCGACAGGGACAGGGCGGTTGTACATCATGACTGGGAAGTTATACATGAAGAGAGATACTGAAGCCAAAATCCCGAGTTCAAATCCCTAGTAGGTACTATTTCTGGTGTCCCCAACTCCCGTCTAACGCTCCTCTCGAAAGTGATAACATTAAAAATACTACTTGCGTGAAACACAGCCCTCCTTGAAATGTAGCAATCGAGTCTTGAAACAGTGTCATCAATACTCTGGACGCGATTAAGTTCTGATCAGTATCAGATTTTATTTTACCGGCAGTAAAAGTAAAACGCAGTTAGAACTGATATGTAACGACTATACAGAATAAATAGATACAACACATCTTCAGTGGTCTGCGTTTGGCCCACGTATATTTGAAACTGGCATGTATGAGATGTACAGATGTCTTGTGTGAATGCCGATGCCACAGGTAAAACAGCATTATATACCGTATAAGAGTGTGACTGAAATGGGAATTTGTAAAGTCAGTAACAAATGCTTGTGTAACAGTAGTACCGAGCTGGGATGTTACGACTTGCAGGTGCCTGTGGAGACGGATGATGGGGAGTACGTTGTTTTGCCTCATCCGCTGATAGAAACAACCCATGAAGAGCCATACAGATGTCATTACTCCTGTGGCCGACATGCAGTCGCATATTCAGACAGGGATGGCGGGGAATACGGATCCCTAAATAACATCTGCCATTATTTAATACCTACTACCGAGAACGTGCATGTGTAAGCTTTTTATACATCCAGAATTCGATGTTTATTACCCATGTGGGGTACAATTGCGGGGTAGATCGAGGTCAGGGACGTCAGTGACGAACGGCGGTGCTCAAACCCGATTGAGATGAATATATGCAGGTAAACCCATTATGGCTGTTTGGATTTTCTGTGTGTTTTTCTTCTGGCTGTTGTCATCAAGGCCACTGCACGTCATGGCTGTAGTCACATGGGGTACCACGCCTCGCCGTCCAAACACGGATAGTTCTTTGTCAAGACGTCAGTAAAATACATGAAATTTAAAACAATCAAAGTCGAATACAGTTATCTCTTAGCATTGACTTTTACTATGTGATTCCATGTAAGCCGTGCTTGTCTTGTGTGAAGGGAACCGTGAAAGTATGAGAGGGATTTTATGCATGCACATATACCATGTCCGTGAAAGTTAAATTTATCAATACATGTACTGTTTTGATAGCGAAAGACATTCGACTTCATGCGTTCCCTGGAGATTTAAGAGATTCACCGAGGTAGGGGACAGAGATAGCTGACATGTTTGCAAAAGGTTTTCAAAAAGGTGTGCCAAGATAAGGTGGGAATGAGCGTGTTACCTACAACAGCTGTAACTACCTATCGCCCCCAGTCCAACAACACCATGGCCATGACTACACTGTATGTCCTGCTGGGGATTGTCGTTCTGGGGACGGAAGGTAGGAGGCACGTTTCTGTCAAATAACCAGTTCGCTCTCAGTTCGGAATCTGTGAATTTGGAAACCTATAGAGGGGTAAATGTTAGGGATGCCTTTTTGTTTGCAAACGGCCGGGTACAGCCAGTAACCTTTGCAGATCGTAAGAGGGAACTTAATAGGTCCGTTGGTAAGGCTAGGGGACAAATAACTTTGCTTTGACACTATCGGATCAGACGGTAGGCATTTTAAGTCTTATTAAACCTTTTTCTCCGAAAAAAAAGATATATGTTTAGACTTCTTCGCAGCCTGTTACATAATTGTACTTCATGGCCTAAATTGTGTCGTTTCTTGTACATGTTCCATTGTGGTATTTAGGTATTGCCCCATATTTAAGAAATTGTTTAACAAAATTTAGATGCGGTAAATTTAAATTTAAACTTAGTTCTGAGACCGGTAGATATAACAGTGTCCCTTATTATTCAAGATTCTGTCCCTTTTGCTTCAAAAATAATCTAAATTTAATTGAAGATGAAATACATGTTTTACTTTATTGTAAAGCCTACTTAGATATAAGGAATAAGTTTCTGGGTAAATATTTGAAACATCCTATTTCACAACACAGTTTTATAAACATAATGACTTCAACAAACATAAATGTTATAAATACTTTGTGCCTATTTTTATATAATGTTGGGAAAATAAGAGATTCTGATGTTTTTATGTAAAACCAGGGATAATCTACAACGTTATATAGTCTCCCTGGTAAAACGCATGTAACTTCTTATCATATTTATGAATGTATTGTGGGCCAGTGGCCTATTACTGAATAAAATGTCTGTCTGTCTGTCTGTTCCATTGTGAGTGTCATCTGCTGAAGTGAGTGACTACGTTTTGTGATCACACCGGGAGGGAGTATTACATCTCGTTAATAACTATAGGCACACGAAGAAGGAGTTACTTCCCTTATACCGTGTACATGCGCCAGACACTAGCGATAGGCAAATGTCTGCGCATGCGTCTTTGCCAAGTGAAAGTTTCAGGTGAATGTCCTTTGCACAGTTGTTTATCAGAAGCATTGAATAGAAATGTACATGTGTAGGGTGCAACGCATTTATGACAAGGACAGGCATTTTATGTTTAATTGTGTTTAATAATTAAATGTTTTTGCAAGTATAACGTTTTACTGTAGCGTGACGCCCGCGTTACAGAAACAATATATCAACACCTGTCATGATGATCATCATCATCTTTATTTCCTCCAAAAGGAGATTATTGTGAAGATATTTACAAATTTGGACAGTAGATGGACATTTACATGTTTTCAAAAAAGAGATGTTAGTAGTTAAGGAGTTGGTTTGATTAGGAATTGCAAACATATTGGAACATGTATAATATCACGGATAAAGTATCGTTCATATGTCTGTGGCATCTGCATAATGCCCCTCACTGTTCATAATTGTGAATTGCAAGCTCTCTTTGGTAGGTGGCCATGATTTTCATTACAAATGATGCACATAGGTCATAGAATAGGTCACTGCAATCAGAGTCAGATATTGCATCACAGGGTCGTCCGATCAGGTGCTGAAGGAGAGACTCGTCGTCAGTGCTACTTAGAGTCACTGTCAATTGAAGTGGGAATCTGTCTGTGATGACTGACCAGAAGTTGTCATAATGGTCCCTCAGATGGTTACATGATAACATCACGTGTCTCAGTAGGTCAGTGTACACAGTGTTGCACAGGTCACATCGTGTGTGGGTTTGTTGTGGAACTGCTACCCACACCGAAGCCAGGTGAGTATATTGTCGGATGTACTCTCTGTTTCTGGCTCGGATCCAAACTGATGCTGGTCCTGGAACGTCATGTAGCATTCTGAATCGTGCATAGTCTGGGTGATTGCTTGTGCGTTCTGTCCATTCAGCGCTGTATTTGGTAGCGATTCTGTGGGTGATTAGTCTCTTCCACTCGTATTTGCTTGGTAGAACGTTGATAGTCAAGTACCGATTCAGAGTGTCCAGCAGGTGGTACTTCTGTAGGACATTGATTATGTGAGGTATGAAGCCTGTCTGTTGATAGTTACGGTTATGAAGATATTGTGGAGGAGCGTCTTTGATAGGTTGTCAGGGAAGAGTGAACACAGTCTATGAAAAAACATAAGTTGATGCTTTGAGATCTCTTCTGTAATAGGCATCCAGTTGACATACTGAGACACATATCTGTTCTTGTCCTTAGTTGGAAGCCTTGTAGAGATTTTGCCATATAGTGCCATGTTGTGGAGAGCTGCCGTATATCCTGCTGAGAGAGCTGTGTCCACAGTTCGCAGCCATACAGCATACAAGGTAGAACAGTTTTACGGACAGTATCTGCGGATATGAGGGGATTAACACCTTTGGGTTTTAAGCCAATCCCCATTAGAGCATGAAAACACGGTTTGGCTTTTCTACAAGCTTCCTTTACAGCATCTTCATGTTTAAGGTTTTGGTTTAATTGTACTCCCAAGTGTTTGGTAGAGGCAGTTGTGGAGACAATATCGCCTGTTAGATGCCACTTAAAGGTTGAGGAGTGACCAGCTTTGGACCCAAACACAATTACGTGGCATTTGGAGGGGTTAAGTTCATACCTCCACTTCTGTGAATACTTCGACACAATACCCAAGAGGGTCTGCAGGGTCTCTGGTGTGATTGCAAGTAAGGTAATGTCATCAGCCAATGTTGGATTTCCAAGTTTAAGATCATTAACATTCACACCACATCTTGATACCTCAAGTTCGTCAAGAAGTTCATCAATGAAAATGAGATATAAGAGAGTGGACAACACACCGCCTTGTCTTACACCTTGGTGTACGGGGAAGAGTCTAGACTGAATGCCATTTACAAAGACTGAACTCTTGAGGTTGGTGTATGCGTTGATAAGGATTTTCCAGGATTGCCCTGTAATGCCAAGTTGATACAGCTTCAGAAACAGGCCGTTGTGCCACACTGTATCAAAAGCTCTTTTATTGTCTAAAAATGCTGTATAAACTTTATTTCCTAATTCAAGATTATGACATATTGATTCCGTTAGGTTGAACTCTGCAGTCATGCATCCGATTCCCACTTTGGTAACCCTGTTGTTGCTGATTTGGAATTGTTGTTGTTTAGCGTGAGCCAGGATGTTAGTCTGTTGTGCAAAAGTTTCTCAAAGAGCTTATAAATGACAGGGAGCAGGGTTATTGGACGATAATTTCCGGGATCGTTCTTTGGTTTGTTGCCCCCCTTGTGGATAGGAATAATTATTCCTGAATTACAACGATTTGGAATAAAACCGAGCTTTAGCATTCCATTGAACAGATTTACTATATATGCTGTTAAAGTTTGTCCACCATAGATGATGTGTTCGTTTTGTACATTGTCATCTCCACGAGCTTTTGACTTCTTGAGGTTCTTAACTATGCTGCTGACTTCACTCCGGGTAACTTGTTCTTTCAGGGCTGCAATGTGCTGAAAAATTCTGATTCTAATAATTGAGAAACCTTTGAATTTGTGGCGTTGTAGAATTCATCATCGAATTCGGGATTTCGTAAGGGGGAGTGTACTGTTTCATAAAAGTCAGCAAAGACATTGCCTATGTCGTCAGAGTCCCAAGTATCTCTGTTGTTATAGGTGAGATAAGCACAAAAGTTGTTTTTCTTTCCTTTTCTTCTGTTTATCAGTTTCCAAAAGCTTTTTTATATCATACTCATATGAGCTTCAAATTCCTGAAGTGAGTTTTCGGTGCATTCTTGAATGGCTTTTCGTTGGGCTTTTCTGAAGTCACGTTTAAGACCTTTATATTTAGAGTAACTCTCGTGTTCTGGCCCTCTTGGACGTCCTTCGTTTATCCATAGACGTCGAGCTTGTTGTTGACGTTTGTGAGCGTCCTTCAGTTCCTGTGACCAGTAAGGTTTTGTGTGGGGATTGAATCTTGATAATGGTAGAGTAGCTGTGCTTGCTTTTGTGATACTTTCCGTGATGTGCTGGTAGAGGTAATCTATATCACTAGCATCAGTGATATCGTCACTGGGGTTTGCCATATGTAATTCCATGCTTAGTGTATCTTGATATTCTTTGAGTATTGTTTCATCACATTTTTTCCATGATGTCATGGGTTTCTGTGGTGTCACATCCGCTTCAGGGTGATAACGTACATGTAGGGAGACAGAGACTGGCAGGTGGTCTGAGACACAGTTGAGATCATCTTCTGGGTGAATCAGAAAGTCTTTCACAATTAGCTGATGTTCCCTTGGCACGAGTACAAGATCTAACATTGATTGAGAAGGGACAAAAGTATATGGTAAGGAGTCAGTATTCTGAAGAATAACTAAGTTATTATTATCGAGGAAGCTTTGTAGCAGGCCGGATCTTCTTTCTGTGAAGCAGTTTCGGCGCTGAAGTGGGATGTTGAAATCGCCAAGGAAAAGCACTATTCCTTTACATTCATAGAAATCATATAGGTCTTGAAGTATGTCAATTTCTTGTTTCAAAACTTCATATCCATAAGAGGAGGTAGGCATGTAGACGCCAAACAGATAAAGTGTTGGCAGGTCTCGAACTTTAATCTCAATCCCAATTATACGAGAGCTGTTGATGGCATCAATATGTTTCACATGTGGGATCAGTGATGACTTAAACAATATGGCAACTCCACCTTTACCACAGGAGGAGTTTGCACATATGTTTCTATCAGATTTCACAAATGATGAGTAACCAGTGTGCATAGTGTCCATAAAGTTGTCTGAGTACTGTAATAATTTGTGGTCTGTTACAAATGCAATGTCTACGTTGTTTTGGTCAACAATTTCACAAAGTGAGAGTGCCGATGACATTATTCCTCTCACATTCCTAGTTAGCAGACTAAGTGTCATAGTCATCGCAGTGATGAGGAGAAGCTGAAGTATGATGAATGTTATTAAAATTGATATGATAGGAAATCTGTTCATGGCTTTCATGTTGGAATAGCCTATGTAGCGGAGACTGAGGCACCTAATAGTCCCAGTCTCTAGAATTCCTGTCGTGAGTTTTCTCCTGCCACTGCTGCTTGCTCATCCATCTGCGACAGTAGACTCCTGTAGGCCAATCCACATCTAGTTCTAATTGCTCTGACTGATGTTTTGGAATAGTGACCTTTGCTGATTGTGAAGCACCTTCAAATTTGCTCTGAATTAGTCTTAGCCCCTTTAACAGTGATATTGTGTTGATGGAGAAAGTTGAGGATGGCAGTTCTTGTGGATCTGTTGGAGATGCCTCCTAGGTAATATCTCACTGTTCTCGTCCTAACAGTTCCTTCGAAAAGATCATTAACATTATCTTCCTGTGGAGTCTCTGTTGGGTTGACCTGTGATTTCTGCAGGATATCAATGTCTCTATTCGGAGATTTTATATGAACAATGCGAGTTTTCTCACTTTCATTATCGTTTGTGAGGCTGATTCTTAAGTTTGTTCTTTGGGTATTCAACTTTTTGGTTGATGTTGATTTTTCGCAATGTATAACATCCGAATCTTGTAAGAAGGTGATGTCATGATCCTCTCCATGCATGCGGACTGTAGGAGATCTACTGCTCTGTTTGTTTGGGATTTCAACAACTGATTTGACTGCAGGTGGTGGCTGATGATTGACGTGTGGGGAGATAACCGCATATAACTGTTCTTCTGCCGTGTGGATCTTCTCTGTCACACCAGTTAAATGCTCGCTGTTAGATTTACAGTTACCTAGCATGAGGCGCACATCTTTTAACTGCTCACAAACAAACTCAACAGCTTGCTTGATCATCATAGTGGAGACTTGCATGTGCTCATTGTGTTCCTTCAACATTTTGACTTCTGATTGGAGCGCTTGCTGGACATTGTGTTGGTATCTTTGATTCTCATTCACATGGTCAAGTCTTTGTTTCATTTCTACAAGGCCTGACATGATGCGTGCTGTTGATAATTGGTCAACAATAGACTGGTGGCGAGCTTGTGTTTGGGGTTGGGTATTGTTGTTTCTGGGTTTTGGTGTACCTTTAAGTAAACATAATCAATTTCTGCATTTTCACCATTTATAAATAAATTCAAGATGTAACAGTCATTGGCGTATTTAGAAACAGCAGTACTTCTCTCCGTATTTCTTCTTATATAGAGTTGACCAGAGGGGCAATGTTTGAAACATTTAGCTCTTGATGATAATGTCTGCCTATAAACTTTAATAACTTCATCAGAGTTGCATGTAAGGCGTAGTAAAGTGTCAATATACAGTTCCTTTGGTAAATGTTGAAGTTCACAATCAAGGTTTTGTACAAGCAATTCATCAGAGTTTGAAAGGATTTCATTGGAACAGTAAGGGTCACTTGCCTGTGTTGTATTTGGCTGAGAGGATCCAGTGTCGTCAATAATATCCACATTTGGGAAAATCACACTGCTTTGAGTTTCAATTGTGGCACTCACATTACTGTTGAAAGGAACAGGTGTTATATGCACAGTCTTTTCACCATTTTCAAGTCTATGAATGACACAATCACTGATTTTCGGAGAGAGCTCTTCTTGCGTGTCTTCACTGTCGGCCATCTTGTCCAAGATATCTTTGATGAGATTAAAACATTACATTCTCGACATTGATTACCTTAGTATGGACTAAGGCAGCTTACGGCTCCTCTGCTACCAGGAATCACTTAGAGCCGCTGGCGATTGTTTTCAGGTTAACCCGAACATTTAAATAAACGCACATCCTATGATTAAAAACGATTGCACTAGATTTCCTCATCTTCATGATGTCATGGTTGATAACAGAGCAGTAAATGTCACTGATTGTGTTAATCAAACAGGAGGAAACATCACAGCTGTCACTGCTATACAATACTTACCATCACTTCCTTGAATAATGGCAGCGTCAACCACCACTTTCTACATCGATAACACCTGCAACCAATACTGTCTACATTGATAACACCTGCACCCAGCACTGTGTAAATAGATAACACCTGCAACCATCACTGTGTAAATTGATAACACCTGCAACCAACACTGTCTACATTGATAACAGCTGCACACAGCACTGTCTACATTGATAACACCGGCAACCATCACTGTCAACATTGATAACACCTGCAACCAACACTGTCAACATCGATAACACCTGCAACCATCATTGTCAACATCGATAACACCTGCACCCAGCACTGTCTACATTGATAACACCTGAATCCAGCACTGACTACATTGATAACACCTGCAACCATCACTGTCAACACCGATAACACCTGCAACCATCACTGTCAACATCGATAACAGCTGCAACCATCACTGTGTACACCAGTAACAGCTACAACCAACGCAGTCACATTGACAACACCTGTCACCATCATCGATAGTAACAGCTACAGCCAGCGCAGTCTACATTGATAACACCTGCAACCACCACTGTGTACACCAGTGAAAGCTACAACCAATGCAGTCTACATTGATAACACCTGCAACCATCACTGTGTAAACCAGTAACAGCTACAACTCACGCAGTCTACATTGATAACACCTGCAACCATCACTGTGTAAACCAGTAAAAGCTACAACCAACACTGTCTACATTGATGATAACATCACTGCACACCATCACTGTCAATGCATCTGATTGATAACAGCTGCAACCATCACTGTGTACATTGATAACACCTGCAACCATCACTGTCTCCATTGATAACAGCTGCAACCATCACTGTGTACACCAGTAACAGCTACAACCAACACTGTCTACATTGACAACAGCTGCAACCATCACTGTGTACACCAGTAACAGCTACAACCAATGGAGTCTACATTGATAACAGCTGCAACCATCACTGTGTACACCAGTAACAACTACAACCAATGCAGTCTACATTGATAACAGCTGCAACCACCACTGTGTACACCAGTAACAGCTACGACCAACGCAGTCTACTTTGATAACACCTGCAACCAACACTGTGTACACCAGTAACAGCTACAACCCACGCAGTCTACATTGATAACAGCTGCAACCATCACTGTGTACACCAGTAACAGCTACAACCAACACTGTCTACATTGATAACAGCTGCAACCATCACTGTGTACACCAGTAACAGCTACAACCAATGCAGTCTACATTGATAACAGCTGCAAACAATACTGTCTACATTGATACTGACATCATACTGTTCCCGGTTGAAAATGCCTAATGTCAAAGTCGGACCATTTCTGATTTGCAACAAACAACTTTGTTTCTATGTACAGGAAAATGCCACGTCAATGTCTAAAATGTAACTACATATTCCCTTATCATTTTAATCTTTATTATTTTCAGGCATTTTGTTTGAGAAAGCATCAGTTTGTTACGATGACTTAGGGTGTTTCTCCCTGGACAATGGCTTTGACAACTCGTTTGGAGAACTTCCGGATTCGCCTGATGACGTGAACGCTACTCTGACCTTGTTCACAAGAAAAAGTAAAGGTCAAGGCCAGATATTAGACTACAAAAACGAGGACACTATCGTAAACAGTTTATTGGACGTTAAAGAGAAAACAAAGATAGTTGTCCATGGATATCTCAGTGAGGCAGATGCTCCTTGGGTGACCAACACCACAAAGTACCTTCTTCTAATTGTAAGTTGTGTTATGTAATCTCACAGTCATTACTGAAACTAAACTTAACATTATACCTCAACTCTACCCAATAATACCTCTTTCCCAAAGTCACAGTTCGTCGAGTTTAACATAAATTTAATCATATTACAAATTTTTAATCTCTTCCTGTCCCATTTCCGTCAGCCATCTTAAAACAGAAACGTCAATAATTACGTAGAATAGCAATATGCGATGCTTTAGACAACTCCATGCCCCCTTTTCTGATGTATGTAATATTTCTTGGAAAGATTTTACCACTTCTATATATATTATTTACCTAAGGACAACTTCAATGTCATCACAGTGGACTGGAGATCAGGTGCTCATAAATTCTACCCCAAATCAGTGGCGAACACCCGACTTGTGGGCGCCATAATTGCAAAGACAGTCGAAATTGCGCGCGACCGGATGGGAGCCAAGATGGCGGACGTGCATCTGATTGGCCACAGCCTGGGGTCTCACATCAGCGGCTACGTCGGGTCACGTATCGAAGGCGTTGGAAGAATTTCAGGTTCGAATTTGATTCATACAGTTTACATTCCTGCAAACACGGTGATGAAACATGTCTTAACCGAAAACGTCCCGGGTGACAAATGCCATAACAGGGCATTCAAATTTTAATATGGACATTCATATCGGTGTCATCTGAGAATAACCGAGTGAAATACTTTCTTTCAATCTGTCATGTGCCATATTAAATCAAAACATCCAAGTAACCTTTCAATGCAATTCGCTCTGTTCCTTTTCCCTCTCATGGTCCGCTGACTTTGTATAGTCTGAACTGGTGGAATCTTCATTGATAACAGCCTGTAATTCCCTCGCTGAGATCGTTATTTAACATGATTTGTCTCCAGGACTGGATCCTGCTGGACCGCTATTTGAAGGAACTGATCCTGCAGTTCGTTTGGACCCGACTGACGCCATCTACGTTGACAACATCCACACCGATGGTCTTCCTCTGTATGATGCAGGTAACATTGATTATGACGAGTTATTGGGTAAAATACAGACTAAGCTGGTTGTAACATGATATGGCTTGGTTCTTTTGACAAGTGACGAACATAACAAATGCATTCAGTCAGCATGTTTAAACTGGTGCAGTAAACAAATGACTTTTCTGAAATATTTTACCCACATGTTAAGGTGTGTATCTAATCATACTACTCTGTACCTGCAGGATTGGGAACATTGTCGGCCTGGGGTCACGTGGACTTCTACCCTAATGGCGGTGGGGACCAACCCGGATGTCCAGCACCGGTCGAGCATGGGCTACTGGACGTTGTAGAATTGAAGTTTAAGGGTGAAAAATCTGCATTTCTGACTTTTTTTAAGCTATGTGAAGGCGGTCTAAGAATAACGATACTGACAATCTAACCATTGAGCTCCTGGGATGACATGCGAACAGTCGGTTCCATTTGTCTGCACCGTAAGTTAACGATTACAATGTTTCGTCAAGTAAATGCCTTCTATTCGGCATGGCATTTTTCGTTTGCTCTCATTTTTTTCTGCATTCAGTTATCAGCATAGTGGTTCCCTATTACATGTAACATCATGCATGTATGTGAATACTTCGTATTGTTGTGTACCTGTGCAGGTGACACCCACCAGTCCTGAACCGGTCACATCGACTTTGCCATTTTACTTCCAGCCATCCCAGTTGCTGTCTCCTGCAACCATCTCCGGTCACATGACTACTATGTTGCCTCCCTTGCTGACGCCAAATGCGACTTCACTGCGCATCCATGCGCGTCATACAAGGACTTCACGGAAGGCTCGTGCAGCTCGTGTGGCTCGGGCACGTGCCCACAGATGGGTTATTTCTCCGATAGGGCCAACAGACAGGGCAAGTTCTACCTCGAGACAGAGAACACATACCCGTTTTGTCGTAAGTGCCTCCTTTCGCCCTGGTGGTGGCGCTACTGGATAGAACGATGACGACGATGATAATTATCAAACATGTAGCATTTGAAAGTCAGGGTTCCCTGACTTTTCCCTGAGAAGTATAGATTTTTTCCCTGACCATTTAAGTGTAAAAACTGGCCTCCTTCCTCCCTTTCAGTCAGTCCTAAGCACCGTGTTAAGATATTTCCTTTACACATATCATAAATACACACAGTATTTGTTAATTTATTACATTAACGAAAACATTGATATTTGTGATGAAGAAAATTTTCCTTGACTCTCCTGCCACAATGTTACATAATACTATTAGATACATTTGACCGTGACCATCAAATATATATTCTTAGGTGAAGTCAGTAATATATCATCTGAAAACTTTGTATTTTATATTAAAGGCTTTTAACAAAGAGCATAAATGTGAAACTAATGATTTCATTGAATTGTTTCATTCAAAGTCAGGAACACATTTCTTCATTATCACAAAATGTTGTAATTATCAACGGCATATTTGGAAAGAATAAACATGCAAGATGTAACTTACATTCAGTACAACCATGACAATCAGATTATGAACACCATTCAAAGACTTTCAATTTTGTGAATAAACAGCAAATGTCAGAACATAGGGCATATTATAAATCTATGCTGTACTTTAACAATGAAACTTATATGGGCATATTTGGCCAAAATGGGCTTTCACAATTTGCAAGAAACCACCATAGCCATCATACTATTTATAATATTTTGGAACGGTATACAAATGAATGGAAAATTATCTGTTAACATAGTTATCTTTAGACGAGGTGGATCTATTGCCTATAAAGAAAAATGTTTTTGAATGGCAAACAATTATCTTTTGTTAATCACTATGCCTATCTCGGACTAGTGTTTTCTATACTAACAAGAGTCATCAGAAGATGACAAAAGCCCCCCGCCCCTACAAATATGAAAGAGCAAATCATCTTACAGTTACTTAAAGTTGAACTTTTTGTAGACAAAGTCCAAAACGTTTCCATGGAAACCAAGCAAAATAGATATGACAAAAATCTGTAAATAGCAAAAGGCACCACTTTAGGTTCTGTTTGATATATCTGCAACGTTTTGTTGAAAAATATTGAACTGTTTTCGAGTTATGCTCCAGAAACAAAAATGATTACGGACGGACGACTATATCCCCCCGTATGACATGCTGGGGGTGGGTGGGGGTTAAAAAGAGTGTTATATATCTGAAATCACATGCCAAATAGGCTCTTATCAAATTTATGTCCGTTTCCCAGAGTTTTGGAATTTTAACCCGGATAATATGTTTCATATTGTTTGATTCACAAATTCAACCGATTGTGCTTCATAGAAGAATATGTCTGTTATGTAACCCATCTGTAGTAGATGAAATTCACATTATGCTGATTTAAGAAAACAATACATGCCAAATAATTATCTGTAAAAATATCCTTCAAGTGACTTTGTTTCCATTCTATCCTCCAGAAATGAAAATGTAATGTGTAATCTAGGGCTTTATGTAAAACATGCTGTTATGCTTAAAAGCAATCTCTGATCTGAACTGTAATTTATTTCATGAAATGTCTGTAACATGTGCTGCATCTTTGACTGTGACTACTACCATACCTGATTAGCGACATTCTGAGTTTTATTTTTCCCTGACCAAACCCCTAAATTTCCCTGACTTAACCCCCAAATTCCCTGACTATTCCCTGACTTTCAGAGAAATGCCAAATTTCCCTGACTTTTCCCTGACCTGTGGGAGCCCTGAAAATCTGCCCACTGACTATATCAATGCTTAATTACCGGATAACAAAGTAGATATTTAGTACATGTGTCTCGTGACTATTAAATCATGGTATTCTTATTTGGATGAACGCTTTACGACTCATGTTCATCATTTGTATGAAATTTGATCAAACTAGTAGGAAGTGATAGTCCCTCTTACTATAACCATACTTACAACATTTACATACTCAGACAATTTGTGTTACATTAACACACCTTCCAGTTTTAATATGTAATTGATATAAAAAAACAACGAAACTGTGGTGTACAGTACCTGTACATCTGTGGTACAGCTCTGTTCCAAAAGTAACTTGTAACAGTATGTCCTACTTTTCCCAGACATACCCCGAAGATAACAAAATATATATCCTTTGTCATAACCAACCATTTTGCCTTTATACGTTTAATCATGCTCTACATATTTACCTTTTGGCAGATTCGCCATAGGCAGCTGCAGCCCTACGAAAATAGTTTTGCAGAATAAAGGAACGTGGTCACATGGCAACCACACCAGTGGATTGCACGAACTCCACGAAGACAGCCTTTCGTATTGCATTTGAATTAAACTTGCTTGGTGGCGTGCCATTTGTTTGTCGTTATGTCATACAATTTATGTCAACATTATGAATATTCATGTATAGTGTCACGTGGACGTGGACGTAGACTTATATATGTAAGCAGGCTGGCGTATAAGCTGATGCTTTGCAACAACTCCTGTGGAAAGATAAAACCTAAGTATACTGTAATGCGAAAATGAAAATTATTACCTCGGCATATCTGAATTTCTTTTTTGACCTTCCTGCTGTGTAGAGAAACGATGCTCGGCGTTGCTTCCTGGTATCGAAAGAGGGGTGCAAGATCCCGATTACAGATAACAGGGAAGTTACATGATGGCCTGCGCGGTTGAGTATCATGACTGGGGTGGAACAACCGACATCAAGAGAAACTGAGGTCAAATTCATAAAGCAGCCAAATGTTTCCTCGCCATTTCTGGTGCCCCCCTACCCCCTATCTCCCGCCTTTCCCACTAATAATGCTGGAGTATTGCTTTCGTGAAGCACAACTCACCCACTTGTAAAGCAGCAAATTAGATCTTGAAATACTGAAATCAATAACATTTATAGCTGGATGTGGTAAGTTGTCACAGCAATCGTATAACGCAATTAAAACTGATGTAATCTGTATTTGTTCTTTTTGCGTTTAGAAACAAATACGTGTCTCACAGTAGTACCAAGCTCTATACTGCAGCTTCAAATGTAGGTGCCCCTTGTGACTTAAGAAGGGAGGGAAAACTTTCCGTCACCACACCCCAACTCATCGTTGACACGTGATGAACACTTTCACCAAAAAAAATCACTTTTATAATTGTTGTTTTGCTACATCCACTTATAGATAATCCACGCAGAGCCATGCAGATGATGTTATTACTCCTGTTCGGACGATAAGCGTGGATTGCAATCAGATATTCAGACAGGGTTGACGGGCAATACTAATCCTAAGATAGCATCCGCCATTATTTATCACCTACAACACAGAATGTGTATGTGTAAGATCAAATAATTGGAATTCTAATGTAGTGAAAGCCATTAAAAATGCAATTGGTATTTGTTGTCTTGGAACGTACAAAAGTTCTATTGAAGATTTGTTCCTGCGATACAGAGGATGTAGGGATAAAAGGCTGTTATTCTGACCAATTTCGAGTTTCAGTCCCAGAGCATTCCTTTCACATGAACGTCGATGATTAAAAGTGAACCTTGACATTTCTCGTAAACATAACTACATTTATGAAACACGGTGTGCACGGGCATTACCTGCACCCAGGCCTTTGAAAAGCACAAGGAATTGTGAAACTCAATCACTTTGAGAAAATGCCACGCTTGACACAAGACGAAAGGAATGGGGCTATCGGTATAATCAGTCAAGGTGCTTCAGATGTGATGATTGCCATGCACTTTAATGTGCGTCCATACACTGTTGGTCGATTCAGACACCTAATGGGGCCAATCTTGGCAACAGGCCATGGCGAGATGTCATTTTTTCAGATGAATCCAGGTTTAACGTATCCTTTCCAAATGGACGTCAACGGATTTATCGACGACGAGGAGAAAGACTTGCGCCAAAATGTGTCCTTGAACATGATCGTTTTGGAGGGGGTGGTGTCATGATTTGGTGTGAATGCTCACCTTATGTGGACAATATCCTTCGTCCGGCTGTACTCACAATGATGGATCAATATGGCGGTCGTAACCATTTTTTGTTTCAGCATGATAATGCACGTCCCCATGCAGCTAGGGTAACAAGGGACTTTTTTTCAGACATGAACCCAATCGAGCATCTGTGGGATGAACTTGGACGGCGAGTTCGAAATCAACTTGTGCCACCAAGGACAGTTGCCTTCAACATCGCTGGCAGACCATCACCCTGCTGTTCCTGAGAAATTTGTGTCTTTCAATGCCCCGGAGACTGCGAGCATGTCTTGCAGCACACGGTGGACACACACGATATTGACTGCAAGTGATCCCTCCTGTTTGATGTCGTTGTTGCGTCACTGATGTTGGTGTTGATTGGACATTTTCCGATGAAATTATCAACAGATATTTACTTAAAACATATCTGCCAGTTGCATTTATATATGATGACATTTGTGTGAGTAAAGAAAGTATGAATGTCAAATTGCGTTTTAATGGCTTTCAGTATATTTGTACCGCCCTCACTTGAAGAGAGATACAGGGTGATTTATTTTCTGGAACATCCCTTGGGAGGTTTCCCTATTTCGCGACTCGTACAGATCCGAGTCAAAGTCGTTTTTTCAGCAACCCATAGTTATGTATGAGGCGACTAAAGGGATAGGACTTTACAGCTGGTTGATGCATATCATCGTATCCATAGATAGTCTTGGTTCGTCTGATGCTGTTTTCCCCATCGTTTGATAGTTCTATATTTGTTTCTCTCGAACAAACCACGCACGCGTCTTCCACTTCAAACATCAGTAATGCTGAGGAATGATTTCACTTCATGATGAATTATATGTTTACGAAGTTTGTTTCAGTTGACATAGTAAAAATCGTAAGGTTTTTGCATTTCCGTTGTGTTCCCATTCAGGCGACTGTTCACATCTTGTCAACCGCTCAACTGGTGAATAGTTTGACCAAGTGTTTGATTATGTGTCAAATGTTCCACACCACTCACTTTCAATGCTTTAAGGTTTATTATAATGAAAACAAAATGATTCTCAAAATATTTCTTAAATATTGCATGAAATAGATATTGTAACAAAAATTCATGTCTAACCTTGGCTTCAAGTACAGAGATAATCAAGCTCTCAGCCATCAAAGTGATTCCAGCCAAGATACCAGCCTCATTCTGCATTTTATTTAGGTGACATACCTTTGTGCAGTCTGCTTCCAAGGTACAGTATCAAGTATAACAGTAACTTCCAGCACAAGTAACCTCAGTCATGTTTACAGTCGCCATCTTGGATATTCTGACGTCACGTTTGTGTATCATGCGACCGTAGGTCACCTATGAAAAGAGCTGTCAATGTTAGCGTCGGTGCAGCAAGTTTGACAAGCAAGGTAGGGTTCCACGGTTACGTCACAACCAATGTCTCATTTGCACATGTAACAGGATATGATGTCAATTGGGACATATCAGATTTTATTGTTATCAGGTGAAGGTGCTTTATGTAATTATAAAATTATGCAAATAAACAGTATAAACTGCTAAACTCCAAAAATATGTTTAAAGCTTTCATTGGTGAAGGGTTATTTAATAAACATTGTGGTTGTTTAAAAATCAGATTTACAAAACTGATAAAAGGTTTTGTTGAGGGTTTGTTAATAAAATTCTATGTGGTTGAGGTGCATCTGAATTATGCCCCTTTGTGGAATATTTGCATCACTAAGAAAGTGAGGTGGTTCATTCTGGCCTCAATTTCATATTGTGTGTAATGTGACCAGAGATTAAGTCTCTGATTGGGTAGAAGTTTTTTTAGGCATATTAAATACCCTGAGTGTCCAAGCACATGGCACTTAGTATCCAGCATTGCACAGCAGCAGCAGCAGCAGCAGCAGCAGCAGCAGCAGCAGCAGCAGCACTGTTACTTGCCACAGAAGGTTAGTTTCATTAATACTTGTTTTGTTTAATACATTAAAGTTAGAGGTTGTTATTTATATTATGGTTGAGTAAAACTTTTAAAATACTACAAATAAATAATTAGCAAATTATTTCTAGCATAACATGTAACTGTAGTGTATGCACTTGTGTATGCCTTGGCAATTTTGTGAAATTGGCAAATGTTGTTTGCAGGTGCCAAAAAGGGGTAGAATTGTAAATTCCATTCCATTCCATAGATGGGTAAGGTGTATTTTCCTCAGTACATTGTGTGAATGTTTTGAATGTGATGTGTGTGTGTATTTGCGTAACGTGAATATTTTAATTTAAATAATGCAACCAATAAAATGTTACCCTATTTGTTATATAGAATATTCTCATAGAATGATTGTTTGCTGTCCATTGGATTCTTTGCCAAATGTTTCAGGGTGATGTTTTGTGGACTGACTACCCTACGGAATTAAATGTCCTCCCCTATACCAGCGGCTTTGTTATTTTAAAGAGCTGGTCACACACATAATAAGACATTTTTATTGTATAACTTTTAATTAACAAGGCTATTATTAACACTTGGTCAGCTCTCTAAGTATCTAGTTGTGGATAAGTGATTTTTAGGGGCTTATTTTCAACTTTGTTGACATCCGGATTTCGTCTGACAGTTCCGAGAATGCGACAGTCGATCCGGATTCATTCCGACGGAATATCCCCGGATCGTTTGATTCAAATGTACAGAGTACAGATACAGTTATCAATCACAGTCACAGTTATCACGTGACAAGTCGCAGGTGATTTATCGTCAGTACGAACTATTACAGTTCACAGTGTATTTAATGCGTTTACAGTCGCTGATTGTTATCGCTATCCAAAGTCATTCCGACCTGCTATGTACATTATCAAGTTACAGTCTCTGCTAAGGGTTTTCTTCCACAGGGGTTATTGGAATCGTCTAAAGCCGAGACATACGTACTTCACTGTAAGTTATGATTAGGGTTTGGCTTCCTTCTTACGTGTACAACAATTTTGACAGCTGTAGGAGGTGTGGCCTCCTTTGCATTCACTCCGGGTCACGTGACTTCCGGAATGTATTGTTTACATTATCTGGATCCAGTTCCGGTTGCTGCAAGTTCGTACACTTTCAAGTTTCGAAGGTTATTGTACAGTTTATTCGTTTTAACAGCCCAGGGTTCTCAATCGACATTGGGATACAGTACTGCAAGACTACGACACGGGGACACAGGATGGCGAGCAAGGTATCCAGTCACAGTCAAGATGGCAGTCGGTATCGTGTCGAGAACTTGTATTTTCAGTTCGGTGCTTCATAAATAAACTCGTTATTGGAACTTTATCTACTTGTTGTGTGATCCTTCTGCATTTCGCCAGTTTCGACATCCACTATCTGTTAAGTCCTGGTGATATATTTTCACTAAACCTCATCTCCGAGCTCTGGTATTTATTTTGTGACTGGTGGCAGCATCCATTTTCTTTTTGTAGTTTGTCTACTAGTACTTACCGACTAGTCCTTGGCCGTTCCGTTACAATATCTTTCAGTTTAACCTTTGGTTGTCGTAGAATGCAGCAGGCCTGTGCTGCGTGAAAATTCCAGGAATCAGATGTTGTTCTTCATGGGTAGGAATATGACAAAATGTTACTTCCCCACTTTATAACAGTGAATGTAGGTGTTTCGTTTCAGCTGTTCATGTTAACTAACAAATGCACGTGACCTGAAAATGTTTCACTCGTAAACTGCTATCTCCCTACATAAACGTGTATTTTACGTCCGTTTCAGATATTCCTGGTCTTGCCACCTTTGAGCAGGCGAGTGAGTGAGTGAGTGAGCATGTTTTCAGGCCGCTCCTGGCAGCTTATCCCAGCTATATCTTGGCGGCGATCCGTCACCATCGGTGACCAAGCGAACTTTCCTTACCATCTAACATTCAAACATGATGACTTTGCCATTGACATTCGCCTTCGGTCATTCTTAAAGAGTGGCGGTGGGAGTTTAATAGCTCTAATTAGAATGCATTATGATCGCAGTTTTGTGAACAATACTTCCGTAGCTGCTATACAATACAATGACAGTTTCCTTCGCATACTCTCCTCGACAAGCGCTGGACTGGTAGAGGTCCCATGACAAACCTCGTGAATGGCTCTTACAACGGGAACACGGTGACCTATGCTGTGATCAGAGTGACTATATATGACAGGCGCTGTCCAAAGATGTGCTCGCTTAATGGACATGCATGTCACGTGTGTGGTGTGATGCCAGTAGTGACACGGTGTTCGCTTCCCTCAATCCTTGGGGAAGCAGTAGCCTGAGGTACGATGTAACCACACAGAAGAGTGACCTTGTCACAAGTTACCAACATGGCTGCAGATGTGTACTGCGCACGTTCTCTGGATGTGACAGAATCGGCCTGACAATTATCGAATATGAATCACAGACATCCTGATTGATATCATGAGTAACCTCGCTCCCCCGTAATTAATTACCGACCTTGGCCACGCGATCTTGGCCAACATCTTTCAGTCCACACGATCTATTCATCGGTATTGATGAACAAATATGAGTTGACAGGAAGTATTTTCGGACGTGCAGTTCCATGTGTAGTAGATCAACGTACAGACGGAAGGACACGTGGGCCATTACAGTAAGGGGAAAGTTTCATATGTGAACACGATCTGGGCAAACAGATAATGTAACTGATATAGATGTCCCGGTAACCTATGACCTCAAACTCATTGTGTCGAGGAAGTTTATTTTGGTTCGCATTCCGGACGCGGCTGTGAAATCGTCCCTTTTAATTATATCCACGAAACAGCGTGACATTGTGTTGCCATTGAGAGGACTGAGTGAGTATGGTTTTACGACGCATTCAGCAATATCCCAGCAATATCACGGCGGGGGAACACCAGAAATGGGCTTCACACATTGCACCCATGTGGGGGAATCGAACCCGGGTCTCAAGCGTGGCGAACGAACGCTCTAACCACATGGCTGCCCAACCTCCCTGCCAGCACGGGGAACCTTAATAATTATGGCCCGCCTTGGTTTGTTTTGTTATATAATGGAACAGCTATCTAATAACAATGTACCGACAATGTCTATACCATTTCTAGGTAGGTTTTACAACAGGGATGTAGGCAATACCTGCATCATGTCAACATATTATCTAATAAAAGAAGAAATCATTCATAATAACAAGACATATTAGTTCTGACACGGTTTCATCACTGACACTTTACATTTTGAATACAACCGTTATCACGGGGGGCACGCAACTCATGAATGGGAATTAGGCCTGCTTGAAACACGACATCATCCCGTTTTAGATCACGGGACATTTATCTTTGCGATGACATGTAAGTCATATGATAAGTGAGACTCTTGGTGATCCATCCTAGTTTTATCAAGACATAAATAGAACATTGTGTTTATATCTCAGTGTTACCAAAACCGATATTTAGCTATCTCGGTCGTCACTACGCTGAAACTGAAGGGGCCAGGTAACACAAACCAGGTCACTACACTGAAACTGAAGGGACCAGGTAACACAAACTGACGTCACTACGCTGAAACTGAAGGGACCAGGTGACACAAACTGACGTCACTACAGGTACTTGTCAAATATAGATTGCCAGCATCATATATATATATATTCCACATCAATGTGTTTAGTTAAACTGTAATAGAAAAGTCTGTTTTCTATTAAATATGTTACAAACGGGAAAATTTCAGTATATTTCAACGTGCACACTAGGATAAAATCAATTTACTGATTAACCAGTCTAAGTAAACTTAGCCTCAGTATTATTCGTTACACTGCTATACTGAGACTAAGTTTACTTAGTGCTGATAAACACATTTACATTGGGATTAAGGGTGAAAAACAAAGAGATGGTGTCTCCTTTTTGTCTTAATGTTATCTTGGGAATAAATAATAGTTTTAGTTGTGGTAACTGACACAGGCGAGATAGTTCGTTGTAGATGACACTTGATCCTTGAAGTGTCAATTTATCAGAATTCCGACAGTGTGCAATTGATACTCTTCTATAGTAACAACAGATACACATATAGAGTTACAAGTGAGTGAGTGAGTGAGTGAGTTGGTTTTACGACGCTGTTAACACCTTTGTCAGCTTACTGTACCAGATACGTACTAGGTAGAGTAGATGCCAGACGGTTACCACTTTGTTGAAATCAATGAGCACTATATGGTACTGACAAATCTCCAAACGTAGCCTGGTTTCTGGTGTACCCAATGGACGCAACTATGTACAGGAAATTGCGACGCCTTAGACGTCAGGACCAACGGTGCCCCTTGGGATAATGAACAAAAGCGACCAAAACCTTCCCATAGACATAAAATATCTGGGCTTCAGGGAGAGTTCATTGTATGTGTGTGTTTATGGACCGCTGTTCGCGAATAGGTGAACGTCTCCAGCAACCGTTGGTGGACTACATTACAGCAAATGCAAAGGTAGGTAAAGTGCTCACCCCACCCCACCCACCCCCAAAGAAAACAAAACACAACCCTCCAATAACAAAAAAATAATACCCAAACAAACCCAAAAACCCAAACAAAAACGTACACACCAAAAACACAACACACACGGCACAATGAAAAATAGGGAACATGCTTTTTCACCTATTTGAAAATATACATACAAAATAGTGAGTATGTCATTCTTATATGAAGGTGGCGCCCACATTACATAAGGGAACAGAAATTGGAAATGTTTTAGTTCTTCTATCTCCGCATCAAAACCTTAGTTTAAGGAACAACCAATGATTTATCACTGAGTTATGATTAACCTCATGAACCCTTTGGTCTGAAGTGGTGTAACTATCTTAATCTCTAATAACCCATTGAATATCTATCACTCGTGCGGGAACATTATTTGGACAGGTAGTTTTATTGTTATGTAATTTGAGTCGGGCCCAAGACGAAGATATAACACCCTGGATGGTCGGACTGAATGATTTTATGAGATGTGACACCCTCAAATGTCGATTAACAACTATAGACGCTCCCTTGAAGTGACAAGTGACAGTCCCTTGAAGTGACAGGTGACACTCCCTTGAAGTGACAAGTGACACTCCCTTAAAGTGACAAGTGACACTCTCTTGAAGTGAACATACGTTCAAAGCAACGTTAATAACAGTTTACTGCCTCACTCATTAATATTCATATTTCAAATGTATACTCAGCGCAATTATTGTCACCCATATGGATGACTGGTAGAAATTAAAGCTGCTTTAATGATATTTATAGTTGATAGTAAGACAAACTTTAGTTGTTAGATGTTACAATTATGATTAACGATTATGGCATTAGTGCTGGGAACAACATTTAAACCACAGAAAATGATGAAATCGTTACAATCGAACGCAAACCCATCACACGATTTGCACGTCCAAATCAGGGTATGGGCACGTGCAAATAGGGGCACAAGCACGTGCTTTCAGGCCTCGTTGACAGTAAAAATCCACTTTTATTAATGCGACATTTTTT